AGTTTCAAGCCAACTTGTTAATTTTCACAGTGAAAATTGAGGCGGCTGAATAAAATGGCAGTGGCCCAATGTTGAACTAACAGCACTTTGAAAGCAAAAAAAAAAACACAGCTAAATTTGTTTTGTGTCAAATTTTGGAAAATGGCATAACAACAAAAGCAAAATGTCTTTGTGTGGCTCATCCAAATATGACTAATTATTAACTAACCATCCTCATTCCTCACATGTCTATTATTATTCCTCAAGCCCTTTAGAAATGGCAAAGTGGCTGAGAATAGTGGACACGGTTCAGGGGATGATTCCATGATTAAGGTCCGGTTTGTTTATATTAGATATCTCAGATGAGCCTGTGATCCAATTTTGAAATAATATGTATAATTTTGAAGCAAATTCCTAAAAATAAAAAAGAATCTTTGAAAAAGGAATGGGTTGACGTTTCAGGGGATTTAGTTCAGGCCCCTTCCAGTTACAACAACGGATATTTAATATAATTATAAAGCTTACTTGTGATATTCTTATTTTAAACAACTATATTGTGGTATTATAATGGAAACATAATCCTTAATTAGCTCATGAGAATGTAGCTGCCCAGAAATGGCAATACAATATAATATGAATCAGTATCAGCAGGCAGACAAACACACATTGAGGACAAACAATGACATAACTAGTTGCCTGAGATGACTCAGAATGGCCGGCTCACCCCGCGTCACCTCTTCTGCCCCTGCAGGTTTGCCATCAATCAGTCATCGGGCCTCATCTCCACGCAGCCCTGGACCAGCCTGGACGCAGAGGTTAGGTCGAAATACAACTTCTACGTCAAGGCAGAAGACTCAGAGGGAAAGTACAGCTTATCCGAAGTCTTTGTCACCGTCCTCGACATGAACGACCACTCTCCAGCGTTTGATGAGAAGCTCCTGGAAAAGACCATGATTATTGGTACACCCGTCAGAGTGGAGGTACATACTGTGAAATGATTTCCCCTTGTTCAGAGAAAACTAGTTTTTTGAGGTGCTGACTTAATTAAATATATATATATACAGAATTTCAGTTTTGCTTATTTTGGGGGGGATTTACAGAGCAAATGATTGACGTTTGATTGAATCCATTGATTTAAGTCATTACTACAATGATCAAAACATGCGTCCATTTTATGGGATTCTTTTCACAGGCAGTGGATGAAGATGCAGAGTCCCCGAACAACGTCATCGAATACTCCATCATGACGGCCGACCCTGACAATGCGTTTGACATTAACGCAGACACTGGAGAGATCAAGCTGAAGCCTTACATCAAGACCATGGAGATTGTGCAGAACATCACCGAGCAAAAGGACTGCAAGTGGTCTCTGGTGGTCCAAGCCAGGGACAGAGGCTCTCCGTCCTTCAGCACAACGGCTGTGGTCACCATCGACATCACAGAGGCGGTAAGACGAAGCTCTGACTTGCAGCATTCTCGCAGCGCTTGCAATTGGAAGCTTTAGGCAGCGTGAGCTGTAGATTCAAGCACTTATGATAATATACATCTTTGCCACGCAGCTGCTAATTGAACATCTGTCTTTCAGTCAGTCACAACTGATCAATCTCATATTTTTAAAGGATAATGCCGGCCATTTTTATGCTTTTATTATTCCATTAATAGGCCAAAATGATTGAAAAAGCCCTTTTTTCACTATTCATTGTTTTCATATTTCTATGTTTATCCAGGTTTTATCATATAACCATATGGCTGTCATGGATACACAATTGATACTTTAAGTAGTAAAAATGTATCAATTTTTGTTTCCTCCGTCAATTTTGAGATATTAATAAGAAATCACTGGAGCGTTATCCTTTAAAGTTTTTAGTCATTGACATTTACTGTGTGTTTTCACAATGTGTTCATTCCTTCGCTGCATGATAAGGTGACTCAGTGTTTTTGGTGTTGTTTTGGTGTTGTGTATCGTGCTTTTCAGATCAAAGGTCGAATAATTTCATACTTCATGGGCCTCAGCAAGCGTCCGTTGACTGTTTTTGGAATTTGTCTCAGCATTGTCTCATCTCTCATTTTGCTAACAATGTGCATATCCACAATCCTGTACTGCAACTCAGTGAAAAAGTCCAGAATCAACCCTGAGAGCAACTACATCAAAGTGGTGCGCAGAATCAAGTGAAAGATATTTAACACCTGCCCCTTTAAAAGATTTTTTTATTTTTTTACCGACTAAAGACATAGAAGATTACATTATTTTTGGTTATTTGTTTTATTCCCTTTTTGTGTAAAAAAAATATATATATATATATATATATATATATATATATATATATATATATATAAAACACAATATCTGGGGATTTATACATCACACCATTTTCTTTTTTTTGCACTTTTTTAGCATAATTTAGACACATATGAAGCCATTTTCTTGGCTGACTTAATCTCATCTTTATCTCAGATGTGCACGTTTTGGTCTCATTAACTATCACCGCTCATGTTCACCAGTCACAGTGAAGTCCCAAACAGCTGGTGTGCTGCATAGTCTTCAGCTTTGCACTAGCGGTTCTGCATTGTAGAACAGGAGCAAGACGGACGTCTGAGTGTGAGTGTGACAGTGTCATATTTTCGGTAGACACATTGTCCGGACCTCTTCTTGTCCCTGCTTCGCGCATCCATCTTCCGCTTGCATGCTTTTGGACTAATGCGCCCGTCGAACACTTGGATTCGGTCCCTGGGACTTGATTTAAAATATGTTTCTTCACTTTGCTCTTTCACAGACTCCTCTCAAGGGGCCTATGGCAGTCTTTTTAATGAAAAGTAGGGACAGTCCTATGAGAGTTCTCGGCGTGGTCGCTGTTGCCATTAGCTTATTGGTAGGGGTGACTGCCTTGATCTCTGCGGCTTTGTACATGCGAAACTCAAAGTCAAACAGGGTCATGCCAGCACGTCGCATCATTAAGAGGCGACGCAGGGACCAGCGGCCCTGGATCTTCGACATGCCCGTGGTCAAATTCAGCAACCCTGCGGATAAGTTCCTCGTTGACAACCAAGGGAGAGGCCCGTGGCCGAAGCCTCCTCCGCCCAGCGCCCCCCCGCCCCCGTGTTTCACACGGCCACATGAGAGGCCCCGAGCAGTCCCGACCATATCTGGTGTTCTGGCCTCCAAAGGTTCCAAAAAGGCGAAATCTAATCGGCGTAAAGAGGGGAATATCAGCTCAGCTCTGGTGTCAGAGCTTAAAAAGAAGCTTGAGCAGAAGATGATTGAGAACAACCAAGGTTATTATTAACTCCTTCATACAAGCGTCTTGTTGAGGGTCCTTTCAGTGACTCTATTTACTCTTTGCTAATCTCGTGTGTCCGCGATTTCACACCTTTATGTAATGATCCGGTAAAGGGGGGAATACCTGTAAATTATTTGTGAGTGAATGGGAAAAGGAAGGTTTACATATATTTGAAATAAGATGTGTGATGAAAGAAGTGGGCATCCTCAGTTGGCTTGGCTAAAGAGGAGAACGTTCGGGTCGGTGTGGTATGAATTTAAATAATTCAACACACTGTTCTATGGGAAGATAACACAACCAGAATCACCTGTTAAAATAAAGAGAGAGGATTAATACGGCCTATTGTGTATGCATAGGTTGCAAATGCTTCCTAAAAAGTGTCATTTGAAAATATCCAACAATTAAAATGACGATATTGCTCGAGGTGGAGCGTGCAGCTGAATGAAAAACATGCTTCTTATAAAGTGCTAAAGGACCTGTGTTCATATTTTTTACTGTGTTTCATCAGCCGCTTGAAAGCTGACCGGTTGCTCTTTTGTATGATTACAACGTGCCACTGTAGGTTTTCACAGTAACAAAAATTTAAAGAGTTGCTTTTATTCATTCTAATAGGTTATAGTAGAAAAAGTATTTTATATAAATAACATGTATCCATTTTAAATGTATTTATTTATACATGTATGACGGGATATGAACATTTCCCTGTAGCTTGCAGAGATAAATAAGCACAAATGAAAAGATTAAAGTCAGATTAAGATTTTGAAGATATACAGTAGATTGTAGTTGAAATATATATATGTTGAATTCCTCTCGTGGTTACTTACTCATCAACGCCTTCAAGTATAGGCACCTAAACTTTAAGTGGGTTAATTTCTGTTGCCCATAGCTTCTGACTGTATCTTAACTCATAGCTATCTCAAATAAGTTGTATCTTAACTATGAATTAAACTTGCCTGGTCCTTTGAAGTAACATATTTGTACCCGTCTTTGTACAGTCCTGATTTTGAATAAATATTTGAAAATATTTTTCTGTTGTCATTTTGTCCATATGCTGTATTGGGAAACAACCAAGATCATTATTGTCAACTTATTTAGGACTTTCTGTTTGACATTCCTTAAGACATTTTAATGGAATACCATATTACTTTTTTATAAAATACTTTTTTGACAATTTTCTAATATACTATCCAACACTATACTGTGCCTTTTTAAGACGTGCCACACAATTTAGATGTGATATTACGTATTATCGAAACCGTTGCTTTGGCTTTTTACAATATTTACTTATTATTCTAAAAGGTCATATAGAATGTTTTAAAAATTGATGATAATCCATGAAAACATCATTAAAAAGTTATGATAAAGTATGCTAAAAAAGTTACACTATTTAACAATAATTCTACTAAAATGTTATTATATTATGTCAGGAAAATTTTGTGAAAAAAAAACTTTAGTATGTTATGAAAAGAAAAAAGTCACACAATAGGTGGTCAAATGAATGTAAGAAAACAAATGTAAAATTATTGATTATATAATATCAGCCCTTATTGCTACCCATACTCATATGGAGACACGCAGTAAGCTTGGAGTTGTCATTAAATGGAAATATCATTTCCTGACCAGGATTCAGAGAAAATAATTTTAATCAGCTTACAAATGTATCTGTGAATGGATGGGAAAACACTGCTTATGTAACAAATCCGCTGGGTGATTGTGCTAAAAAAATCCAAGTATGTCTCAGCATTCATCTCGGACTTCTCTTTATTCCACATCAAACATAACTTCATCATCATAACTTTCAGACAGAAAATCGGGAAACACATTCAAAATATTTTAAGCAGATTTAAATCTCCTGACGTATCACACCTACCATTTAGTTTGGTAATACACACAATATAAATTGTAAGAATAACATTTTATAAAAAAACAAAACCAAAGAACTGTCAAATGTATTTCATCACAAACTTTGTCCTGTACATATATATTGACACAGATAATAGAAACTCTCCTTGTAATAAGGCAGGAAGGCATCTCTACTTTGAGTTGATAGCTTGAGATGTATATGTACATGATGACCATCTATCTATTAGCATTATTATGTTTTCAACATCATTTTTGTATTAGCGTTACAAAAATCTTGAAGGTTATTCCAAAAAACATGACATTGTTCTGAAGGTATTTCAAGACTCCTCAAAAGGTATTTTTATCACCAGACAACAAAATATTGCTAATGCTGCCAGATAAAACAACGTTGAACCAATTTACACTTTTGTCTTGTCCTTAAAAATCTATCAATCTCACAATAAAATCGTGGTTAATATTTTTCTGGTGTAGAAAAATAGGTGTATTATTTCTGTGGTCCTGGAAAGGAAAAACTCACACAATAACACATATAATATGTTTTATTGTGCAGCAGATGGGTATTTTTGTCCTCCAGATGTTGAAAACATTTTAGAAGATACTGGAAACCCCACCAGGACAGCAGTAATCTTTGTTTTTGACGATCTCTAGTATATATTTTTGGAAAATGTTATTATTCTTCCACCCCGATGTAATAAAAAATACAAGATATGCACACTGACATTATTTACACATTTATGTACACTTCTCAACACTGATGTTAGTGCAACTGAGGTGCACTTGCGCCTTTGCCTTTATCCTCAGACATTCGCCACTTTTTCGGCCTTTGCTCCGAGTCCCTGCACAGGCCTTCGTCGCTGGCCGCCTGCAGGCTGTCAAAGGTGCCTTGCCTCTCCGTTCCCTGCAGGTCCTCTCCCTGCAGCCTGCGCCTCTTCCACACTTTGATGCAGCGATCCACGCAGCTGAATCGAGCCTCCGTGGTGCAGGCGTACATGCCGGCTGGCACCGCCAGCACCATCGCGCACACGATGACCACTATGTGGATGAGCTTCGCCCTTTGCTCCAGCTCGCTGATGTCGCTTCCTGTCACAAACACGATGCACTGGCCCTCCCTCGGCGGGTGGTTCTTCAGGGTCACGCACACCTCGTATTTGGTGGCCGGGAGCAGGTCGCTGACGGCGTAGCTGTTGATCCCGGGACCAATGTAGATCGTCTCCTTTTTGTGTGAATCATATTTGCCGAAGTGAATGGTGAACCAAGTTCCCGCCGGGTCACCCGTGGCCGCGTACCACTCCAGGGTGATACCGTAAACTGTCTGCTTGGCGATGCGGATGTCAATGTCGACGTTCTCATTTGAAGACAACATGGGGACAGGTGGAGGGGGAGCAGCAGAGGAGCTGGAGATGTTGATGTTGACCGTGATGCCGACAGAGCTGTTGCCAATGAAGTTATTGGCCGTGCAGGTATAGAGTCCTCCGTCTGCCGGGTGAAGAGAGGGGATCACCAGCTGAGAGGTGACGGTCTCCTCGTCTATGTGGGTCTCCGTAGCTGCAAGGAGAAACCGTAACGTCAGAGCGTTAGATTCAGAGGTTTGTTTATATCTGGTACAGACAACCAATATTTCTCACTTTTTCATGAAGCAAAGGCGGCCTGACAGTACAACATATACCAGGTTTAATGGATAGTAGTGATGAAAAAAGCAATCTTACCAGTAGACCCTCTTTTAATCTTCAGAGTGTACATCCACTGAATGGTTGGGCCTGGCCTGGCCTTTACTATGCATGTGAGTGTTGCATTTGCTCCAACAGGTAAAGTGATGTTAGTCTCTAGAGCAGAGGCCACGGGCTTCATGCACGTTTTTAACTGGATGTCGTGGAAATACGTGTTGGCTTTGGAGGCTGGGCCCGAGCACATCAAATAGGAGTTCATGAGAATGATGGGAGGGCTGACCGCTCTGATGAATTCAACGAAGCCTTTGAGGCGGCAGTCGCACGACCAGGGGTTGTCGTGCAGGGCCAGAACCACATTGGAGACCAGCCCTTCTTTACCCCACGCTTTCTCTGCTGTTTGGTAAAGCGGCCAATTGATGAAGACGTCTTTTGATATGACACTAAGCCGGTTGAAGGATAGATCTAGGTAGGTCAGTTTGAGTAAGTGTCTCAGAGCGTGTTCGGGGAGGACGTCCAGTCGATTGTGCTTCAGGTCCAAAATTTTGAGGTTCGGGGTGTCCCGAAAGGCCGTCCATGTTACTGAAGTCAGCTTGTTCCCTTGCAGCCTGAGCTCGGTCAGGTTGGCCAGCCCGTCCAGGCTTTTGACGTTCATCAACGTGATCTCATTGAAATTCAGCCAAAGGAACTCCAAGGCACTGACATTAGAGAAAGATCCTCGAGGTAACTCGGTCAGATGGCAGTTTTCAATTCGGATTTTTGTGAAATCATGTGGGATGTCCTCTGGTATTTTTGCCATGGAGGTTTTCATACATAGTAAAGACCTAAGACGGTGAGACGAGATATGTTTAGACAACAGAGATGCTTATTCTACGTTCTATCCATCTATCGTAACAATCGGGATTGTAGGTTCTAAAACGCCTTTAGCGGTTAGCAGGTTACATTTACCCCAATCGTGTTATGACTAACACGTGACCTACTCTTAATATATAAAATAAGTATGCATAGTACTAATGCTCACCTACCTTCCCAAGTGGTCATCTGTGCAGGAGCAACCGCTCAGACACGTTGATGATCCAGGCGTCACGAGATAAATTACCAAAGCGATACGTAATGCAACATAAAATGCGTCCATATTCTGCCAGGAGCATGTGAAATAGGCCGTCTGGAAGGGACATGGGCTGTGTAGCAGAAAGCCTATTACCTTAATCTTCCTTGACGTAACAGTTAAGACACCAAGTGACATGTGAGAAAACAAATTGGGTGGGGTCTTTTTTGTATAAAAAAGTTTACCTTTTTGACAATCCCGGAGAAGGACAGAATAACTCCTTTCAAAATTTTTCGATCAAGTTTTGGGGGTTTTCTCTTGGTACGTCCTCTTCTTTTTTAGAGATACACCCCCCCCCCGCCCCCCCGCCCCACAAACTGATTTGCATCAGTTTTATTTATTGTATTCGTCCCCCCACCAAAGTGGAGGGATTGCCCATGACAGGAGGGCCATCTGCATTAAGTGGGCCGGAGCCCTTTGGGCTTAGCAGCAGAGGGAGGGACAGATGTCTGGAAAGGCCCGTAATCTGCCCTCAATAATCTGAACATCGGTTGCCTCTCAGGTCGGTAAATCAGCATGGATGGGTTACGTGGAAAAAGGACAACATCCACTGCACTTTGCGTATTCAAAAGGCAAAACGAGGAGCTTTAATCATATGTTCCGTAACGTAGGCAACTCCCAGTTGTGTGACCGGTTTTGGATCGAACATACTGATACTGACTGCACAGCAATAATAACATTCTGGAAGCATAGATACTGATATGGGATATCTGTCCCATACTAACTCAAGTAGCTGAAACAATAAGATGATCTGATTTTCGATAACATGATCGAAACAATAACAGTTGAATGCATTAATATCTATCTAAAGTATTTATTTGTTTGATTTTAGTATATAAAGTTTGGAAGAAATGTGATGCCTGATTTCACTCCTTTTTTTTTAGCCCCGCTAAAATTGATTAAACATTGGTATCCCTTAATAGTCTAATATGTTACTCACGTGTTCAACAGGTATAATGTTTACAATCTCAGTTTAAATTATTAGTAACATTCGCTAAATTTAATGAACGTAAAATTGTGATTTAAAGGAAAGAAAATGTTGTGTAATAAATATATCCTGATCAAGCTGTCACATCATCTAATGCTGCTGAGATGAGCTGTGTCTATCCTCACAGCAGGCACTTTCAGTGAATTAGCGATTTACAAAGTTGTCAACGTATTTTCACAGCTATTAAATTATACTTTTTATTGTGCATGTAGGGGAAAAGAGTGGGAATAATTGTTCTCCCTGTTAATGTTTTTATTGGGTGTTGTATGTTTGCAGATTTTAAAGACCTTTGCGGCAAAATAAATTAGATTAAAAACAAAAATTTGATGAATCAATATAAAAAATATTTATTTTCATACAGTACATTAATACATACATATATTTCAGGTCAAAATATTTACACATTATAAAATGAAGGACTGGTGTATTTTAGTACCAGTAAACCTGGCACATAAAATTCATACTGACATACAAAATAGACTATTCACTGCTAATGATTTCCCTCAATAGTTCAAGACGTTGACAAAATAGAGAGCTTACATCTTCAAAAAAAATGAAAAAATGATTGGGTTTCAAACAGTTGTGTGCAACATTTTCCTCAGCAAGACATCACCTTTAAAAGTGCATGATGAATAAAAAAACAGACATATACGTTTACGTTACTCCACATGTAAATACTGAAACTGTGTATATGTTCCTTTCTTTGACATCCACCAAAATAATGGTGGTTTTTATTCCGACAAGGCTGTAAAATAACAATGCTGAGTGAGCTACACGTGACCACCTCAGTCTTTCGAGCCTCTGAGCAACAGCAGCTCATCTATTTACATCACAGGTTGGTAAAAAAAACAACAACAAAAAACGAAGTACGTCCTCTCCGGGTTGAGGACTTTGTTTTGGTTTTAGCAGAAGTACTCGTTGGGTGGCACTTCAGTCCTGGCTGTGGCCTCCGAGTCAACGCTGGACCTCGCTGAGAGCAGCCTGTTGGACTCGTCAGGATTTAGCCTGGTCAGGTACTCTCCCTCCATCCCCTTGGCTTTGTTGCCGGGGCCCAAGGTCTCGAAGGTGACGTACGAGTCCTGGATGTCCTTGGACTCCCGCCCCAGCAGCTTCTGGCAGCGCTTCTTTAGCGCCCCGCAGCACACGATCAGCGTCAGCGGGACGGCGATCACGCACGCCACCGTTATCACCACCACATTAATGAGCTTCTGGGTGCCGCTGGCACTCGCCGCCTCGTCTGTCGAGAAGATCACGCACTGCTCCTTTTTCGGGATGAGGCCTTTGACGCAGACACAAGCGATGTACTTTGTCTTAGGCACAAGGCCGTCGATGGTGATCCGATTCTTTCCGGCCGCCACGTTGAGCCGACGCATGTCTCTCTCGCCAAATACAGCGTACAGGACGCTGAACTCGGTGATGTTCGTGGCCGTAGGGGCCCGCCAGTTGAGAGAGACGGTGTGGTCGGTGTCGCCCATCACCTTCACCGAGCGCACCACCCTTTTCTCCGGAGGCTGCTGGAGGGACGAGGCGTTGGCTGCTAAGTTGCTCAAAGCGCTCATCTCCACCGGCCTCGGAGGGGCTGGAGCCTTGCCCCTTCCCTCTGAAGCAGCGTCGGAGATGCTGTAGCTTTCGACCTCATACTTCCCAGTCACACCTTGGCTGTTGAGAGGTTGGATGATGGGCTGGTTGGCGGTGCTGGCTGGAGGTACATATCTGGCAATGAGTTTCTCCTGGTATGCTGCTCTGCCAATGCCACTGGGTTTCTTCCCTCTGGTTCTCTTGGAGATCCCCCCACCGGCTTCCTCTGACCGAATGGAATCCGTGATCACCAAAGAGATGAGGGCGTCTGCAGAGCCCACAAAGTTGGTGGCTTTGCATATATATTTCCCAGAGTCTCGGTACGCGACCGCTGGCACGCTCAGAATCGACCAAATGACGCCCTCCTTCGAAATCTCTTCCTGAACTGAGGGACAGAAAAGCGGACAACCAACAGGCGAGTTAAACGGATTACCTCAAAAAGCGAATCATGCTAATATCGTTCACCTCCGATCCAAGCACGCGTGGACTCACCGGTGCCGTTCATCTTCTTTCCGTCAGCGCGGCTCCAGGAAAGCTCGGGGATGGGGACTCCGACCGTGCCACAGCGCAGCAGCACGTTGTTGCCCAGCGAGCTCCGTACACGAGCCACGGCCGTGTGCACCCGAGGGCCCTGGCACTTTTGCAGCTCTGCTTCGTTGAAGAGGACCCCCGACAGGCTCTCCGGATCGGCGCACCTCAGCCTGGTGTCGATGAGGGCCACCGATGACGATGGGGATTTCTGATACTGGACCAGGTCGTGCAGCCGGCAGTCGCACATCCACGGGTTGTCGTGGAGACCTGCAGGAGGAGATGAGGTGTGAGAAAGTGAGCAAAAAGCATCCTCTTAGGAATGAGCGTCACTATCCTCCGGTAGGATTTTTACTTTTTTAAGACCAAGTGCGAGTGAGTTAAAATACATAGAATTAGTGTGACACTGGACACAATAACTATAATTAGACTAATCCCGTAACTCTGTAAAAGCTATTGGTGTCAAAGAAGTAGTTGAAGGCAGCTTAAAAAGAATAGGTTCCAAATATGTCCCAGCTTGAGCCTCACCGAGAATTAGCTTGGAGGAATCTGCGTCCTGAGACGGCTTCACGCTCAGCCACATTGCGAGAACGTCAGCGGGAACGGTGGCCAGAGAGTTGCTGGATAAGTCCAGATAGGTGAGGTTCTTCATGTGCACGGTGGCATCGGCAGGGACGGCGGTGATCTTGTTGTTGTGCAGGTCGAGGAGCCTCAGGTTAGGCGTGTCCGTCAGAGATTCCCAGGGGAAGGAGGTGAGGGAGTTGCCCTCCAGCCGGAGCTCGTCCAGGTTGTAAAGGCCTCGGAAGCTGTCAACACTCAGTAGATTCAGCGAATTGAAAGACATCCACAGAAACTCCAGGCTGTTGAGGTAGTGGAAGTTGTCGCTTGAAATGCGCGTGATGGATGTCTTTTCGATGCGCAGCTTCGATGTGTCAATGGGAAAGTTTGGAGGAACCTCAGTGATCTCTGGATCATTGCAAAGTACACTCCTGCAAAAAGAAAAAGATAGAAAAGTATTTCAAATGTATTTTAATTATATCCAATACAACAGTTATGGGGATTAACAGTATTAAACTCACTTTCAATGTTTACAGGATGGTAAAAGTGGAATAAGTGAATTTATTTGAGAAAAACGTAGTTATCTATTGTTCAGTAACAAGCAAAGCAGATTAAAAGGCAACCAAGTTAATCCTCCAATAAACAGAGTGACTGAGCAGAGAAGCTTTTTGCAGAGAAAGAAAATAACATGTAAAACATACTAAGAATACAAATGAAACAACAACATTTATTATAGCAAATAGCCATATTTACCTTGCTTTTGATCCGTCGCTTAACTTGTGGAAGAAGCAGCTGCATTGTGGAGGACACGAACTGCTCAGCAAAGGAAGAAAAACTAAAGCCAAACCAAAAGCAGCAAAAAAATGTCGACTCATTTTTTCCTCCTGCAAGCTACTAAACGCTAAGCAGCTAGACTACAATTGAAAAAACTACTAGCGTTTTAATGCGGCATCAAATGCATGGTCGTGGTGTGCAGGCTCTCAGCTCCATACTGCTCCAACTGGTCTGAATCCTCAGATAAAAAGGATAGGCGGGGATTAGTGGAGGACTTGGGTTATTTTCATTCACACGATTAGGCTATTGCTTCCCGGAAGCTGCTAGGCTGCATAGTTTTTCCTTTATTCCTCTGGGGAATAGTTTTCAGTATTGCATGCATAGTTATTTAATGCAAAAAAACAACTACAACAACAACTGCACAGCACATAAATGAAGACGAAGAAGAAGGCAGACTGAAAACCATTAAAAAAATATATTTTATACGTGGAATTTCTTCAGATATACATAGATTATATGCTCTAGTTTCTTTTTTCTATATTTCTAGGTATACTGCTACATATTGGAGTAACAGCTAACATTTTAAGACTTCATACCTCAAATTAGACCAACAATTAGTGACCAAAAACAGATCACCACTTTTGGATGTGCTTAAGTTTTCATTAACAGTGATTTTGTTATGTTAGGCTGTGCTGACTTATGCAGTCTAAGAAAGTCCCACCCATTGACAGACTGTAGTTTGAAGGCAAGAAACGTAGCAGCACGTGTCCACTGGATGGCGGTAGAGAGTAGCTACAGGCATTTACGGTGTTACTACCTTTTTTATTAGACATCAAAACAGATAAATGACAGCAGAATGTAACCAAATTCAGCCAAAGGGTGGCTTTGGATAACAAATAAAGATCCACTTATAAAACCAGAGAAGTCAAAGTAGATCCTTATCTAAATTTCTTTAAGATTACTAATGTGCTTTTATTCAGCTGTATTAGGTTGTTATCATTTTCAGTGTGCTGCAGAACACGTTTTGTGGGTGACACACTTTGTGGAGGTCAGAAGGAGAGTCAAAGTCTTCGTGTTTTTTTTCACAGGTGAAAAGGTTTAAAAACACGGCTGTCCAACGGGATTTAAAATCCTTTAATCCAGTCATCTCTCGGTCTCATTTTGTGTCAGAAAGCTTGTTCCAGGCAGAAGAATAACAACCATAATAAGAACAATAACTGCGTTAGAGTGGAAAAAGGGAAAAACAAGTATTCCGTACCTACAAATTAAGTCATTGGTTATCACTTGGTATTTTTACAGGAACGAATAAACATTTATTTTACTTTTTCATCTTGTTCTTGATCTTCAAAGTTTTGAACAGTAAAAACCTTTGTTTTATTGCAGAACAAGAAGATTATGATTATGTAATTAAGTATTAGCTAATGCATCAACACTGCAAGGGTGCAAGCGCTATGTAAAAACAGAATGTATCACAGACTCAGTATTAAGGTCAGTTTCAGTTGTGAGTTTTATTCCCACAATATTCATATGTTGCTAGCCTCACACTATATTAGATAAGATGTTATAATAGATCCTTATTTCTTTTATTGAGCTCCATGGTGCTGACTTTCTTTAAAGTAAATGAGCCTTTGGTGAATAGTCTATTAATTCTTTTTTTTTTGCACAGTTTTCTTTCAAATGTTGCTGATGAACAATTTTTAATTCTTTCTTTTTTCCTAATGAGCGCTTCAAGTTCATAGTTTGACGCTGGAACTAGAACTTTACGGCATTTGGTGGCGTAGAGTCCCTAAAAAACACACAACGAACAGCGATTACAATTCATACCAGTTGTTAAATCCACTCACATTCTCAGTGATGATTTCTGCAGTGAGCTTTCAGTAGGGACATTATGGGCCCTTTGAGAAAAGGGTATTATAAGTCTATTGGGACACGTCATTACTTCATAGTTAATGAGTTTGTGGTAATCTGTCGGCAGATTAGTGGTGCAATCAGATTCGGTCAGAAATGTAACATTTTTAAATGTTAAGGCTGCAGCCCTGTTCTGTTAAGGATATTTATGAGGAAAGGAATGCGGTTGTGATGATTTCACAGACCTTTATTTGACCTTTCGCACGTATAGTGGCTCCTAAAGGAAACATTAGGAGGTGGAGTCCAAGTGAACAAAAGGAGATTATGTAGTCATTTGTTGGTCTGGTGAAAAGCGGCCCTTTTCTTCACATGCATACTTCATGATCCAAGGAAGGTTTGTTTTTAATGTGCAGAAAGTTGTAAAAGAGTGTAACCATGTCACAATGCTGGGGAAAAAAGTCTGTCTGTTCTAAAAGGTTATCCACCTTCTGCACATCCTGCTTCTGCAATTCCCAACTATACCCATTATTTTTTCACTACATAACACAAAGCTGAACGTGTATCTCCGTGTATACACATGCAGTACATTCAGGCAATGCATTTTGAAGTTATGTATCAATTAATATTAGAAGAATTCCTCAAAAAAAAGAGAAACATAACCCAAAGTCCCATTTGCTTCATTTTTCTATCAATTCAAAGCTAGAAATCCCATATTTGACAATGTGACGGACATAAAACAGTTATGTGTACAAATGCATTTAAATTGCAGCGGTGAATGTTATCAATCCATCACCTTTTTATTTCAGAAAAAAATAAAATATAATAATAAGCAGTGAACACTTTGTGTTTGAGACTTAAGATTTATCAAATACAACCAATCGATTGACGTTTGGTGAAAAACCACATTTCCCATGTCTCCACGTGGTCCCTTATCAGAAACCCGGCAGTGGGTCAGAAGACACAAAGTGTCCTAACGGGGTCCTCGACTTTGCTGCAGCAGCAACAATCTGAGCAAATAGCGGACTTTGCAGCGAAGTGGCGCTGTTGAAGGAGGCCTGGAGAGAAGTTGTCCTCGTTAGGACATTCTTTGGGGGATTTCAAAAAAAAGGGGAGGTTTTTTTTTTTTTTTACCAAAGATTAGTGTCTTTGTGCCGTTTCACGTCAAAGCGCCTTTATAAGGCGGCCTTTTTGTGCGCTGCGCAACGAGAGGAGGACTCGGTCGTGTGCAAAGCGCGTACAAGTTTGTGCGTTGTTTGTGTGTGTGTGTGTGTTTTTTTAACAAACATGGCAGCGTTTGCGTTACCGGAGGGATTCACGGAGTTTGACATGTTTACGTTCGGCTCTGCGCTGCTGGTGGGCGGTGAGTGGACCCGAGAGCACCAACGTCTTCCTGCTGCGCTTAAAGAGACAGTTCAAACTGCTGCAAAACAAAAACATCCGCTGAAAATCACGAAGAAAAACTAAGCATGCCTTTGGCTTTTTTGTCGTTGTGGTGTGATTTGTGAAGTCAAAACCGTGCGGATCCGTCACAGAAAAATGAACTGGGCATTTCTCCTTTCTTTTCAGGCCTGATTGGATTCTTCCTCAACGCCATCAGCATCGCGTCTTTCCTCAGGGTGAAGGAGATGTGGAACCCCAGCAACTTCTTTGTGTTCAACCTGGCGGTGGCCGACATCTGTTTGAACGTGAACGGCCTCACGGCTGCGTACGCCAGCTACCTCAGGTATCCAACGCCGAGGCCGTTCCTCCCCGGAAGGCCCATTTTGCACCATGGTGGGGTTTTAAACATTAATTATGGCAAGAAAAAAAAGAAAAGAAAAAAGGCTTAGGCCTAGTACTTGGTGTCAACCAAGTGGGTTGCACAAAATAAATAAGCCTTCGGGTTGATAATCCACATCCGGGACGTCTGGGAAGGGCGCAGCGCTGAAATGCAGCGAAAAATAGGTTTAAGCAGCAATGAATATGACCCGGGTTTTGCTGTCTCTTTCTAGATATTGGCCATTTGGTCAAGATGGATGCACCTTTCACGCTTTTCAGGGCATGATAGCGGTACTGGCGTCCATCAGCTTCATGGGTGTCATCGCGTGGGACAGATATCACCAGTACTGCACCAGTGAGTGAAACCCACCACAAGAACTGGCACCAGTTTGATATGAAACTTAACCTAAGAAAAAAAGTGACATGTATTGAAGGTGTTTGTGAAAACTAATTAGTGGAAGCAAATCTTGATGTTGTCATCGTGGCTCTATTCGTGTGGCAATTCATCTCGCATGTCCTGTATTTAAAACAAACAATATGTTAAAAGGTCAATTCTCAATCCAGTATTTGTCTTCACTCCTGAAGGACAGAAGCTCTTCTGGAGCACTACTTTGACGATGAGCGCCATCATCTGGATCCTTTCCATCTTCTGGGCTGCTGTTCCCCTCATGGGATGGGGCGTCTACGACTTTGAGCCTATGAGGACGTGCTGCACGCTGGACTACACCAAAGGGGACAGGTACAATCATATGACTATAGGAAGGCTGGAATGTTATTTACATACACGGTTCACATCTGTGTCTTTAGTTAAAAAGATCTATAATGACTTTTTCAGACCAAAAAGCACAGGGATTAAGCAATCGTACTTTCCTATGAATCTCTTTTCAACAGGGACTATGTGACCTACATGCTGACTCTGGTGTTCCTCTATCTGATGTTCCCAGCGCTCACCATGTGGTCGTGTTACGACGCCATCCACAAACACTTTAAGAAGATCCATCTCCACAAGGTACATGTGCAAAAATGAAAAAAAAAAACCTTGAGGTTAGAGGAATAGAAATAGAATTCAATAATTCTGCCTCTCGCGGAGAGATATTGACGCCTGAAGCCAATAAACTTAGTTTAGCAACAAGACTGGAAATCCTCTGCGGTCCACGTGTAATATCTGTCGTAACACAGTGAACTCTGTTTCCCAGTTCAACACCAGTACGCCCCTGAGGGTATTGCTGATGTGCTGGGGCCCCTACGTCCTCATGTGTATCTACGCCTGCTTTGAGAACGTGAAGGTCGTATCTCCAAAGCTCAGAATGGTGAGCATTTATTTAGTTCTATTCAACCTAAGAGTAACAAAGTACAATCAAAGGTAAGAAAAAGGAAGAAAGTAAGTCTCAGTTTAAAATCTGGCTAAAATGACAACTTTGGCTGCTCATGTTTTTCTTGTAGCAATGTCAATGTGTTCTTCTACCATCAATTACCTGAAAACAATATGACACCTCAAACTGTCCCTTAGAACCAAGTACTTACATGATGAAAATCCTCGTTGGTGCTCGCAGGTGCTTCCAGTTGTTGCAAAGACAAATCCCATCTTCAACGCCCTCCTCTACTCATTCGGAAATGAGTTCTACCGTGGCGGCGTGTGGCACTTCCTCACCGGGCAGAAGATGGTTGATCCAGTTGTCAAGAAGTCAAAATAAAAGGAAACTTAAGTGTGTTATCATCAGATCATCCATCGATGAGCCCTTCAGATGTCTGTTCAGTTGGTATATATTGTGGACCTGAGCTGAGAACTCATCACATTCTCTACATTTGCCTATACACATACCAAATTGCCTTACCGTACGCAGTGTGGCGTTGAATTTTAGTTTGTATTAAGCAGTTTAAATTGTGCAGAAAAAAATACTCAATTTGCAGCCCTTCCTGGTGTAACAAACTTTGCACGTGAATAAAGATGCCAATGTACATGATTACTTTACGCCGTTAAGTGAAGAGACTAGATTTCAATTAATCTGATGAACACATGCACAATGACAAATTGTAATGCTAATACCAACATTCAAAAGTTTGGGTTCTTTAGTGCGTATTTCCGTGGATTCCATCTATCTCATTATAAAAGCAAGTGTCAGCGAGGGCACATGAAAATAAAAGCACCTCGATCAAAGAGGTGCTGAAATCACCATAGAAACACGCCTCTGTCTCGCTGAGCTCAGAGCCGACTGACGTCGTTGCCGGACAGGTGTCGGCGGGTGAAATCCTCTCACCGTCAGAGGCGGCCTACACGCGTAAGAGGAGTCGGCCATAATGAGCAACACTGAACCTCAACGCAGGTTCAGAGCCAAGCAGCGTCTCCTGTCGTCTCCCTGAATTAGAAAAATAAAAACATTTATGGCTCACGTGTGTCTTAGGCTTGGATTATCAGTCCATGACACATTTTCTAATAAAGGCACTTCAAAGGATGAATGCATTCATTTACGCGGCTACAAGACAAAACGTCTTCACCGTCTAAATGGGTGTTATTTGTGGTTTGGTTTGTGGTCCCTCTGAGGTTGACTTGTGAGGATGTCCAGACTGACTTTAATGGGTGTATTGTTAAATGTCACATGAACTAATGCAATGTAGCACGCACAATCATATTATTCATGCGTTTCTATTTCTCTTGAGTTTATGAGCAAATGCCTGAGACAAAAACAATGACTTTCAAAAGCAACACTGGGTGCTACTCCAAGTTAGCAACAGTCTAGTCTAAACAAAAAATAAAACATTTAACCTGCTTAGCATATTATATATATATATATATATATATTACAAAAGAAAAAGTACTCCCGGAGCAATAAGGTGACTCATGGCGCCTTAGTGTCCTTGCAGGACCCCAAACAAGCGCTTTTCATTAGCAGGTATTACACATGTCAGGCACACGCATGCGCTCCCTCAATAACTGTGTTTGTCCTCGTCCATTTGGGCCGAACGGGGTTGAACCCAGGAATGACTCCACAAAGATCAGCATCGGGTTCTTGGGAATAGCCGCCCCCGTTGATTGACTTCTGATTAAGGGACAAGTGTTTGAGGACCGGCGATCTAAATCGGTCCGAGCTGTCGACAGAAGCAACAGAAATAGCAACAAGCTCCCAGGAAGAACAACTTGTCTGAGAGAGAGAGAGAGAGAGATAAAGTCTCCTTGAGCTTTCCTACGACACATTGTGCAGGTTGCTAAATCTGGCAACAACCATTTTCCATTTAGTCGAGTCAGGATTTAGATTACCATCCACCCACAAGGTGAGCTGAAGCTGTTCCCGTCTGTACTTGAACAGTGACCAAAAAAAACCTTACGCAGCAACAAAAAAAAAAAAAACAGCCCCAAAGCACATGGCCCATCACACGTGACATGCTAACAGAGATTTACTTAATCAGACTCAGATGTTGCCCTTAGGAGCTCCAGAAAGACACAACTCTGGCCATCAATTTAGAAAAATTGTGCCATGATGCGACTCAAACTCACTAGGAAATCTTCTGATATCGTCTTCTCATTGACACCACCGACGTTACCACAGTAAACCAAACTACAAATGATCATTTCATCTATCATGTGGTAGTAAACCTTGCACAATAATGAAAACATGACACTCCGTATGAAAACTACAACCCTAAAGAGCTATAATAAAATAATTGGGATTTTAAAAATCCAAATAGTACAAAAAACATAATAAAAGGGGTGAATACAGTTTAACAATTAGATTGTTTCAAAAATCAAAAAGCACAAGGACTGTTGGAAGGGGGATTTTGGTTTAGGAGCACTGTATTTTACATTAAATGATGTTACAATGAAGTTAAAATAAAAAAGTGAAGCACAGAGGTCGATTGAGGAAAACAGTGTTTGCATAAATTCCCATGTAAATTATTAACCTTGTATTGGCCCACGTAACACAATAGTCTATGTTACATAATGATTTAACTGAGGGCTATTTAGAAAAAAAGCAAAGGTCAAAGAGAATCCTGCTTTAAACATTTCATGTTACAGTCATCAAGTCAGATTAGATGACAGGAGTCGACGTGTCACATGACAAAAACATAGACCTTACGTAACACTGCATGTGTCTGTTAATAAACCAAAACAATTTCTTTCACCAACTGATATTCTAATTTGAATACAGCAACAAATGTGACTTCTCAGGAAAGAGATGTGAGACTAGTCCTGCTTTTTTTTTTTTTTTAAATAACATTTAAAGCATTGTTTTAGAGAGTATAATCTGGATTAGAATACACTTGCGTCATTACAGATATCACAGATATCTTTTCTGCTGGCTTCATGATCTCATGATCTCTCACAGCGTCTTTACATTGTCCATGTCTCTACCCAGAGGACAGCGCTGTCCCTCTGAACTCCAGATTACAGTCAACAACATTACTGCAACAACATCACCCGAATAAAATCGGTGTTTTAGAAGAACTGTAGCGTGTTTATCTGACGGCTGCCGCTGTGCAAAGCCTCTCTCATTAGTGAAATTGGGCAGTAATTTCCTGTGATGTTTTAATCCTCCTGTTGTATTAATGTGGCTTTTTCTGCATCAAATAATCCACTTAACATGCTGGAAACGCCCCTCCGCTGTCTGCTGAGATCATCATTCAATATTCTCTTTAACTGTAATCATCAAAGGTGTTGATATTGAATGTACAATAGCAACATCTACAATAAAAGCAGACCACATAAAGTAGTAAATAATTGCACGTGGGACACGTTTTCTTGTTATTACTATTATTATTATTATTTGAACTTAAAAGAAATATAAGTGAAAAGATACAGTTTGTTTGATTGTTGTAAAAGATAGGCATGCTAAATTGACCTTTCAACAACTATTACTGTTGTAAACCAACATAGCATTTTGTAACATCATTTATTAGCTTTTAAAGACTGGATGACTGACGTTAACTTAAATCACTTGCTTTTGGTCTAGTGTTTTAGGTTATAGTCTATTTTTTTTATTTAGGTACTGTCCTATTTTATGGGATCATGAATCACACACTTATCATCAAGTCTTTACTGCCCTCTACTGACAAACAATGTCAATGTTTAGTATTTTTAGATAATAGTTGATTTTAAATAAGCAAGACTTGAATACTTCAAATTTTCTGAAGTATTAAAAAACGTGTACTTTTGTTGTTGTTTTTTACGCATGTCAAATGAACCCAAATAGAAATTAGCTGATTTGATTTGATGATGAAAATAATCATTAGAAACATCAGATTTAACTGTAAAAGAAGTATCATTAGGTTAAATGTTTTATAATAAAGTAACTACTTTATGTACAACAACACTGGGATATGGGATGCTTTTAAATGGGATGTTTTTAACATAACTTAATGACGTTGAGTGCACTAGTGGATTTCCGCCACACGGTGTCGCCGTTGTCTTATGTTAAATATTTCAAAGGGTCCCCACATCGCCGTAGTGGTTGGCGCGATTTTCTGTACTTAACGGCCGCATAGTTAGTGTGTTTATTGGCATGATTTGTTCCTTGTATACATTCACCTTTTAACCTTTTGATTTTATTTTCCATTAATGAAGTGAATGACGACCTCCTCGGGGGCCTTTTCATCGTCGTCTGGTCCCACCGGAGCTGTCCACAGACTCGTGGTTCTGAAATATCTCGCGCTCGTGCTGAATTAGGACGTCCACGAGTTCATAGCTGATACACTAAACTAGAAACGTACTTTTACAGTTAATGAATGTATTTGTATGTGATTTTTGATATGTGTGGTGACTTGTTGGCAAGAACTCAGTTTATAGTTGTTTTATTAATACTTAGTGTTTATTAAGTAATCTTTAAATGTTCTTGCACACGCTATGCAGTCACGCTCTATAGAATGATCTAAGAAACCCACCAAAGTCGAGAGTCACACTGGACATTGAGAATGAGAAAGCTTCTTTTTCTTCGAGGCTCTTGGAGAGGGGCCGTGTGATGTTGTGCTCATTGCCTCTTATTGGTTGAAGTGATTGCTGCCATGGATGGAAATTAACATAAAGGAGGCAAGTGGCGAAGGGATCCACTTGGGGGCAAGCTGGCGACGCGTCATAGCTCTTGGTGAACAGAGGAGACAAAAAGGGGACTAAAATAGCGTCGAACCTGCGGGTTTAATGTGCACCAATGACCACGGAGTCACTCGTGGTCTCAGAGCTGCGCACAAAAGTGCCACAGGTGATAGGAGGAATGAGCACAGAGACGAGAAGACTTTTAGCGCCCTAAGGTGTCGCAAATAAGTAACCAAATTCTCTCCAAACAATCTTTGCCATGTGAGATTAGCGAGCGAAACCTCTGCGCGGTGCAGAAATTCGACGATTTCACCACGTCACTTCTCGGGAGATCATGAAACAACATCGGAGGTGGCTGAAGCGAAGACACGTTGAGAAAACGGAGGGAAACTATTTCCACCGATGAGGCAAGCGGGTTCCCCTTCGCCTCTCCCTTTACGCACAGGCGAGGTGAGGACGGAGAGCAACGCATCGATGTAGAGAAAACACCAATGAGTCATCCGAGGTGTTAAAAGCAGAGGAGCAGAAGCACAACAAACCTTTTTTTTTTGATCGAAAGTCCTAAAAAGCACATCATGGATGGAGAGGGAAGATCTTCCGGGCTGGTCAAGTCAGCCGCGTTAAAACTGTCCGAGATAAGCGAAAGGACCAAGGAGTTAGGCACCGCGATGAAGGATCCTCACCAGCAAAGACGGATCATCTTAGTGATCGTTTGCGTGGCTCTCCTGCTGGACAACATGCTCTACATGGTGATCGTGCCAATTATTCCGGACTATCTTGCTGAGCTGGAGAGTGAGCAGTCAGAGCACGTCCACGTAGTGATACACCCCAACTCTTCAACCAACAGCACAAGCCAAGACAAAATCAACAAAAACAATTTAGATGTTCAGATTGGAGTACTTTTCGCCTCCAAAGCGATCCTGCAGCTGTTGGTTAGCCCGCTGTCGGGGACTTTCATAGACCGGGTCGGATATGACATTCCACTTTTAATTGGATTGAGTGTCATGTTCGTGTCCACGTGCATATTTGCGATCGGGGAGAACTACGTGACGCTCTTTGTCGCCAGAAGTTTGCAGGGTCTGGGGTCGGCTTTCGCGGACACCTCTGGAATCGCGATGATAGCCGACAAATATACGGAGGAGTCCGAGAGAAGCACGGCGCTGGGCATCGCTCTGGCGTTCATCTCTTTCGGGAGTCTGGTGGCGCCTCCTTTCGGCGGCATCCTTTACGAGTTCGCGGGCAAGAAGGTGCCCTTCATCGTGCTCGCGTGCATTTGCCTGGTGGACGGCATTCTGCTGCTGACTGTGATCAAGCCGTTCTCCAACAGGACTAGAGAGAACATGCCAGTCGGCACCCCCATATACAAACTCATGGTCGACCCGTACATAGCTGTGGTGGCCGGGGCGCTGACGGTCTGCAACATCCCCCTGGCCTTTCTCGAGCCCACCATAGCCAACTGGATGGAGACCACCATGCACTCCACTCAGTGGGAAATGGGGCTCACCTGGCTCCCGGCCTTCTTCCCGCATGTCCTCGGCGTGTACATAACAGTGAAACTGGCAGCTAAGCATCCAAATTTGCAGTGGTTCTACGGAGCTTTGGGGATGGTCATCATTGGGGCGAGCTCCTGCACGGTCCCTGCATGCAAAACTTTCGGGCAGCTCATCGCGCCTTTGTGCGGCATTTGTTTCGGCATCGCGCTGGTAGACACTGCGCTGCTGCCGACACTTGCATTTCTAGTAGACGTGCGTCACGTTTCAGTCTACGGTAGTATTTATGCCATAGCAGATATTTCCTATTCTGTCGCGTATGCTATGGGTCCTATAGTAGCCGGTCAGATAGTGCACAATCACGGGTTTGTACAACTCAACTTGGGTATGGGACTCGTCAATGTGCTTTACGCGCCAGCCCTGTTGCTGCTGCGCAACGTGTGCCAAATGAAGCCGTCCTTCTCGGAGAGAGATAACCTCCTAGAGGAGGCTCCGCAGGGGCTGTACGATACTATCAAGATGGAGGAGAGGAGAGCTAAAAAGAAGGGATACCGTTCGGCGGGGAATTGCTTAGCGGTGGATGAAAATGGGTTTGAGCAATTCACAGCACAGCGGTCCGTGTCAGAGGAGTCGTCCGGCCCAGAGTACATTTAACCCGGTCACGCTCTCACCGAAACCCCGAAACATTCCCCCGGGAGAGATTTGGAGGCGAGGCAGGTTCTAGTCAAGTCATTTAAACTTTTATGTAAGTACCGATGTGCAATATAAACACCCAGTCAACAAGAACATGGTGTGATCCGCTTTTATTGCTTCTTTTTGACTGTGGTTTTATTGTGTCAAACAAGTCTATGTAGCGTTTGTCATGGACGTATAACTGGAGTTTTGTGCGAGATCTATCAGCTACCGTTGAATTCGTGTGTATTACTATTGTAAAAAGATATGAATAGATAAATGTACGCACAATATTATATGGGACCAACTATATGCAGCACAGCCCCCCCCACCCCCCCTACACAAAAAAATAGCCTATATTTTTAGTCTCCGAAGAAACTTTTTTTACTTGCACATCAAAGGCCGGATTTTCCTTTTATGTCGTTAAAAATAATCGTGAATTTTGATTTTGAATCAAGTGGGCCTGTTTGAAATGTTTCTGATGTTTGGAATTAAATGTATCATATTAAATGGATTTTGGACATATGTGCACAGTGTAAATGGTTAATACGTGGACCTCTACAAAGTATGTGTGCGTTTATTTGTGTGTACGCGCGCGTGTATGGTTAAAACATTTTGTCAAAACGTAAACACGTGTATATTCATTTATCAATTGTCGTTTTAATAAATCTCCGTCTGGACTTGTGTGACACTGGTGATTTTATTGTTCTTTGAAGCTTCAAAAGAATACAAAATAAATTAAATTTGAACCCTTTTCGTTAGAAATATCATGAATTCAGTTTATAAAAGTGATCCAGACTCCATTTAACTTTGTGTTGAAAAAAGGAAAATCTCATCGCAGTGTCATTATGCAGGGTGATTATGTGATTATTGAACATAAAACACCTGATGCTTTCCAGTTACAGGTCTCTCACAGGTCGGCACATTTGCCGTAATATAAAAAATAACAAACATAAAAAGGTTAGTTTGGTTTAAAAAATAAGGCCACGGATGCAGAAATTAATATATATATATATATATATATATATATATATATATATATATATATATATATATATATTCGACAGGTGCAACCCACGGTCATTAAAGTCAGGCTAAAGAATTTTGCCCGAAAACGTGTAGGACCCGTAAACGCACCACATGTGTCGTCTCTGTCGACCCAGGACCTCTCAATGAATAGACGGACAAAAAGTCACTCTACTTTTTTCAACAGTAAAATTCTTATCGAGGGGATGGGGGGAGGGGAGGGGAGGGGGAGCATGGGGGGGGACAAGCTGTCAGATAATATGTTCTACGAATAGATTTCAATGGGAGGAGTTTATTGCCCCAAGGGGGCAGGTTGGACGCAAACACCTTCAGCATCTTTTCCAAGGCGCGCTTTAATGTGGAGTCGCAGCCTTATGGCGAGGCGAGGCAGTGAAGTCCAGCGCCTCGATGGAGCCGTACACTTAAAATGGGATTTCACAGCGTGGTCGTGGGAGGAAATGTGAACTTCCGCTCGCTCATCTGACCTCGACCGGGTAAGGTACCTTTTCTTCTCTTTAAAGTCTATGCTCTGGATGAGCTCTGATGGTGCGTGTACGATTATGTGTCTTTAAAACTAATTTACTCTACAGTCAGCCTCAGTCTTGTGAAAAGTGTTCTAATTGTTAACCCTTTAACTTTTTTATTTAAACCTTGCATCCATCGATACAGAATAATCTATAATTGTATATTTATTATAGCAGCATTTCATTAAAATGTAATTACAAAGTTCAGCTAAGTACACATTTTCTCAATATATTGGCAGACTTTTCACTTAATTGTTTTGGGAAAAAATGAGGCGTCGAGGAGCTTTTTAGATGCACATCTATTTGCGGTGGTGAGCGATGAGACGCAGCTGGAATTCAAGGACATGAAGCAAATTACATTAAGCTGCAAAACGATGAAGAATGGAAGCCTGATGGTTCACGTTCAGACAGCACTGTATAACTCCCTTTCTCAGAAGGCCTACTTTTATTTTTTATACTTGTCTGATATCTTTTCAAATATCTTTACATACTGCATGAAGGGAAGACGGACTCCGGATTGTCTCCAAAGGCTCTCTACATCATTTCCCTCTAACTGGACTGGAATGCAAAGATGCCAATCATGGAGAAACAGACGGCCAGAGACAAAAAAATCCAAGTATGAACACATGCAATTCCCTTTCACAGCGAAAATGTTTAGTTCTTACGTACGTATTCTCTTTTTATGGTATTGTAACACTCGGCATTGTCCATGGTGCTGAAGTTGGCAAAGTAATAATGTTGAATTTCAGCGCCACTTACGCTAACTGGCCGCTGGGGGCAGAAAAGACAGCGGGCCTTTTGCCTTTCAGGCATTGCAATTATTTTGTGTCATTTAATAATTAAGTTTTCATTGTTTTACTGTGGTTCGATTGGCTCTAAATGTAACCCTCTCCAGAATAAAACAGTGTGACAGTAAAATAAACATCTAATTCCAGGAATTCGTAGGAAACCCATTCTTAACTGAATATATAGTTCACTTATGCAAATATCAAACATCAGACAGAAAAGATAATCAATGTGCGTTCCCTATTTAATGAAAAAGAGCGTTTCAAGTCCCAAAAGAGCCATAGAGTTTATTCTCAAATAAGCCTGGAAGCATTTGAGTTGAATTATTAACACAACTTCTTATAAAAAAATGATGAAATGAAACATGAAGAAATGATGTGAGAGAATTACACTTTCACTAATGAACCCCTGTTGAATCAGAGGAGAGACTGAACCTTTGTAAACAGCTGCTGTCCTTTCATTACTTATTATGAGCATTTATACCAACCTGTGTTTCTTTTTATGACATCAGATGTTGCCGAAGGTCCCTGTGCCCCCCCTCAAACAGACCCTCGACACTTACTTAAAGTGTGTTCAACACCTGGTGAAGGAGGAGCAGTTTAAGAAAACAAAAGCCGTCGTGGAGAAGTTTGGGGCTCCTGGAGGTGTTGGAGAGGTTCTCCAGAAGAAGCTTTTAGAGAGGAGGGACAAGACTACTAACTGGGTAAACTCTCCTATTGCCTATTTGCAAGACAAAATAAAAACGCGGCTGCTTTCCTCCGTTGGTCCCGCTGTGTCAATTACGTTTGCCTTTGTTTTAATTTTCCTTAATAGTTTTTGGTTGTGTTGCTCCTTCATCAAACGTTACTTTGGAAAACTCAATACAGTCATTAAAAAAATTCTCTAATGATTTTTCTTCAATAATAACTTTTATTATTCACTATTATTATAGTCTAATTCATTTAATTTGATCTAATGCAATAGTGTTTGTAATGGGCCTCGACTCGTTTAGTTTTTTGTGTAAAAAAAAGAAGAAAGAAAGACGACCTCCAGTTCCTCGAAGAAAGAGTGTAAATAAAAGAGTTCAAGAATGTGAAACACCTTAAAATGTATTTATTGGAGAGATTTACTGGAGCCTTTGTTGCTTCAATATCTCCACCGGGTGAGTCGGTCAGCTCACAACTCATCCAGCTCAGTGGAATCTGTCACGCTCCCACTTCTCTCCCACTCTCCTCTACACCTGGCAGTGATACACCGTAATGCTTTTTTTACTCCATTGCCCAACTCTGACAGTAATAACTTGAGTTCAAGAAGCTCGACAAAGACCCCATTTCTCAGAAAGCGTCCCTGTGTTTGTATCCAGGTGTACGACTACTGGCTGGAGGACATGTACTTGAACAACCGGTTGGCCCTACCGGTCAACTCCAGTCCTGTCATGGTGTTTCCTAAGCAGATGTTCAGAGACCATAAAGACGCCCTCAGGTATGTGTTGGACTTTTGGTGCCGCCATTGCCGAACCAGAGAGTTACCGAAGGCTCTGTAACGACTGCTGTTAACTGAACCGGTTAATGAGATGAGCAATTCAAGTGAGAACCTCCTAAAGTCACTTCAGGGTATGGTGACCACATGTAAACAATATGCAAAATGAGCAACTCTGACAAAGGATTCAAATGTTCTTAAATTATTTCAACGATGTATCAGCAACTTTCATAGAGGACTAAGAATCATCACACTTGAGGAAGCAGACAGATGATGCATCATAATTGATTATCTGATTAGCAAAAGAGTAGCAGATAAATCTTCTGTCCCTGAAATATTCATCTCAGCTCTGTGGGAAACCGTCTTTGTACTTTGCTGCAGATTTTCACTCATTTTGAGAGCTGCAGGCAATCTCACATTTAAGTGAAAGTAGACACGCCAGTAAGTAAAGTACATCACACCAACATCCACCAAAAAAAGCCCCACCCAAAACTTCATATCCCATAATAACGCAAGATTGCGTGAGCATCTTCTAACAACCACTTTTCCAACCACAATACAAAGTACGCAGCATATCACCCGCTTCCTGACGGGGTTTTATGTTCATCTCAGCAGGCACAGACTCAGATTAAGATCTGAATTGCGGACATGGAGAAAATCACTGCCATCATTTCTTTGTTGCATCTCTGCCTGTTATTAAATGAGCCATGATCCACCAGACATCACACCAGTCCGCCAAGGGCCTGTGACTCAACATCAGCCATTGCCAACTCTCGCCGCACTAACTGAATAGTTCCCGAGCGGCCCGAGATGGTCATCTACTCACACGGACACTTATTAGACTGGGAGTGACGGGGCCGAGCTCACCGCAGAGGCCGCCGGTCGGGCTTCATTTAGGGGAGCGCTGCGGCCGCCTCCTTTTGTATTGATCCGGCTTTGAAAGTAATAACAGCAAGACAAACGACATACAACATGAGACCTGACGGGGCTCTGTGTTTTTCCCTGTTTGCCCACACCGCCCACTAACGCAGGCGGACTGGCTCTCTCTCTCTCTCACTCACAAACACAGCCCGCCCACCGCATCCCAGTAATTCCCCATAATGTCATTACTGTTGGGCCTGTGAGAGATGAGAGCAGATCCAATCATGGTCAGCCACCGGTTCGCCGTGCATGTTCAGTGTGTCGTGTTCTTTTTAAATTCCCCTTTCTAAATTTCTCACTCCTTTAAGATTTGCTGCCGGTCTCATCGGCGGAGTGTTGGAGTATGCTGCTCTCATTGATGCGTAAGTTCACTGGTAATGAATTACCTGCCACCGTGCACCTTCAGCCCACACTTGCAATGTTACCCCAATGGGGAATTGAAGATGAAAGTAAAATAAGTTGATAACAATAAAGTGTGAGGGTCTGGAGGTAATAATTCCATGTGTGTAATATCGTCTCCCAGGCGAGCGCTGCCAGTGGATTTTGCTCGAGGCCAGCTAGCTGGGACGCCTCTGTGCATGGAGCAGTACTACCGCCTCTTCAAGTCCTATCGCTACCCGGGGTTAAAGACGGACACGCTGGAGGTCCAGATGGACGCGGCCTCCTCAGCGCCGCGGCACATCGTTGTGGCGTGCAAGAACCAGGTCAGCGCACCCGCCTCTGAGGAAACTTTTTGCACTTCATCACACTGCGAATAGTGTCCTTTCCATTTGACAGAGAATATAACTAAATGCAAAGATGATTTTGAGGTTTTTTTGGGATTGATGCTGAAAGTTGAGAGAGGACATCATGTCAGACTTGTGAATTTGCTTTGGTTCGCCTGCTTTTTCCTTACCTCCAGAGATGTGATGGATTTAATATTACATGCAGCAATACTGGCCTGTAGTGCAGATAAATTATCCCATCATCAGATTTCAGTATCTGTAACGAGACAGCCTGCCTACAATTGCAGTTACAATTCTTTATAGAGATGCACATAAATGCATCAACCCTTGTGTCGCTAACATGCAGGTCTGAGGTCAAACTTTACTATTCTGATTCAATTTAGCTCAGTGATTGTGCCTTTAAATAACCTCAGAAAGAGGCTCAGTAGGAGCTCCCACCTGGAAATGGATCTGGGAACTATCAATCTGTGGCACATAAGGGCCGGTCCCTATGGAGATACAGTCGGTTAACTAAATTACTGTTGATTGAATCTGCCAGAGCTTCCTTGAGTCGTGTCTTTAACTGGTCGCAGTAGACAGCTGTTCAGGTACCGTACCGCTCTAACAATAAACTCAGATATGATTGATTATTAGCAGACCGGGAGACATCTAAGCGGTATCATGTGCACAGGATTTCTTTGTCTTTTTCTTTTCACTAGTTTTTCGTGTTGGATGTAGTCGCAAACAGCAAGCAGCTCACCGAGTCTGAGATCTTATCCCAACTGGAGGAAATCATGACAATGGCAGAGAAGGCGGATGAGAAGCTCCCTCCTTTTGGCATCCTGACATCTGATGGGAGAACAGAATGGGCACAAGCCAGAGATGCACTCACCAAAGGTCTCGCCCTCAAACGCTTCTCTGTGTTTTTAACAACCGTAAACAAATCTCAAATAGTCTCCCCCCCCCCCCCTCTTTCATCCAGATCAAACCAACAGGGACTCTCTGGCCCTGATCGAGAGCTGTCTGTGTGTGGTGTGTCTGGACGAGCCCAGCGGGCTGGAGCCCAGGGACACCAACAGGGCCCTGATGATGCTGCACGGCGGCGGCCGCGAGAAGAACGGGGCGAACCGCTGGTATGACAAGTCAATGCAGGTAGGGCAACATTGAAGTCACTCGAATTCTCCATAAATGTGGAGTCTGCGCCCGTTAGCTGATCCCCCCTCCCCTCAGTTTGTTGTAGGAATGGACGGGATATGCGGAGTTGTGTGCGAGCATTCGGCGTTTGAGGGAATAGTCATGGTGCAATGCTCTGAATACCTGGTGAAATACATGTAAGTCACGCACACGGAGCGTCGTCGTCAATGAATGCCGCCGAGGCCAAACAGTAAGGGAGACGCGCTTTCTGTCGTCGCCTTGAACAGAGCAGCGGGTGCCTCCAAGATGGCGAGATCGTCCAGCATCAGAAAGCTCCCCGCTCCGAGAAGGCTGCCGTGGAAATGCAACGCGCACATCCAAGGACTCTTAACAGCTTCTGGAGACAGACTGCAGAGGCAAGACCAACACCAACGAGCCGACACTTGACCAGATCTACAAATAGTTCCATCCATTGACACCGTGTCTCACATTGTCCGTGTTTTCTTCTCCAGGGTGGTGGATAATCTTGACATGGATGTGTTCAAGTTCAATGTTTATGGGAAAGAATTCATAAAAAAACAGAAGATGAGTCCAGATGCATTCATACAAGTCGCCTTACAACTTGCCTTTTACAAGTAAAGCACTTTCAGGATCTCCAGCTTCAAAAATTGGCCACCAATGCGACCTTCCGGATACCCTGATGATGTCCCGATTGTGTCTCATTACGTAGATGCAACAGAAGGCTTGTTACCACTTATGAGAGTGCGTCCATTCGCCGCTTCCAACAAGGTCGGGTTGACAACATTCGCTCCGCCACCCCCGAGGCCCTGGCCTTTGTGATGTCCATGACAGACGAGAGGGCCAATGTCTCCGTGAGTCATTTTTCTCACTTTGACTCCAATTACTCCCACATTACTGTTTATCACACCTGCTTAGATGAAACAGGTGCGACCAGTCGCCTCGCCGATCCCGGTGTACTCGTCCAAACAGATGATCTCCCTGCAGATTTAATGGGACTATGAAAAATGAATTTACCGGCTTCACTGCTCCCTTTTCATTCAATGTAAAAAGTGCCTTGTGCTACTTTTCTTTCTTTTTTTATCAACAGGACTCAGAAAAAATCAGACGATTGATTGATGCAATTAATGCCCAGACAAATTATACAATTGCAGTAAGTATAATAAACCAGCCTTTGTAAGTCTCATCATTGTGACTGCATTTAAATGCTTGACTTTGTCTCAAAATATATTTTGAGCATCAGACGTCACTGCATAAAAATATTTCTCAGGCTATTACAGGAATGGCAATAGACAATCATCTCCTCGGGCTTCTGAGGATCGCAAAGGAGCTCAACGTGGCGAAGCCGGAGATCTTCTGCGATGAGACATATTTGGCCAGTAACCAGTTTGTCCTTTCAACCAGTCAGGTAACATGTGATCCCGCTCTATTCTAACATAACGCCAGCTTGAGATGATTTCTTCTGGATGAAGATACCAAAAACACCAATGCTGGTTCAGGGAGAGAAAAAACAGCCCGGTATTCAACACTGTATAGTCAGTAAAGAGAACCAAGATGGCCTCTCGAAAAGAGATGCAAAAGAGGAAATAAAATATAGTTTCTGCTGGTGTTTGGGATCCTCACAGAGGGTTCTGTACTTGCTGTTATAATATTTTAATTGGAGACCCTGCCAAACACCGTTGCCCTCTTCGATGAGTGTATTCAATTAGATCAAAGCTTTGGCTTTTCAGCACTTAAAATAGAATATGTATCGCTTTGGATGAGAATTGTTCTGTTGATTCCCTGAATACGTACGTGCTCAATGATTAATCCCAGGAAAGAGTCAACCGATAAAGCAATAACACATCCATTTCCCCCCCGTTCCCTTAACCGGTCCAACCCTCCCTGTGTGCTCTTGCATCAGGTCCCAACCACGGTGGAAATGTTCTGCTGCTACGGCCCCGTGGTGCCCAACGGCTACGGCGCCTGTTACAACCCGCAGTCGGACCACATCATCTTCTGTGTGTCGAGTTTCTGGGAGAACACGCAGACGAGCTCGGCCGTTTTTGTCAAAGCGCTCAACGAGAGCCTGGAGGAAATCAGGGACGTGTGCAATAGAAGCGGCGCCGCGGCCACCAAACGGGCCGATGGCGGCCAGGGAGCCGACCTGCGGCCATGAATCAGGGAAGTAAGCCACGCTGGGAGAGGAGGCCCACTCGGGCTGCTCCACTCAACTCCACTCAGTAGTTTAGATGCATTTGTGTGTATTTGTTGTCTGTGCAATAGTGTTCCTTTAATAGCAAAACCAAGCCTTAAAGTTCATGCATACTATGTAAATGTTAAAATATGTGATGTGAATGAAAAGTGGGTATGAATAGACGTCATGGTGATGACCTACGTGATTTGACGCGGCAGACTGAGATTATCTGGTCTGCTGCATTTAGGAAACTGAAGCCATGGCCGCTTTGTAGCACTGACGAGGGGGGCAACTCCCCCCACCAGAGCCAATTAGCTGGGCCGATCCCAAAGTATATCTCACACACGTAGAGTAGTAATGTATTTGAGAATATTCTGTATAGTACTATAAGTATAAAAAAAGATATATATTTAAGATTGTACAACCATGACTTCCTGTAAATGCGATTTCACTTTGTGTGCCATCAGCTAAAAAACAAACAAACTGGATCGGTTATATTATATCCTCCACTGGATCCATTTTAATGTGCTATTTATTTAATGTTTTTAGTCTATGGAGACCACAATGTTTCCAAAGAGCCTGTGTACATGTGAAGTCTGAAGAGGCACTTTAAGATATTTATAAAAAGTTGATATGAATCATGTGTGTACAGGGAAAACCGATGTGGTTCCAGTGGTTCATTTAAGGTCAGCTAGATGTACTCTATGTTTGTGTGTGCGTGTTCCATGTCTTGGCACTAGTTAATTAAGTACAATACTGTGCTACTTTGTAATTAAAATACAGTCCGGTGGAGAATGAGGCAAACCACTGTATTTATGTGTATTTCAGTGCTTTGTAATGCACTCAGAGGTAGAATAAGGGATTTACTTTAGTGCAATAAAACTAAAGCAAGTGCAGTGAGGGTACATGTGCAATTTACCAAATCAACTCTTTAGACGCATGGAGCTTGTGTAATATTATATAAACTATATTTGATAATCAGAAATATCAGACATTATATTTAACGTTCAAATTCATTTACAGCAATCTTCGTCGTACATGCTGTTTGGTGGAAAAATATCAATTCAAAATGTACTTTTACCCAGATTCTTCTACAAATGTCTATTGTATTTGATTCTGTGATGCTTGATCTAAACAAAAAATGGAATCAGTGAGCTGTAGTGTTGAAAATGTGAAGATATTTGCCGTTCTGAATCAAGGTGAACCTCAATCATCAGCCAAAGTGAATGTGAACCATGTAGATGATTTCAAAATCAATGTCACAAAAAGACTATAAGCAAAACAAGTTGCATGTTTATTCTTTTATACTATCTGTATTTTTTCATGTTGAAATTAAAAGATTATACAATGATAAATATAACTACAAGTGGGGTCATTGTGGCGCAGGGGGTAGAGAGGGTGTGCTGGGAACTGCAAGGTTGGTGGTTCAAGTCCCAGCTGCCCCATGTCTCAAGTCAAAGTGTCCCTGAGCAAGACACCCAACCCCTAATTGCTCCTTGGGCAAAATGTAAAAGCCAAGGGTTTAAAGTGTAATGTAAGTCGCTTTGGATAAAAGCGTCTGCTAAATGACCTGTAATGTACAAATAGTAACAAAAATGCCTTAAAATAAAGTGATGTAAAATGTTTTCCTGCCAGATGTAATATTATCTAAATGTTGAATGTTTTACCTCTAAAGTAAAGTGGATTTGTTTGTGATCTAATCAGTGTTACATGGAAATGATGTAATATTTGTCACGTGTTGTTCATTGGGTTTTCCCATAGTATAAATGTTGCACTCATCTATCATATATATTTTTAAATTATAATTAATGTGTGACACATCCTGAACACTGTGCTTCATGAAGTGTTTTAACATTCAATGAATGCTCAGTGAAAACTCATGTTGATCAAAGACAAACAAAACAAAAAGCTGATTTATTTTTGTAGGCTACAACCATATGTTACCAATAGAAGACATCGCTAAATGAAACTGTATTAAACTGTTATGTAGCAAAAAGTGACTGTTCCAGAAATAAAACAAACTCTAAACTATCTAATTGTGCGTTTTTTATTGTTAAAATTGATGACATATTTGCTGAATGAATCTTTATCTGGGTTTGATGGCACACAGTTAGCGTTCTGGGTTCTACATTATATTTAGTTTGTCACAAATAATACTGGACTATTTTTTTTTTTTTTACAACTTCCCAAATTGCTCCACGATTTTAGTCTTAATTCGGATATCACACACAGGGGCGAATCTTCTCACTTTAATTCTTGTTTTCAAACATCGTGGTGCGATAACACAGCTTTAGAACTAAGCTCATTGGCAAGTACAACTCCGGCTGAAGAGACAACTGGACTCGTTTGTTCAGGATTGTCCGTCCATTAGCCTGTTGTCCACTTCACTGACACACTCCCAACAGATGGCCTCGTTTCCATCGCCGTCTGAAAGGTCTTGACTAGAACATCGTTATCCAATGGTTAAAACACTGAACAAGGTCAATCAAGCGGACCCCCCAAAAAGGTGCAACTGGTCCAAATTTGGAATAAAAATTGCTAAAAAGAAAAGAAAAAGAATATTGCCGACTCACATGGGTGAAAACAGTTCAGTGTGTTAGTGGCAAAAGGACCATGCTGCTGCTATATCACATATATATACGGATCAGGCTTCCCATTAGTCCTCGAGCGCCACCAGCCTCCACATTTTTCTTTTCGGGCAATGGCCCCATTTTCTTTCAGTGGTTCATAATTTAAAGACAGGCAGGGGAAATGTACAGCCCCCTTATTTTATATTTCGTTGATGATCCTAAAATAGAAACATTTACAATACAAAGTACACAAGGAATGGATTTGATTGGCCGTGGCGGATGATGTCCCATTGTGTTGCTTCTATGGCAACCAAAGAGGCCATAGAAGATCAATATCAAGTCTCATTAACCTCTGATGCATTTTTGGGGGGTTTTTTAGGCTGGAATTTGGTATTGAAGAGCATTGTGAGGAAAACATCTCACACTGCTGAGCAGGTCCCCTCGCCGCTCTGAAACCGGCTGTCCAGATGTGAGTCCATCGACAGAACATTAAGCCCGGTCATCTGAAGTCAGTGCTGGCGGCGACCGGCGCTTTCATCTGGCCGGTGACAAGCTTCGGCGTGGAGATCAATGACGGAAGCCCACCTGGAGATGGATGATGGGGGTAGATTACCAGTAATAAGTGTTTGCCACGCAGCAGACGGAGGCAGAGGGGGAGGGTGGAGGAGGGTCTGTCCATCCAGATTCCCTCCGCCCTCCTTACAGGCCAGCCGGAGTTCAGGGAGAAACAAAAAAGCCAGTGTGGCTGCATTTCTTCCTTTACTAAGAAGAATACAAGCAAAGCAGAGGAAGTCTGTTGAAGTTAAAACCCTCCTACGTAAAAAATCATCCTCCTCAACAGGGAGGAGTTACAAAATCCACCACTGTGCAATCAGACACTCGGCAGGAAAAGGTAGGAAATCATACGTAGTTTCAAGGCCACAATTAGAGTTTCAAACAAATGGAAACGTCAAATATTTGCATGTTAATACCAAAGAAAAGGCATCAATTTGTTAAATGAGTCTCCAATGGAGATGCTCAACAAGCGAGCGCCTCGGCTCTCACAAATCATGTGCCGTAATCACTAATCTCTGACATCTTAATGAGCCCCTGTAACTGAACATGACTGCAAATGACTCAAAGTCCACAGCTACAAGATTATAATATGACATATACATTCAACGGCCAATTTGTTACAGTGATCCAGTCATCCAAATGTCCTACACACGCGGTCAATATGTCATTGGTAATACAGAAGTCACGAGAAATGGAGCAGCCATCTTGGAATTTAAATTGAGCTTGACATATTCTTCCAAAGACGGTACAGGAAACTAAAATGTCCCATTGTCTGTGTGTCCGATATTGACATTTAAGGAAGAAATTGAAAGATTGCCAAAGCCACAATCTTTCAATTAAGGCAAAAGTCCATATTATAGCTGTCTGTTTCCACTCAGAAGTGGATTCTGATAATGGCCGTTCTGGCATTTATGGGGAAACTGCTCACAGAGCGGACACTCCATTTACACACCGTCTACGAGCCTAATTGGGCAAGAAGTGAAGCCCCATTAAATAATATGCCAAAATATAGACACGCCAAAAGCTGAAAAGCAGTACTTCCCCATTTAGGTGTGATGTCCATAAATGTACTGCCATGACAGACTGCTGTGTACTCCAGCTTCATACGGGATGTCTCCATTACGGCTTTTTTTTAAACAGCCGCAGAATTAAGAGGTTTTGTTTCCGTCACATAAAAGAAAAATTCCTAAAACACAGCATGAACGACTTCTAGTTTGCTGAAGAGCTGTAGTATACTAATATCAAGGACGCTGCAATTATTCTCAAATAAAAATATTAAAATCCCTACAGCCACATAAACACACATTGTTGCACATCACCACAGTGGCCGACTTCAAGCTCCTCACCTGAGCGACTGTCAAAAAGCTTCTCCGGCTGTTTTGATGTGTTATAATGAGCCTCTGCTGGATGACAACATGACACTTCCTCATCTAATGGTAGACCCCTAATTTCTTTTTCCTATTTACTCCCCCGTTCCGCGCAGGTATTCGTTTTCTCGTGGGGAAAACGACGCACTCCATCCTCCGGCTGCATGTCGGCGCGCGACACGAGCCGAGCTACGCTGTGAACGCGGTGCCTAAACAGCGTTGGCAAGGTATGATTCATTTTCGCGATTGGAAGATCAATAACCAATTTTGAAGATGACCAGGTGGAGAGGATCCCGATCGTGGGGGCTGCGCGTAAATCTCAGGTGGTGGAAATGCGCGTCCCAGGCCTGCCACGGCTCCTGCTCAGGGGAATGATTCATACCTCGGCCTCGGCGACGTCTCCCCTAGCGGTTGGCTAATTTGAGTGGCCTCAGTGAAAGAGCTTTCTGAATCAATAATGGAGATAGTAAACGAAAGGGTCTCAATGGTCATTTATCATTAGCTTTCTAATCACGATCATCGTCACAAGCACAGTGTCGCGCGCGCGGCGCAGCGCGGAAGCCTCGCTTCTCGAGCGCACACGTGGACTCACCGGATCTGAGCAGAAACAAACAAAGGGAGAAAGTGAGAGTTCATGACTCGATGCGAGTTGAGAAGGGAAAACGGTTGTGCAATCATGTCAACGGCATAGAGACAATCGCTAAAAATGCTGCCCCGGACATCGGAGTAACAACCATTTGTCCGCCTGCGCGGCCTCCAGGTTCAGCATGAGAGACACTCGGTCGCATGAGAGCCAAATGTGAATGGATACAAGGCGACAGGAGGGATGAAAGTTAGATGGAAGGAGCTCATTAGTAGTACTGCACTCTCCTCACAAACCCCATCTCGGCATGGCGTTGAAATTTGTGAACTGGCCATGAGTTGGAAGGATACCTCATAATGCATGACAAGTGAAAACCCGCCACCAGGCAGCTAATAGCTATACTGTCACGAGGGCAAATAAAAAGGCATGGGTTTGCGTGCATGTAGGCTCCGTGTCTCTGGTCATGTGAGACACACTTTGCGAAAAAAGGCAATTCCCTCACTGTTCCGCAAACAGATCTGTGCTGCTGCCATGCCAGATGTTAGATGGAGGGATTGTAAGCGCTGGGAAAAGGGGCTTATTCAGGAGAAACGGTGTAAAAAAAAATTTAAAAAAATGAAATGTTGTGCTTCATTAAACGCTCAGCTCCCAGGTGGCCATTTGCCCTAGAAGCGTCGTCCCCGTGGAGCAGAGCTGTGCGCGGGGCCCGGTGGACGTGAACAGAGGTGCGGCACACAGCTGCCAATAGCTCTTTGCTCTGAGGACTCCGGTAAAGCAAAGCGCACACCAAGACGCGGCGCCCCGCTTCCCCAACGAGCCAATTACAGCGACCCATTAAGAGGAGCCAACGCCACGCCAACAGATGGGACAACGGAGGTGTGTGTGTGTTCATCCGCTTGTTCGGCGAAAGGAGACAAAGCCCATTTTCAAGCTAATGGGATTTTATACACAAATAAAGACTTTTTAAAGTCTCCAATATTTGAGCTTGGACCAAATACATTCCAGTTTACAGCTGCCTCTGTTCTGAGGTCAATCGATATTCCATGAAAGTTGTGCCGTTCACAACATACAATCCCAACAGGAGAGTGAAAGGACGTCCCGTCCTTCCCCCATAGTCTTCAAATTCTTATTTTGAATGTTCCGAAATAATACTTTTAAGTACACCCAGTTCTACACATTCGGACGACAAGCTTGAAAACAAGATTTCTGTGACTGTCCCTCCTCGTGAAGTCAAACACCACAGCTGAAATCCAAACACATGCACAGACTATGACCAGCCAACGGTGCACTGGGGAGCTCCCTCAGAAGTAAACTTAGCCCGACCATTAAGAGGTGTTATGAGAAAAATGGTGAAGGCATTAGGAACGTAATGGGCCGCGCAGTCAGTAAAACTCTACGGCCGGCGTGTGTGCTTTCTGCGCATTGAGCTCGTCTGCGTCCATTAACTTCCAGGAGGCCCGGGCCACGAAGAAGGAAGGAGGAGCAGGGAGGAGCCAGCCGTGGTGTATTGGGTCCATCTTTAATCAGCGGCGAGGGGGGGGGGGCAGTGTATATCTGGTGACGGAGAGGCTGCCTGTGCAGAGGCTCTGTCACCGCGGAGAGAGCTCCTAAATCTGCTCTTATTGCCACGTGCGGCGCGACAATATCTCACTCTGGAGACAGAACTTCAGGTTTTTATGGACGCTTTGGTAATTGAGCAGCAGGAGGAAAGAAAGGTTTGATCCACTTTTCCGCTTCAGGGAAGTGTAGCCAACCCTAAATGGCTGGTGAATGGATATTGGTATTCTCTCTTTAGCGTTTCTCTGGGTTTGCTCTCAGTGCCGGTAGTTTGTCAATGAGATTTGTTCGCAGATTGAATCATCTACGCTGCACGTGTCGGGGTGCAACGTCGGTAAAGTCAGTTTAGTCCATCGTTACTAAGTAAGAGAGAAGAAAAAAACAAAACAACAGCAGTTATATCCTTTCCACACAGCCCTCCCCCCTACCGTGTTATCCCTACTATTACTACATCAGCCAATCACAAATGAAGTACTTGATCATGAATAAGATGTTAAGCAGAGTAAGAGGATAAAATAATTATTTCAATTACAAGTCCTAAATCGCCTCGAGTTATGACACTTGCAATCACTTTTATCACGTCTCCTCCATTTGTGTTTTGATTAAAAAGGATGTTTTGAAAGGTCTGGAGGGCTTTCACTGATTAAATCCAATTAACATTCAGTGAAAAGGCCCAGCAGGGATTCACTTTCTTACCAGGAACCCCGCCACCCCCTCCCCCCTGTGCAGCCTTAATGGCAAATCCACTGTGCTTTCAAATCACTGTAATTACTGTTTTGTCACAGAAAAAAAAAAAAACTAACAGTGAAGAAAACGTAAACTGAGGTGTTAACAGAACTAATTTGTTTGTGCTTTTCCTTTAAACTCTGCATACATCCTGTTCAAACGTCGATGAGGCGGGTGTGTGTGGGGGGGAAGGTGGGGGGGGCAGTGACAGCTCCATAACAAGCCCGTTCCCAGGCAGAGCCTAGAGGTCCGCTCCTCTAGAAGCACTAAAAGGCAGACGGCTCCCGTCTCACTGAGGACGATCGGACAAAGAGGCAACCTGCGGCGCTTGACGTTGACGGGTCTTTGTCTTGAGTCGCTCCGTCCCGCTGTCCCCCCCCCCCGCTGTCCCCCGTCCTCACGTACATGCAGCAAACGACACACGCCAGGAACTTTGAAATGTCAAGTATTGACACTAACCAAGAGGCCTTTAGTTCAGGTGTGATGGGATTCATCCATTTTGCGGATGATTAGGGGGACCAGTCGTGTGTCAAGTTAATGCCCGAGCTGATGTCTTCAAATCTCTTTGGCCAGCAGTCCAAATGCCAAAAGATAATAAACCTCACAATGCAACGAAGCGGAGGAAGGAAAGAAATCGTCAAAATCATCCTTGTCAAATGATGTAAACAATTGTTAGAACTGTTGATTCATTTTTGGGTCTAAGGTGAAGTAAAATTTACTCAAACTCATTGTTTTTCCCCCATTTAATGACTGCTGCCATGTGTTGGGATCTAATCCTGCAAATGATCAAGGCCAAGAGCCAGTAAAATGTCTCCTTTGAAATGTGGGGGAAGCATCTGTTTCTTGCACCTTTGAAAACCCAGAGAGAGCGAGAGAGAGACATCTGTCAGATGGGTAACATACACAAATAACCCTAATATGCCCATATATGCTTCACATCAAATTTACACGACGCAACAAACAAAAACAAAAAAAAGTGAATAAAATGTGTGTTCCATTTCCCCTAAAAAAGTTGCATCAACGCTTCGCCAGAGAACAGAATAGATTCTTCTCTTTTTTAAATCTTCTTGTGCGGACACGGAGCAGATGGTGTTATCTACCTCGTGGGTGGAAGAAGCAACAAGTGTTCAATTAAAGGCCCGAAGGGAGGCCTTCAGTTGAAAACAGATACATTCCAGTTCAGGAGTACGGAAATATCATTAGAGCCTACCTGGTGCCTTTGGAGGTTAAAATTTGACATCCAGGATCCTAATATTAATCCTAATATATGGTAAAACGACACCAGCAGGCAAACATGAAAGCTAACAAAATGAAGTGAATTTGAAGTGGTCAGCAATATGTAGATGTCCTTAAATGACCATTCTTTGCGGGCACACTTTGTGGTAACATCCTTCCACAATCGCCTGTTCAGCAGTTCTTTTTTTTTTCACTGAAGTTTTATGAGTAAAAACAAAAGAAAATGGGAAATGATGCAGAACCAGTGGTTTGCCGGCATTTTTGTATCCTTCAAGGACTTCTTACACACGTTGCCGCGTTGTCTCTCGTGTGGGAGCAACAATGTCCTCGCTCCATCTTTCATTCCAGCCGAGTCAGCATCAATCAACCGACGCTCCAGTGATAGATAGGCAATCTAATAACACTATGAGCAGAAATAACTTCACTCACTCAATCCTTGACCTTTCGGAGCGAGCAGTCGGTTTGGTTAAAAGCTACGGCTTTCACATAAAAATTGATTTTTTTCTCGGGGATCAATTGCAGTGGAAACATTTGAGCTAAAAGGGACCACAGAAAGCTGTCACTTATGAATAATTGTTGTTGTTAGGGATTTACACGCCGCCGCCACCGTCTCTTTTTTTTTGCACGGCGGGCTGTTTAGACGGTATTTAAAAAAAAAAAAAGACAACGCGAGCAGGTTTTTCACAGAAGCGAAGGAACCGCCTTTGGACGAAGGAAGCGCCTCAGCACCAGCGGAGCCGCGGGACAGACACGATTACCATCAAACCAGAGCGGCCATGACACTGCCGAGGCGCCACGCGGGACGCGGAGGGAAAGTGATGAAACGTTCTAGGTCACGCCGAGTTCAAACATGCTAACAGTTACGGCAGCGAGGCCTGACGACGTTTTACAAAAATTGATTTGGAAGAAGGACGTGAGCATGACAAGGCGGACATCCTGTCTGCAAAGGAACATTATGGTTCAGCGGCTGGGAGAAAAAAACGCTTGTGTAACAGAATATTGGCTTTCATCTCCGGGGCTGTAATTTGTTGCAATAACAGTGATTAGCTTCAAGCAGTCTGGAACCTGCAACTGTCTTTCCCAAGAACAATAACGGGCGTCATATTCACCGCTACGGCCCGTTTGACTGTCCCATTTCAGCGAGCTAACTAGTGACACGGTGCGCCCGAGGGGTCCGTCGAATAAATAAAAAACATGTTTTTAATAAATAAAATCCCTTGGAACACGGCATTGAATTGCTTATAATGCGAAAGAAACCTAACAAACTTAAACTTAAGCTTATTACTACTTATATATTACATTATCACTGCTGTGATACTGTGGTAACAATCCAGCGGTCAAAACATGCACACAAGCCTGGCTGCAAAGTTGGTGAAACTAATCTGATTTTTAACATGTTTTTTTTTTTTAATTTGGAACAGATTATTTTTACCAATATCGTAAAATAGTAATACATAACGAGCAAGATGTGTTTGTCATGAAAGGACAAAGTATGAATGTTTATCAAAAGGCAGCCCGCGACAAGGAGTCAGTTTTGTGTCATGCGCTCACATGACAAATAGAAGGCACAGCTCCCATGGTTCCGTCAAACAAATCAAGATTCAGCTGAATATGCCTCTAATCTGCGGCCAAGAGATCCTCACATCCCTCCCTCAAACACTGCAGGGAGTTTCCACTAATGATTCAAAATAATAAGGATGTATGAAGTAAATAGCAAATAATTAACATAGGCCGCCCATTTATAATAGAGCACCCTACATTATCACAGCTGACCTTCTTGGATGGAAACAAAGACAATTTGGAAAGATCATCTGCCATTTTCCAAAAGGATCTAATTAGGAACTGTTTGATGCAATTTCCTTGTTCTCTGGCATTCAATAAAATAAAGAAAAACTGCCGTTACTGTACGTGTAGCATTGCTCAATTACAATACGTGACGCACGTGCTTGATCCCCTAATTTCAAATTCAAAACTACTCAAACCCCCAAATAGCCATTTGAGCTGTTAACGGCTCTTTTACATGCTTCAACAAAACGTTCAAGAATCAATAATCTGGATACAAATGCATTTTAAAATACCAACTAGATTGCTCTTCGTCGATTTGGGTAAATGTTCTCCACACTTGTGCACCAAAAAATAATGAAAGCATTAAAGCAAAATAAGTGAAAAGATTATACTAAAATGATCAAAACAGAAAAGAGGTACATCTGTGATATTCTTTTTGCAATTAACCCAACCTCATGTAGTTCAAAGTCTCATCTGCCAGCTGCATTATTTATCTGATGTGCAGCACAGTCATGAGTCATGTTTAGGACTAAACACTGTTTGCGACTTCATGACAGATTATAGCCGAAAGGTCAAAGACTCACATGTGGCTCACTGAAGCGGGATCAATTCGGTCGGGTACCCCTGTGTGCCTATGATGGAACCCCTTCGGAGAGACGCCACCAAAGCAAACTCTTTTTGAACTCAGCAAGCCACAAAGAGGGACCCACCTACCCAAAGTCCTGATTCCACGACAGCAGACAGCTCTAAAAAGCCCCCAGACTCGTGATTTCCAGGACTCCATTCAGCGTCGTACACGTTCTGGGGATAAAACTGATTTAATATTCAACTAAAAGTGATTGGTTAAACTGTGAATAGAGAGATGACAGCTTAATATATGATATATAATATATGCGGCATGTATCATGACTGAAATTCAAAGTATTGTGTCTATAATCAACTAGCTTTAAGATGCATTTGATCCATAACAGGGTGTTAAATATATATATATATATATCAAGTTTTCAATAATGTGAACCCCTCAAATTGGGATATTGGCCAAAATGAACCCAGAACGCGAATTGCCAAACGTCTGACCAGTGAGACTTTAAACGGTTTGTCCTTCATGCAAATGAGGCAGTGTTTCCTCTGACAAAGGGAGAAATCACCCAGGAGCCCCATTGACTGGATGTTCTATGATCTACTCTTTACTTAATGAGGTGTCATGTAAAGTTTAGATAAAAGCTATGACCTTATTAAACTGTGAGTGAAAGAGTGAAGCAATAGCTGGGGAAAGATAAATGGCAAGTCATTGTGCCCGTAACATTCATGGGACAAGAGGCCCTCATTCTGAGATGTATTGCTGACATTTGTGGCTCTCTTCAAGCGGTGCTTCAGAATAAAACGTTGGCAATATAAAAAAAATGGAATATTGCATTGACTTCAAACTGATTTTATTTCGACCGTTTCAGAATCAAAATCTGTTAAATAAGAAATACACATTGAAATGAGGTGTGGAATAGAGAAACAAACAGATGAAATTCATCCGTTAAGTGCAACTGGGTTTCTTAGTATGAGCATCGCATACAGCAAATAATCCAAAAAATGTATGAGTGGACCTATGATTGCAAGTAGAATTCTGCTGTGAATGCAAAAGTTAGAAGATGATTTTTACAAAGAATCCTGCTGGTCTTTAAAACAAGCCAAACTTTCCAAATCTTGTTTCTTGTTATTCCTTTCCTTTAACTTGATTTCTGACAGCCAATCCAATTAGGCTGGATACGTGTGGGTGTAAAAAAAAAAAAAAAAAAAGGCAACACGACAAACTCGGAAGATGGATAACAACCTTTGCTTCACCATTAAAGTCACAATTGCGTCATATCGAAGCTCAATCCACTGGTGTATTACCAGCAGCAGCAAAATGAACATGGCGCCAGTCGGGGTCGTAACTAATCACCCTCTGCAGTCTCATCGTTCTTGAAGATCTGCATGCTACATTGTTATTTTTCCACTGCCAGTGGTGGAGACCCCATTTGGTTTATCCACCACTGTTAATCAACTTTGTAATTAAAAACGAAGGTTTAAATGTTTTTTTCTTCTTTTAGTAAATAAGGCAAGGTGACTCATCAGCCACCTGACCTTAAAGGCCGTCTCCAGGGACGTGACGTCTGGTCGAGTCGTCCGGCGCTGGGGAGGAGCCGACCTGTTGGTAGATGAAGGAGTAGAGGCTGACGTCAGGGCGCCGACTGGGGCAGCTCTTGCACACTGAGCTGTGGTACTTTCCCAGGAGATCATACACCTCCCCTGTGACGGAGACAAGAAGATTGTGTATGTGATCTGGCCTTGTGTCGCAGACCACGTTATTTGCAACACAAGACCTAATTAATCACATTAATGTTGAATTATTGTCCAGTCCAGGGAAATCGGAGTGCAAAAAAAGAAAGGCATAAACACAGCTGCCTATAAACAGGAAGCAGACCGGATGCTTGTTTTTCTTACCTACACAGACTTTTCTCTGCGTAAGGAAAGAGTGCATCTTGTGGACATCTGTCATGAGCTGGCTGTCACCAAAAGTGAAATATGCCACATCTCGGCCCGCCTCGGCAGCTGCCAGCATCTGGAGCAGGGCTGGAGGGAAAGAAGCCGGTGTTGAGACTCCTCCATTGACAGTGGCAACAAATCTGCTTTATTACAGTAAAGATACGTTTTTTTTTACGTTGGATTGTTCTTCATGATTATAAAAAATATATATAAATAATATTTTTTTTAAAGTCACCCAGCAGTCGACTTTGCCATCAAAGTGCGTCGCACCAGCCACTGTGGCATGTTCAGTAAAAGTAATCTGGGAATAGGGCTCACCCCCACTGAGAACTCTGGATTAGTTACAAAGGGAAGCCAGGTCCGGCCCCGGGAAGCTGTGAATATTTTAAGAGTCTGGAAATACGTCTGCTGACTAATGAACGTTGGGACAGTAGAAGTGCATTACTGAATCAACAATTTTCAGGAGAGGCCTGAACTGAATGTCTACACTTCAGCAGTTTCTCTCCCCTGCACTGTTTCAACTGCTTTTCCCCAAGAACGATCTGATAATTAAAAAATACGAGGCTATCCGAGGCCACAGACAGAAAGGTGCTGCAAACGGTTAGCATAAAATATCCTAAAGCTCCCTGCACAGTGACAGTGAGACGAGGCTGAGACAGAGCGCTGGAACGGATTGATGGACTGCAGAAGACGATCAATTTCACTATTAATGAAACATATCAACGTTGTCATTTGATCAATGGGAGGAAGGCAACGAATCGGGCATAACTAAGTGAACACATTCCCGGAAGACAAATGGGGACGATTGGAGCCCCATTTGCCCAAATTATCTAGTAGCGGGAAGCGTGCTTACCTTTCAGACGTGCATCACCTCCAAAAACCCCACAGCCCCAGTTCCCCGTGGCCACTGCCGCAAGGTTTTGGCTTCGTTCTTCGGGTCGGGCAAAGCCACAGTAGGCCTGCAGGAAGACCAACAGCAACACGTTAGGAAAGGGAGATGGAAAACACGGAGCCCAAAACAATTTTTATATTATTGTAAAAAGTCCTGCAGCAGGAAACAAGATCATTCAGGGCTCAAATGAATGGCGTAAAAAAAACGCCATTCGCCTCATGGGGATTAACGCCCTTCCATCACATAAATGATAAATGAAACAAGTTCTCTTTGGATGACATTAGATCAAGACATCAGCCACACAGGGCCGTGCCGTTCAGGTAAGCTGGGAGTGACGTGTCATTTAGTACACAAAGGCGGTATCAGGCCTCAGGTCCTGGGATCCCCATGTTGCTCCACATCACTGTTGCAATGTTTTATAAGAACCAGGCCTACGAAAAAGGAGCAAAGTAATTCCATTTGGCTGCAGGCGAACGCTCGACACACCGCTCACGGCTTGAAAACGTAAAAGGCTGGCTGGCCCGGGTGAACATACTTTTTTTTAACGTTGTATCACATCACACGTATTCCATCAATCCGATTGCCATTGGTGTGCATTTGGCGCGGGTTTAAGATATTAGCGACTGAACACTGTGGACTAACCCCATGCGCACAAACAAGGGCATTAGACATGACAACATGCCAGATGTCATATGGCAAATTATTTCTAAAAGGCAGATGTCAAATGAAAGATCTGAAGGAGCTGTGGGCATTCATTTTCACACTGTGAATGAGGTGAATAGTGAAAATGAATTGGGGGACCCCCCCGTCTCCCTCTGATCAGTCATAAATTCCTCCTGTGGAAGGGCAGATATCACAGAGCTGAACACTATTCAATGGGGGATTGATCGATATGTTGGTGCATTATTCACACCCCTGTCAGAGCTGCCAAACTCCTAGATGCTTACTTGACAACATCAACATCTTGATTTTCTATTACAAACGGACATAACATATCAATCTGTATTTCACATAAAATACCCCTAAGTATAATCTGACTGTTTACTGGAAAAGGGTTTATACTCATTCAAGCGGTGAAAACCAAACATGAAATAGCAAATAAAGTTAAAACATTAATCCAAATCAATGACTGTGGAAGATCAAAGTTTACCAAAGAGCACTGGTAGATTAATAACACATTTATGGGCACAACCCAGCATTACTACTTAGTGACATATAGAATGAAGACACTTAATTAGATAGAAAACTGGGGAAAGAAAAGATTAAAAAGATAAAATACCTTGTTTAGTTCTCGGTTTAGTTTATCTGGATTAAACTGTTCAAGAAAGTTCTTGAACTGCAACGCATCGATGGCCACAATCTCAGTGCATCTTCTCTGCCAGCCATCTCTGAAAAACAAAGCAAATTAAACAAATGGTTTCAGAACATTGTCTTATAGCTCCATCTATCACAGAAATAGCACGTTCCATAAAAGAAAGTAAATAAAACAGGCAGAAAACATCCTTTGCAACATCAAAAGAGATGACATGATGATGAAGATGATATTTATCATTATGGAACTAGAAATAAGATCACAGAATCTGCTCCAATTCATCCTGAGGGAGACGTAAATGTCTGTAACATACTTGTATGGTGACTCTTTAGGAGCTAAAAGCCATCAGGAATCCTCTTCTGGGGACCATGAATGTTCGTACCAAATAGTTACAGTCTTGATGAAGTGATGGACTGACTGTACTGCCCCCTCATTAGCATAGCCAAACATGACTCGATGGGGTTAAACATTGCATGTTGTTCTTTCTAGGCGCAGTACGTACCTTGGAGTTGTGTCCCGGTGGCTGCCCCCCCACTGGTAGGTGTGAGAATAGCCAGTGTATTTACTGTACTGTTGGGTACCTGGTAATAGCAAACAGGGGCATTAGTCACACGTCACTGCAAGGCTATTACCAGTCAGTTGGCATTTCCAAACCATTCAGACAAATAAACAAGGGAAAAACAAGGAGGTTTTTCAGAGTGTGCAGTGTTTCTGCCTCAGGTGATCGGATGAAACGAAGAGAAGCGGTCTCCCGACAGAGGAAGTTCAGTTTATTCCCCCCGGGGAACAACCGGAAGAAGCAGCGACCGACCCCCCTCCCCCCCCCCCCCCAAGCCCATCGGGGAGCACTCAGCACCGGTAAGAAAAGGGAACGGAGGGTAGTGAGGCAACAGCACAGTCAAACTGAGGCCACGAATTACCCTCCCATTCATTAGCGCTCATTAGCAGCAGGCCGTGGAGAGCACTCGCTGGGATGCTCCATGCTGCAAAGTGAATGAACCAAGTGATTAGTGGCGGGGCCCTGGTCAGCAGCTACACGAGGGGGGGGGAGGGAATCTCCAGAGTGGATTCCACTTGACATTTCTCTGATAATCAGCCTGCCTCGGACCTTTTTTTTCAAGCACAACCTTTAAAACAAAGCTGATGAGCACAAAGCAGAATGGGCGATATGTAACACCGTACTTAATATTTACCTTTTTCAGCCAAATCCTCAAAATACTGGCCAAAAACAACAAAATTGGTATCGCTTTGATTATTGGTATCACTTAAACTAACAAAAGAAAAAGGAAGGGAACTCAAAGTTGTGTAGCCGTCTGGTTGCTTATGGAGAGTGAACTGGCATGAACGGTATGTAAGAGCACAGTGAAATATCTTCACTCAGAAGGTAACAACCTCCTGCTGGTTTAAGCGGTTTAATACCAAAATAGTATGTAAATGTGGGTAAATATTCTGCAGACAGCTATAAAGTGTGACAAATGCATTATGAGAGTCAATTGGCAAATGAATCGAGATCCCTGACCAGCTACAGAAACATATTTGTAACAACATGGTAAAAGTTGGTTTATAAAAAAAGTTACTTCAAGAATACCGTAAAATATTAAAGCACTGTTAGAAATTAGATATAGAAATGTAAAGCATGTTTAGTTCACTGTAAAATACCACAGACAGACATCTGCATACCTGGAAAAAATAACTATGAATACAGGAGACCTTTATTGGTCCTCCAAGGATATCAAACTCGATGATCAACAATATTTGCTTTTGAAATGAACAACCTTTAGGAACAATATGAATTATGATTACAATATTTGTATGCACATTGTAGCCATTCAAGCATTATTTTCAGTGAGAAGCAGATCAATCTTGGCCGGGGAACGACGTGTCGGGTTATTAGAAATGATTTCTAGATAACAAATAGGTTACATAAAAATCTGCAGATATAGTTCCTTTCATGTGTAAATACAAGAGAACAAAGTGTCTCATATTTGTGGTGGATCAGAGACTATATAAAGGTCAGGAGCGCATCTCATTTCCCTGTTGAGGCTAAAGTGGGAAAACGAGAACGTTTTACTACTGTAGAACTGTCGAGGTCTGATTGTGAAGACATCCAAATAAAACGGTTTCACACCTAGAAAAAAATAAAACAGTTTTGTGCAATGAGAGAAGCATTACATTTCATTTAGCGTGATTTTGTTCCAGTCAGGAAGAAAAAACAAGCAGAAATCAACCACATTTTATGGTTCGTACTGGCACCAATGAGTCATATGACCCCCCCTTGATACCGTTTTGGCCGCCCTGATGGAAGCCACGTATCTAGCAATCATGGAGAATTCAATTAGGCTTGGGCACTTTTGCAAATTTCTGAGCTGAAGTAAGATCCATTAGCTTCCCTACTGTATGCCAAGAAACGTACTGCAGGGGGAAAACGAGTTACGTCCTCAGTGCGGCGGAGGGCGTGCACTGCTTTTAGAGTGGGGGGGAAGTGGGTGGGCAAGAGATACGGGCAGAGTTTAATAAAGATGATGGAATGGAAGAGTCCATTAGCGGAACAGGTCTTGGGCAGGTCCGCCAGCGGTAATTAATTCTGGGACCCGGTAATAACGTTAAGTGGCGCAAGTGGAGCCGAGGGACAGATGAAGAAGTCTGAAGGTGACTCGGCCGCAGCGAGTTTGATCGCTGAGCAGCAGGGCGGAGGCACCGTCTCTAAACCAACCCACTCGGCGATGCCATAGTGAGGCGGTTTATCTATTTATGGAAAAGTGTCTTAGCATAAAGAGCACAGCACCATATGCAGAAAATCTGAATGTTTGCACAGTCGTTGTAACATCCAACACAAATACTTTCTGTGTAATCTGAGCCCCCTGCCAAGAATATTTACGTAAATTATTACTAAAAAACTGGTAGTGTTTCAGACCGATGCAGTGTCGCAAGACATAACATAATTTAACACTCGTAAGAGGATGGGCTTAATTATATTCGAATACTTAAAATGGAAAAAAGGTGTAATTTGCTTTAACATACATCCATTTGATCTATTTTCATCAAAAAAAAAAGTATTTTGTAACCCTATTGTAAAATCCATACGTTACTGTTAAACTATATTTTTCTATGGTAGAAGTTCCTTCAGTCATTATATATTAATGTTTTATAACCAGTCAAATGTAATCAAACTGCTGCCACAGTCTAGACAAACAGAATTCAACGGATAAAAATAAAAAATAAAAAAAATAAAAAGAAGAAGAAGAAGAAGAAGAAGAAGAAGAAACTGTCAGCAGACATCAGCCACCTGCTGGGACTCTTGAGTCCAGCTCTTGTTACTGGGTCTACTGGCCTGTCCCGACCACTCACTGTTGAAGTGTAGTCAGTAAGAATTGCTCAACAGAAAGACACCAACAGAGCAATCAGGACAGACTGATGAGACTCGCCCTTATGTAGCCAATCAAAAAGGGAACATGTGACAAGGACGGATACAGAAAACAGGCCAATTGCCACCAACATCCTTTAGCCCCTTGCTGAGCCAGAGTGGGGAAGATTGAAGGAGTTTACTTCATGCTGTGTGTCTGTCAAATTATAGGAAAAGCAAAATGAACCCAGGGGGTATTATTGATCAGATCTAGATCACCGGAAATAAATTACCATTCAACGAAGGAATGGTAAGATTGACTCAGTGGACACATGTTCACAAAAGTCGTGAGAGAGTTTTGATCACTGACCTTTGATGATCAGACATTCATTGGGATCCAGGGCTTCGGTGAAGAGGCGAGAGATAATGAGCTCAGGGTTGATTAGAAAACGGATTTCCTCTTGGACGAGACCCGAGCCGGTGACTCCTCCTCCCACAAACTGATTGGCGAAATCCACCTGTCAATCAAGAGAAAAAGGAAAAAGCAAAACACTGTAATTCAAAAGTGTCCTGTGTTCAAATATTCTTCATACTGGGAAGAATATTAGTATACTAGTATATGAGGAAAACATTACATGAAAGGGTCTGAGCCCTTTTTCTTTGAGTTGTGACAGAATCCCTGACAAGCGGATTGGAAACGTGGCCCGGGGTGCGTGCATCACTCAGACATTTGTCCCCCGTGCCGAAGCGAGCGCTCCCTGGGAGCTGCACTTAGGTGTGCTGCTGCCAGAAGCAGATTTCAAAACAAGAGAGCAGCCACACAGTCCAAAGTAAACACGTCCCTCCAGTCACAAACATGTCGCTAAATTGACTGCTGACTGATGCCTGTGATGTATAACTCGCTGCTTGTGGTCTTTCAAGAGGGCCGATACACAGATTTACTTCACAATAAAATACGCATCTTATGGTCTGAGCTCAGTCTTTGTTTTAGTCTAGAAAGCAGGCGTGTGGAACGTTTAATCCTAATTTCAAAAACGGACGGCTGTTGCTCATCGGCCCCTCGGCAGTCCGGAGCGACCCATAAGGCTGCAGAGGGGTGAGCAGCATCCTCAGGGTAGATCTCCCCAAACTGCTCACTCAACTCTGGGACAGCGACCCATCCGCCAAAGTCCGCTTTGACAAGCTGTCAGCAACCCCCCCCCCCACCACACCCTCCCACCCTGCAGAGCATCCATCAATCCGGGCCGCGGCGTGCCCCCGGAGCTGGTCATGTGTGCACATCAGCTGTCAGCTTGTGGCAACTGGAGGCAGACAAAAGGTGAAAGGCAGAGCGGGACACACTGACAGCGTGCAGGACGCACGGCCGACACAGAGAGCAGAGGAGGCTCAGAGGCCTCGACCCCCGACCCCAGCACGCGCTCCCTCCGACGCGTCACGGCCTCCCTCCAAGGGCCTTTTCAGCAGTAGTAGGCATTCTGGGTGGAAGACCGCGGAATGTTGTGGCTCGGTGATTGACTACATCCGAGGCAAAAGGGGGACGGGAACCGAGCACACGCCCGGTCAAGCGAAAGGAATGTGATTCCGCAAATTAAAGTCGCTCTGAATCACGCTGCGCATCCGCGAATGAGCACACTTCCCATCCTCTGCAGCTCACCTGAAGCATCCCATGACCATCGTCCTCAATGGTGCCTTCACAGGTAATGTGGAGCTTTGTGAGTTGAGTCTGTGAGCTGAAACACAAAAGATGAATTAGGTTTTCCGGTTGCCAACTGGAACTGAGACGATCCCAGTTTGCTTTGCAAACAGTTTACTGGATTTAGCAAACGGCCGGAACAGAGGCAAAATAATATATTCAAATATTTTACACTACACCTTGTCCAATTCAGAGGTTTATCCAAGCTTTTCCGTGTGAATGTTACAAGTCCGGTAGGCTCTGGAAGAAAAAAAAAACGAGATGGGAAGAATGAAATGTTGCACGCTATTCATCCTCGTTTTCAACATATTGCTGCACTATTTAAAAAATAAATCTGAACACCTACTTTGTTCGGTGAAACTTTTGAAATAGCACATTAGGGTTTTCAGTTTCTCAATCTTCATTTGAGAGGAACCTTCGAAAAGCCTGCAGGCAAGAAGAGATTATGAATGAAATCTGAAATTCTTTGTATTAAGCAGAGTCCGCTAAAGGTTAAATAACTAGAGCAAAGAAAAGGAAAAAAGGACTCTGTGCCGCCGAAGCACACGACCCCCACTTTGGCCATGTGAGTGCAGTCATGCCTTAACTTTTGATAGAAATTGGTTCATCTCTCACTCAGCTTCCCTTTCAGTCACTAGCTATTATACAGGAGTTCCGACGCTGTTACGACAACGCAGTTGCCCCAGGCTTGCCATCACAGAGTCACACTCATGTGCCACTTCACAGCACTCGCACAAAAAAAAAAAAAGATTGAAAAGGGAAATGGCCTCTCCTTGGGGGTACATTAAGAAGTCCTGTGTCCCCTTTAAGCAACACAGTCCTCGGGAGGCAATAGGTCAATCCACCCCAAAATTATATCTTACAAGCACACACGCACACACACACACACACACACACACACACACAGAACTGTTCGTAGTGAGGTGCAGTGGGCGGGTTTGAATGACCTTTGAGCACAAAGTCCAACAACTCGGTCGGTAAGAAACTGAATTGAAATTTTAAAATGAAGCTAATGACAAAAGGTTGATGTACTAAGAGCCCTTCAGGGAGTCGGAGAAATGCATTCAACCAAGTCTGCTGCTGCATTCATTTCTAGTTTTTTGTAGAAACAATCGCGTGGTCCTCAGGGGCAACGTCTTTGACATAAGCGAGCCACTAGGGAAAGCAGGCTTTTAGGAGCAAGTTGCAATACGGTCTTTGGGGAAAGAGAATTTATACACAATTATATAACATGAATATACCATCCTTGGATATGAAAAGGTTATGATGTAACACAGGAGAAGAGGATACGTGACTACAGTATGTAGAATCGCTGGGGAGGGTTTTATCAGGAAAAGAAAATAATTGCTTAATAAAAACTAAATAGCATAATAGTCCACTTTATCTCAATGTAAGAAATGTTGGATAAAAGAAAATGTAACTTAATCCTGGCAAACAAATGGACATTAAAAAGTTTGCAACTGTCAAGTTTCTATCGAGAGTAAAAAAAACAATGACTAAATAAGTGAAAATGAGTGATTCTAGACTACTGTTTTGCATACGGCTAAACTGATGACAGTGGTTCTCCTTTTAACAGAAAATCAAAACCTGTACGTGAATGAAATACTGATGCATTGAATTCTGCTACAGCCTTCTGCCAAACAGCCAATGGCCTTCTCCATTGTCAAACGCAGCCATCTGAGTCAAACTTGATCTAATTCCATCTCCATTTAGGTAATTACACTGTGATGCCAACAGAGACGGGGGACAAGACCGAGCAGTGAGCCGCCGACCGCTTTTACATTACACCATTCAGATGATCGCCACAGCGGGATCAAAATACGACCCTCCGGCCCTCCTTTTTGTCATATTTAAAGCTCCTGAAGGAAATTGCTTGGCTCTACAGAAAGGTAGTTATTGTTCTGGTAAAATCACCAGTAATGTATAGTTCTGTGTAAGTATTGCAGCCTAAAAGAAGCATCTGTTTCCAGATATTTTAAAATGGAAAATCTTTCAGATCGGTGTGTAAATCCTTGAGGGGGAGCAAAGTCTCCGTTTGTCATAAGACAGTGTGTAATTAAATCTACGTGCTGTGATTTTAAACCCAGCCAGAAGATGAAATGATGAATAAATAAACATATACAGCAGTGCCTGTAACAGCATTATGTAACTTTAAATGGTCATGTATAAAACTACCACATCCATACTTTACCTGAAGAAGTTGATGTCTGGGTAGTTGCAGTATTCATTCCTTCTGGAGTTGCGGCGGGGGAAGGTGCAGAAGAAGGCGTTGGCGAGCAGACATGCCACCTGCTCCTGTGACATGGTGATGGAGTGGTTCATGCCTCCCTTAAGGAGGGGTATTGGCTAGAGGTGGAACAAAGGTAGCAATGAGGAAGGTCAAAATCATTTGTTTTGACAATTTGCCAAACACCAGATTGTAGTAGGTTGAACACATGTGGCAATTTTCCACGACTGCGGTTTGTGAATAAGCCATTATATTCACAATCAACATCCAGCTGTGCGCATAAGAGTAAAGGCTGTGTGTTGGCAAATAAACACTGCATTTGCATTAGCAATGCAGTCATGACAACTGGGAAATCGTCTTGCATTAAAACTATATCCAGACAGGAGAAAAACACTTTGTTTGGACTTTTTGTGTTGAAGTCACGTAAGAACACATTCAGTGTCTTCATCTCTCCACCTCAAACAGACCAGTTGTCCACGGAATCAATTGAATTTGTAGCCCACAGAATCCATTTTAGACTAGCGCTTTTAATTTTGCAAACAATTTGTTTTACAAGCTGCTAAATTACCAAAAAATGTTTTTAATGACACATGATTTTGCCTGCTCTTCATCAGCAATACCCGAATATCCAGATGACCAAATGGCCATCAAATCACCCTTTTACTTATTTCACAAGATATTTTTCGTGTCGTGACCTTTGCGGTGATTGGCTACGCCACAGACGTCGGTGTCTGTTGGTTAGTGATGGCGGTTACCTTGGTACAGAGCTCGGATGCTCTCAGTGCTAATTGCACCATATCTGGCAGCAGGGAGTCAAACAGATGTTCAGCAGCATCAGGCTCCAGGACCTTGGAGAGCAAGAGATCTGTTTATGTTTGTTCCTTTGCCACAAAACTCAGCTGTGACATTATTAGCAGAGTTGATCAGGACGGATAAAATCAACAGCTCGGAGCTAAATCAAAACGTCAACACATTATTTCTAGTTTTTACGAAGAAACAAATCAATGAAATCCATAAAAATATTCATTTAAAGGACTACTAAAAGCAACACTGTTCAAGCGAATGTAAAAACAGCTAGTGGGAAACGAAAAGCGGAAAAACTCATTATTACCTCATGTTGAGCATTTAGACACACATCCTGCTATAGCTGGACAGTTGGTCCCCAACAATATCACCGGGAAGCCAATTTTAAAGTAACAAACCAATCAACAATGACTCCTCAACACTGCTTGAATGCAGTGATGGATAATATATCTTACCCATAAAGGCTGCAAAATGTCAAAATGATCAATCACAGAGCAATTTCATCGAGGTTGCACGACCATTCCAGCTGATTAAATAGCCTTCCTGGAAGAGATGCAAATGACCAGGCGTTTGGAATGGAAAGGACAGTTTGTACCGCGGACAAGAAGCCTCCACTTGTGATTTAGCTGAGGACATTTATATTATGGCGAAAGAAGCCTGGCTAAACACTGTCATAAGTAATGACCTGGTTGATATCATAAACCGCCTCCTGTGGGTGTAATAAAGCGCAGCAGTTGACAGGGCGAGGAGGAGGAGGAGGAGGATGTGGCTGAGCTAACATGAGCCCGGCTCTTTAAATCAGCAGCAAGACAGTGCATCAAATCAACTAAACCGACACTCTGCATGACTTGATACAGGTCCGTACATCACAGCGAACTGACAAAGTAATCAAGCAAGATGCAGGCGTGCCGGCACGTGAGAAACCAGAGCTGCCAAACAGATTTAACACAACTCCTGATGCCCCTGTTCCTATTCCCCAGGGGTCAGAGCAATAAAGCAATCTGCTTGAGTGCGTCTGCGGACGTGTGGCCGCGTAAAAACAAAACACTTGCGTGCTCATAGCCGTAAACACGGCACTGGTTTGCCAGGGAAAGGGAAATTGATAAAAAAAAAAATTTAAAAGCTGTCCGTCAAGAGCTTTCAGTTATTCATAAGACGCGCGTGCAGAGATGAATATTCAATGAGGGTGCTTGGCCCGTCACTCCGTGGCATCCACGTCTTCTTTCCTCTGACACTCAAAATAAGTCGGCTCCAGTGTCTCCAATTTGGCATCTCGCCAGCAAAGGGAACGACGTGAAAATTGGGAAACGTTACATTGCGCTCCTCGCTATTCCCATTTTGCCTCAGTGTCCATCGGAAATAAATCAAACCTCAATCAAATCCTTGGTTATTGGTTTTAAAAATGAAATATGTGAAACGGCAGCAATATCTTCTGTAGAGCAGAATATGAGCCGCTTTCTATCTATGTATTAAAGATGTGTAGCCTAATTGCTGCTGTAGTTTCAGCATATTCAACTATTAAAACACAGATTTATGTCGGACGGGGCAGAAGCAATAAAACAGTCTTTGTGGAAATGAACAGTATGCGACAACTTTGCAATAAAAGGGGAATAATTGAAGCAAATGTGTGAGCTACAATGGCATATGTGCAGTATAGAGCATGTGGCTCTCAACAGCTCCATGAAGCCTCTGACATGAAACACAAATGAGTGACACTTTTCCCTTCACAATTCTACGGCGAAATAAGAAAGATTTACAGTGTTTCCTGAACCACCAACCGGCACTGATTCAGAATTACCATCTTCACTTCAAATCAACGGAACAGTGAGTGATCAAATAAGCAGGAGTGTGTGTGGCACCTCACTTCAAAATACAACCAGATTGTTATATTTTTGATGGTAGTGGAAACCTCACGTCTTTTCTCCCACCTGGACATGATTTATGGCGTGCTTATGGAACACAATTGCCTTTAACATTATAAGGCAGAGTAAAGCATTCTCTGGGATGTAATGTCAGCCATTTCCATATCTGACAAGTTACTAAACATGACCTTTTTACAAAAGATTCAATTATTTCTCCTGACTCCCACTTGGCCGCTGAGGGTGCTGCAACATTCTCCTGTGAGAACTCCATTACTGTACGAAATGATAGAAAACACATTTGACGTACTGGCATTCATAAAATAAAGAGTTACATGCACTTCTTTCCTGAAATGTGCAATATCATAAAAACATGTAGCTGATGTATTCCTACTATAAGAGGGGGGGGGGGACACGGCCCATCTCTCCAAATGGAAAATTCCTTTCCCCTTCACAAGCCAGTAGGACGGCCCTCTGATCCTCTACACGACGCAGAGCGCATCGAGACAAAGGGTGATGGCCAAACGAGGCGGGAAGACACAGACACCTCTGAGTAACAACCAACCTTCGCCAGTGAATAAAAGAAGTTGGCCCGGTGCAGTAGGGAAGTTGTTTTGAACCAAAGCGTAACAATCTGAACCGTAGAACTCCAAGCAGCCAAATGGCCACACAAGGAGATGAATTGCATGGAATTGAATCACATTATATAAAGTCAAGTTGCTCTTTTTACGTAACGTGGAAAAAATGCCTTGTATTTACTTCTTTTTTTAATTTTTTTATAAGTATACCACCAAAATTTGTTTACAACGCCTTCTGTGGGGCAATAAAGTATCCGGACAGATGATGATTAATTATTCTACAGCTTCCCCTCTAACATCTTCAACATGTGTCTTCCATCCTTCTCTACACGTTTGCACTACAGTTAATGAATTCTATCACTCATTCATAAAACAATCCGTTATCATAACAAACGTGTTTACGGTTTACCTTGGTGCAGTACAGACGTAATGCAGTGAAGTCCCATTTCTTGGCCTGCGAAGCACTATATTTTAATATCGCCTCCTGTAACAAACAAATATTAGAGAAAGTTGAAAAGTTTAATTGATATTTTCAGACAAACAAGTCGAAAACACAAAATGATGAGACTCTCCGTTTCTGGGCTTATGGCTCCATCTTATGGTTGGGCGTAGTAACAACAACGACGACAACGACAATGTCTTTACGACAACCTGTGACACTTGTTTCATTAATTGAAATACAGAAGACCTCGCCTATAAGAGACAAAGATGTGAAACTTGCCTTCAACTCGGGTTGACTTAAAAATGTCTTGTTTAAAGTCTCCTTAATCAACTCCCACCGACTCTTATTCTGAAGTCCATGTGTTACCTGTGGAAGCAAGAAATAACATATTAGTGTTGGCTCACTGCAGGGGATTTTAGTTTGGATTTTCATATGCAAAGAATAACAACGCTGTGCTTATGCGATTTAATAAATAAGTAACATTTTTTTCATTCCTGAAGACCCAGATTTGAAACTGTGGACCCGTGGCATCATAACTTGAAGACAAGTTAAAAGGTCCAGTGATATTTCAATACATATAAAATGGAGTATTCCAGTGCTATAACACTTATTGGCAGGAGTAATAGACAGCCTTGAACCAGCAATATAATGTTATAGTTCTGTTTACATGATCCATATTAAACCACTCATGTAGAATCAGTGCAATTAGAAGCAGCCTAGCACATATTTGAATGTGTAATTCATATTTATTTTTTACATTTTGGCAATTGTTCTTAGTGAGTTTCAACACTTGGGCCGTTACCTCATCCAGTACAGGAAATAGGTTCGAACTGGAACAAGGCATCTTGACATGGACATCATCCCAAGTATCCTTAAACTGAGCAGGATACGGAACAGGAACTCTTCCTCTCCTAAGAAGGTCTGTCTGTCAATGGGATTGAATGAAAATAAATGGCATTAGTGTGTGCATATATATATATATATATATATATATATATATATATATATATAAGGTAATGTTGATTTGTATGAGATATCCTCCTAATGTACAAATTATTACTTAAATAAGCTGACTACCAAACCTGCAAAGATGATATTGGGTTGACCAATTAAACTAATGTACGTTTCCCGTAATGCAACCACTTGAAATGCTGTGAATACTAGTATAACAGAACAAAGTCTCAAACCCGTATCATCACAGTGTGCTCGCCAGGAACGTCCCTCAGCGGAGGAAGCACGCTGCCACATTCAGGCATTCTCTTCAGTTCTTTGATTGGCGTCCCCAGCCACTTGACCTCCAGCTCGTCAGCAGCAAACGTAGTTTCCCCGTCTGTATCTTGTTCTTCTGGAGACTCATCTGGCCCGCCCCTGCTCACAGGTACATCTGGTGATGTCGTCCCTGAAAAGAAGTCTGTTATTTTTGTCTTGTGTTTGGCAGAGCCCTCTGAGCGGGTATCTGCTTCTTTTTTTCCCCATCCACCATAACTGTGAGACTGTGTCTGCATTCGTCCACGTCCTCCTTCAGAATCCTCGGAAGCTGGTGATACAGGTTCGTCTTCAGCCAGATATTCTGGTGACGCCGGTTGGTCCTTTTCCTCTGCATCGGACAGGAGGACATTTTCAGCATTCCCACCATCCAGAAGAGGAGCTGAAGTGCCTTGAAAGCTACAGTCTCCGGCCATCTCTACATCCTCTGGCGTTTTGCACCCTTCCGGTGTACTTGGGTTTGGTGGGGGCTTAACCAGCCAGTGGTGAAGAGTATTTTTGAACTTCTGTTGGGGACTGGGGCCGATTCTCCGCCGATCACCTTTTGTCTTCACACCGCGCAAACTGTCTGCTCCAGTCTTTGGTCGAATGTCCATCTTGGTGCCGTTTTGCCTCCTTTCTTGATCTAGTGTGTCATCATCCTTGCTCCGAATACACGAGGACGGCCCTGAAAAATACAACAATATCGTTTTACAAAGACAGCAGCAAATTTAACATATTTATATTTAATATAATATGTTCTATGCATCACAAACAAATCACCTCGGAGAGAAGATGAAGGAGACGTTTGGGCGCTGATTTCCACCCTGAGTCTCTTTGCTGAAGGTTCAAAGTCTACCAGCGCAGTCATTCTGCAAAAAGGACAAAGTAAGACACAGAAGACATCGGAGATGTGCGTCTCCCGGCAGTTCAACCACAAAACGACACTGCCTGTGTATACTCACAACACAACTTGAGCAGACACCACGATTGAGGCGTTATTAGATTTTGTCCAGACTTGTTTCGTAGGCAGTCCTTTCTTCAATAGGTGAGAAAACCGTAAAAAATAGTATGCAGCCATGCATGACACAAACTGTTGTTTCTTGGATTCTTAACGGTGCTGGAAAATGGTGTTTCGCATTTCTATACTATTCAGACGTTTTCTTTCGGTCGTAGTGAGTCGTTGTCCGACGGTAGGTTGACTAAACGAAATCACAGCGTTTGTTAGCTGACGGTCACCTGCTAACCAACACTTTAAAATAGCTTAAACGTACGCTGTTAGCTTTGTGTCCGTGTGTAAACACACAATAGTACTTGTGACGGCTTCTGAACACCGAAACACTTCCGCGGTTGAGTGACGTAATCACCACTGAAACAACGCGATAACTCGATGGCAGTTCTCGTCGACGTTTAGAAGAGCAACCATCGAAGTAGATGTAACACTAGATGTTGAGAAATTCTAATTCAGCCAACCGTCGAAAAAAAGCAATATATTATATTATTGGAGTTACTGAGAAATATCAACCGCTCTGGACAGTTAACATTAATGAATAATTGTTTCAGACTCAGCTAATACGTAACGCAACAGGGCAGCCAAGTGAAATAGATAAAGTTTGATTGGTTGCACGTTAACTATTTTGCAAATGATTAACAGTAGTGTCACTTTTTTTTCCACTCTTTTGTTCCGCTCAACTGTCGTTATAGCCACGCCCTCGATGACGCACCTGGCCAGCAGTAAGGAAGCAACGGCATGAACGATGCAGTCATTAATAATCAAAATACCCACGGGCTAATAGAGAAAGCATCTTAAAACTTTAACCAGGACCATGGTCGGAAAACACACCGTATTTGCTTTTGTTTTGCTATCTTGCTTTTCGTGGATTGACAGCAAAGGTAATGTTGTTTCGTCTTTCGATGGAGCCAAAAAACAACCTGTTTTTCGTGTTTTTTTGTACACACTACTCGTTTGTACGATTTTGGCCGTTCTTCTGTGTGGGGGTTAAACTTGCTTTCTGTCTAAAATAAACTGGATCTGTATGCTTGATTATTTGTTTTTTACTTTTAAAAGAAGTGCAGGTTTAGGAATGTATTGTCTTCCTTTTGCCTCCTAAATATTTACAGTTGCTCCGTATTCACCTTCCTTGCAGACATTTTCAATGGGTTGACATTAAAAGCCTCCAAGTACTCCATTGTAAATCCTCAGGTGGTTGACAGATTGAAAAGGAACCTCAACAGACCGACACAGTCGGAAGAAGTAGGACACAACCTATACATTATATTTCACGAATTTTAAAATGACAACTTTGAGAACGCTTTCTTGTTTTTATCCATTTTAGAAATATGGAAAGGAGACTATATCCTATTCAGTTAACATAAACAACAGAAAACACCTCCTTCATCTAAAAAAGAACAGGTATGCATTAAGTCCTAACTTAATGTTACTGAGATTATTTCATAATGCTTCAGAAGAAATCGCATGTAATACCAGGTATTTGTTCTCTTCTCCTCAGAGACTTTTTGCACCCAAACCTTGTTCAGTACTCAAGTGATGCCATTGGTAACCACAATACGTCATATCCGAAACCGCATGTAAGTTGACATTTACTAATTCTGTTATATTACGCTTTCAGTTTCAACCGTTGAACCCTTTTTTATTTATTTTTTTCTCATCCAAGGTACATTGCTATTACCATGGACAGGTGGAGGGACATGAAGACTCAGTGGTGGCACTCAGCACATGCTCTGGCCTCAGGTTTGAACATCTCTCTCGCTGTTTCTACAGCTCCTCTGATTCAATATCAACTTTGTAGAATTTAGTGGAACATTTTTTACCACAGATATTTGCTTTATTTTATTATGAGGAATTGTTTTTCATTTAGTGGTTCACAGATTTGTTCAAAGGCATTTATTTAACGATGCATCTGCTATGCGCTGCTTATTTTTAGGGGCGTTATCTTCCTTGGAAATGAGACGTATGGACTTGAGCCTGTGCCACAGTCCACCAACAACGAGCACCTTCTGTACCTAATGAAGGACATCGAGTCCGGGCCCGCAACCTGTGGGGTCGTCAATGAGGCGGCATCGACGCAAAGCCACGAACCCTTTGAGCCTGGCACGTCTCTCACTTCGCTGCTTCGGGTCAGGATGCTCAACACGTGCACCCGAAGTGAACACATGGTTTGCCGTGTGTCTTGGTTTTGAAGAGTGACATGACGGCTTTTTCTTTTTCTGTTGATTAAACAGCGGAAGCGCAATTTACCAGACACCAGATATGTGGAGTTGGTGCTGGTGGCCGATAATCTCAGGGTGAGCGTGAACATCTGTTAACGAACCTCAGTGGTAGATGAGTGCGATTGACTTGGCTGCCACAGGTTTTTTTTTTTTTATATTCGCACTTAACTCACATGACTTATCAGTCTGAATCCGTATTTTCAGTATCAATTTAAGAAACAAAACGAGACCGCTGTAAGAGAAGAACTTGTGCAGATTGCCAATCTACTGGATGGGGTGAGATTTTCAAGTTGTTGTGAAAGAAATTATACTCACTTGTAATCATTTAAATGTTGTTTGCGTCTTGTGCTATGCGCTATAATCTTGTGTTTCTTCTAGTATTACAAGCAGCTGAATATCCGTGTGGTGCTGGTCGGCATCCAAATCTTTAAAGGCAGTAACCCCTTCAATGTGGACGGCTCCGCCGGACAGGTGTTGGGCGACTTTGTCCGGTGGAGGCGGGATGTTTTGCTGCCAAGGATCAGACATGACGATGCTCAACTCATTGTGTAAGGAGTGTGTTCTTTCGTCATACTCGGAATTCAGGGATGTAGATTCAAGCTTGTTACTCATCTCTCTGTAAACTTTGTTCCCAGTGGTCAGCCTAATGCATACAATGGCAACATATTAGGTATGGCCTTCGTGGGAACGGTCTGCCACGTAGGGACCGCCGGAGGAATCAACGTGGTTAGTTCAACTCCCTGTAATTACTAAACACCATCTGTCACATCATGCTTTGGTAGCATGAGCTTTTGTTAGGAAGCCGATACCATCTTCATTATTCATGGGGCATTCTAAAAGTGCAAATTCATTCTCACACCCTCCGAGTAACAAGTAAAACAGGTTAGACTTCAATTCTTTAACTTGTGATGGTCAGTGTGAGTCAATGATTGAACATTTGTTGCCATTTTCCCTTCCAACATGGCACATTTTCTTATTTATTTCCAACGTTTTTCACATTTTTGAAAGATTCATTCATGCCAGTACATTAGAAACGTAAAATCAATCACACGAAATGCTCTTTTTCACTGTGAATATTTATATACGTATTGATTGACTTACACTTGTACTTCAGGGTTGTATATTTAGATATATTGACAATGATGATTGTTGGTACTGAATGTGTGTTTTTCCCAGTTCAGTGCGAACAACCTGCTTTTGGCCTCCGTTGTGGTGGCCCATGAGATGGGCCATAATCTTGGCATGATGCATGACCGTGACGGATGCAGCTGCAATGGGACCAGTAGATGCATCATGGGTGCAGCTGTTGGGTAAAGAAAACCTGCAGTTGCATATACACTCAATTTATGAATTCAATGTGATCTTTTTCATGTTTTCACTTTTTCAATCAGGTAGGAATAGAGAAATAAAAAATTACGAAAAATAATCACAGCTCAAAGGTCCAGGATTTTTCTGGCCTGTCCAATTGAACATATCCATTCATTTTTATTCTGCCGTCTTGTAGGGGTGTCTCCACTTTCAGCAGCTGCAGTGGACAAGACTTTGAGAATCTGATTGTACGTGGAGGAGGCACTTGTCTGAAAAACCAGCCCTCCCCGTCAGATGTGGTTGGTGTAGCTGAATGTGGCAATGGCCGACTGGAGGAAGGAGAGCAGTGTGACTGTGGCAAACCCGGGGTAGAGTACTGCTTCCCAGATAAACAAACACACATGCACACAGGATGTTTTTTATTTAGTAGGATTATTGTATCGGAGAAGGATTTGTTTGATACCTCATTCCACATTACTGGTGTTCCGTTACTCGATGTTTGGAGATTTATTTTTTTTTACCCACAGAAAGTTATACCACGCAGAAAATATGTTGTGGAAAATATATTTTCTTTTAATATATATTCTGTACATTATTTGCTAGTTTTTTTATTTTATTACTGTGGTGTGTATATGATTCATCTGCTTCTATTTGCTACAGGAGTGTAACAATAAATGCTGTGATGCTGCCACCTGCAAATTGACATCTGGTTCGGCCTGCGCTCAGGGAGGCTGCTGCTCCAACTGTCAGGTGAGCATTATGTTAATTCCAGAGTTATGTAGTTCATGACTCATTGAATGAAAGCAATGTTTTGCGCGAACGCTTTTTATTTTAGATCAAAGTTGCTGGAACGCCATGCAGAGGGTCTGCCAACACGTGTGATCTTCCTGAATACTGTAACGGCACGGCTGGGTTTTGTCCCAACGACTTCTACGTCATGGACGGCCTGCCCTGTCAAGACAGTCAAGCTGCTGCGTACTGCTATGAGGGTCGATGCCAGACGTATGGTTTCCAGTGCAAACAACTCTTTGCACCAGGTACATTTAATAATGTGTGAAAAGAGACCGTTGCAGCTAATTAAACCTCAAACTGTGAGATGTGTTTACTTCTGTTCATTATTTCGGTCTCTAATGTATACCCGTTGTGCCAGACATGACTTTTTTTTTATTTTTTTATACTTATATCTGTTTGTGTAAAACGCTTATTACCCAACCCAAAGTGTAACAAGAGGCCGTGGTCACCTGGAAAGATATTAAAACACGTCTCCTGCTATTAGTGTTATTTGTTGGTTATTTTTTCTCTTTTCTTTTTATTTGTAGGTCCAGCAACAAAGGCCGCGGATATTTGTTTTCAGAATGCAAATATGAGGGGAAACACGTTTGGGAACTGTGGAATTGGTACCAACGGAGTTCCTATCAGATGTACTTTAGCGTAAGTACTGTAGTTTTTCATTACTGAATCATATGAACTAAAATGTTCTATTTCTCAAAAATGTAACTCATTAACAACTGTGCTCCCTTGAATCTGCACTGCAGAAATTCCATGTGTGGGAAGTTACAGTGTACAAACGTGGACGTCAACAACCCCCCTCCAGGTGCCCAAATCAGTGTCGAAGTACTTGGGAAGGAAAAGTGTATAAATGTAGACTTCAACCTCGGCACAGATGTGCTGGATCCGGGTTACGTGAACTCTGGCAGCCCTTGTGAAAATGGAAAGGTAGGCAGACAAACCATTTAAGAAGTGTACATGCCTAAGCGAAGGAATGGAATGCGGACCTACTTTAATGACGTCTTCCAGGACAATACTCTCATTGTGAAAGTAAAGTAAGTTATGATTCCTTATGACAGCGTCATCTTAAAAACCTTCTCCCTCAGACCTGCATAGACTTCAAATGTGTGAACGCCTCTGCGCTGCTGCCCAAGCTGAACTGTGATGCCAGGGCAACGTGTAACAGCAAAGGGGTTAGTCTGCATTGTATTTGCTTTTGTTGAACTTTTACTTAGTTACCAGCCAAAATTTACCAGTGTATCTTTGCTGTTGTAATGTTTTCTTCAGGTATGTAATGACAGAGGGAACTGCCATTGTGAAAACGGGTGGGCCCCACCTAATTGTGACCGGGCGGGACGCGGTGGCAGCATAGACAGTGGCCCTGCTCAGATCGGTGGGTTTGAATTGATGTTTTTACTTTTCAAAATAAAATGCACTCTCTACTACGTACAGTCCACTTACATGGCACACTTTTAAACCTCAATATGGATATTATATAAAAATGTTGTGGTTAATGTGCATCAATAGATCGGTCATCAGTCCTCTATTCTGCTTCATATTAGAATCAGAACCATTCGTGGCCAAGTATGTTGCACATAGAAGGAAGTTTTATTGTCAGGATAATAGACAAACATGTACAAAAGACAAGAATAAAGTGTCCAGTGTATTATATATTAAATGTAGAGCAAGATGGGGGAAACCGAGTTAGCGGCGGTCAAGGGCTTTTTTTTTTAGCCCAAATGCTGACGGTAAGATGCTGTTTTTGTGGCGAGAGGTGACTTTTTGTCTTCTATTTATATGACGAAGGATGTGTGGTTAATAGTTACGTCTGTTGTTGACACACCCAGATACAAACCGGTTTTAGTCTTTGATAATTGGATGCACAATATTGAGCTTAATGGCTACTAATGCAAGTAAATATAAGTTGTACTGTAATGTTTGCGATTCAAACATGATCTTTTCTACCACAGACCACTCCCTCAGGGACGGATTGTTGATCTTCTTCCTGTTGGTGGTTCCTGTTCTTATCGTTCTCATTCTGCTGCTGCTGTACTTCTTCAGGAGAGAAACCCTTGACCCATGCCTCAAAGGACGACACCTTAAGTAAACATCAGCTCAAGTTAAAAATATACCTCAAGATACTTTATGGGCTGTAGTGTTTTATATTTATATGGGAAAAAAAGTACTCCTTCTAAAATGGTTTTGAATTTCACAGGTCGCGTAATGTTCCGAATGGAAATGCGAATGGGCAGCCAAACGGCATTGTTCAGACAAGGGCCACAACTCAGCCTCCATTGCAGGCTCCTTCTAATGCGGTAAATATGTTTACTCTTCTTAGGGATTATCACTGCAGTGTTTTTTTATTTTCGCAGTAGGAGGATCTGTCTTTCATTACCTGAAACTTGTCAGACAAGAGAAAAAGGGAAATCAATCAAAACGTTACTTGTTTTTCTTCCAATTCAAGCCTGGATATCCACCAGCTACCGTAACTCCAATTCCTGGGTACGAACTTTTTTTTTTATTTCAGTAAATCCATATTGTCCTCCAACGCACAAGGAAATATAAGCTTGCAATGCACAAGCTGATCACATGTAACTTAATTTCCCACTCATCCTGTCAGTTTCAGGTACGGAGATCTGGATTATTGGAACGCGGATGAAAATGTGGCCCCTGCACAAGCACCAGTTCCAAGGCAGGGCCCCGGAGTACCCAGACCAATCCCTCCCAGGAGGATACCTACTTGATTATCTTGTTCTTTAGCATATTTTTTAATATATTGTGAAGATGGTTATTAAAGATTAACACTGTATGAAGAGAAGTTTTAAACGCTCTGAAAACAAAACCCCTACTCTGAGTTTAAGGTCTGAGTGTTGGTGGGTGAGGCTTATAGACAAGTAAAGACTTTAATATGTGTTTTATCTGTTTACCTATTTGAACTTCATGCACATGAAGTATCTCTTTATCCCTTTTTTGTATTTTATGGTACGTAGACTTTAAAGATTTTGATATCATGCCTTTAAACCGAATAAATAACACAATTTATTTCAACTTGTTTCGTTGTGAATGTTTGTTTCTCAGAACTCCTGTAATAGCCTGAATAAAACGACCATTTATTATTTTATTGATAAAATAAAAGCACTGGTACAGTTTTCAAGAGGTCTCTCAAGCTATCCAACCTTTTATTTTTTTATTTTGAAAGGCATGTTGACGGAAGTCACGTGTTCTGTTCAGCATAACACGGAAGTTATTTTTTATTTGCTTTCCGCTAACAACCGTACCCGTCGCCTAAATGTGCTTAAATGTCGTTTTTTTAAGCGGCTCTCTGGTAGCACATGGCAGCGCAAGAAGCCGGAGGCGTCGGCCGGGCTGCGGCCTGTCTGTGCGTCCTCTGCGGTCTACCTGCTGCGGGGAAGTCCTCGCTGGCCCTCCGGCTCCTCCGCGGCGCGGCACATCGCGGGTGGAGAGCGAGTGTGGTGCCGTATGATGACCTGATCCTCGGGCAGGCTTTTCACACCAGAGTGGTGGAGGGCGATGGTGTGATCTCAAACAATGTAATTGTTCCGTCCGGAGCCAACAATTTAATTGTAAATGTTAACAATAAATGTTATATTTTATGAAGGGTCAAATTAATATATTGTGTGAATAACCTATTTGCAGCCACAGTAGCAGCAGTAAAGTATGAATTTGAACCAAAACGGTACTGTATATCTTTGGGCTTTGTACTGCTTGTCAGACAAAACAAGCCGTAACAACAACACGTTTTCATTATAAGGTACCAGAGTCATTATTCTCTTCTATTTCTAGCACACTGAATGGAGGTTACACAGACAGGCAGTTTTGCGCTGCATCGAGCGGTTCTTGGAGAATCCTCAACCTTCGGCTCAGCTGCCGGACGGCTGTCCACTCAACAAGGCAGCGTGGGAACAGTGCATTCAAGCTCTCCTGCAGTCTGAAGCTGTGGATCGCTCAGCGGCTGGCCAGGCGCCGCTCGTCCTCCTGCTGGATGACAACTTCTACTATCCAAGCATGAGATATGAAGTGTACCAACTTGCAAGGAAGTGTAAGCGCTTTCTCTCGACAGCATAGGCCACTTGAGTGTATAACGGAACATAGTGGTAGTGTATAACTAGGGTTAACTTTGGGATAACTCAAGCCACACCACTTCACCATTTTAATTACTAATTCATTTTCCTTTTTGTCTTTTTTAGACTCACTGGGTTTCTGCCAGGTGTATCTACAGTGTGATGTGGAGTCCTGCATCAGCAGAAACCAGACCAGGTCCAAACCAATCCCCTCTGTCGTGATATTGGAGATGGTGAATCGTTTGGAGTCTCCAAATCCACAGAAATACTCATGGGAGACAAACAGCATTTCAATCAACACCACAGGCAATTTGTCCACATGTGACATGTAAGACCGCAGAATAAGTTGTCATTAACACTTATTACTGACGCCCACGGGCATAAATTGAGTAGTCATGTGTTGCCTCTTCTCTTCTTGTCTGGCTTGTCCTCAGCCAGAGGGTGATTGAGTTGATCTCTTCCTCACTTTGCAACCCACTGAGCCCGTCGGTAGACAACACTGAACAAAAGGTGTGCCGATTTATCTCCTCTCAAATCTGTTAATAGGAGGAAATTGGATATGCAGAATTCATTTGTGCTGTTGTCTCGTACTGTGCAGGAGGCAGATCGCCTGAAATGTGCAACTAGTGTGGTTCACCAGACTGACCAGGCCTGTAGACGGCACATATCTGATGCCATGAAGACTGCCAGGGGTCAGTAGTGAGTCATTAATACATCACATTTGACGTTCGTATGCAGTTTGTCTTTTAAAACCCTACTTCATAATCATTTTTTCCCCCTTAACCTAGAGAATCAAGTAGCTCCCAAGCAGATGAGGTCTTTGGCCGCTCAGCTAAGCGCATCCAAGGCAACGTTTCTCGAAACCCTTCGGAGACAGCTGTTTCATGAAGCATCTTTCACTCAGGACGAGGATGTCGATATCGATCGTGTGGTGAAAAGAGCCGTGGATGTTTTTGATCATGAGAAAAAGGAGATCTTGCTCAGAATCATAGGTGAAAAACAATGACTGAATTACTTGAATCTTTACATTAAACTGTGTGTCACTCTTTAATTTAATGTAAATAACATGTCATTTTGCTGTTAATTGTGTCAAAGAAATAAAATGTCTACTTTTTACTGTATCATTTACTTTGCTATGCTAAGAAGTTATACCTAAGCTTTAATGTATATTCATGTTTGAGAAATATCAATACAGGAAGGAATGGGACCCCGATTTCTGCAGCAAATATCCTAGTGAAGCGAGTGCTCCCGCTCCCCTCTCACTGAGAGGAACAGTTATCTGGCCAGTTGCCACAATGGCAGAGCTGCTCTGGCTCGTCCTCCTGCTGGGTGACAACTTTTACTATCCAAGCATGAGATAAATAATTTCAAAAATAATCATTTTCAAACTCAAGATACTGTGATACGGTCGGGGTCAAGTTTTATGTTAATATGGTGCCAGTATAGAAACTACTACGTTGACCTCAAATAATCCTTTCATGGCCATAACAAGAGAATCACATACAAACAAGCTTACCTTTTCAGTCAAAAGAAGCAGGTACTACAAAACTGCTTGGTTTGTAAACGTACAATTGTTTAATGGAGTGACAGAAGTACAGTACACAACTGCAGGATTATAATTAGTTTGGTTGTACACAAACCTTTAAAAGAAAATGACCCAATCAAACCAACAGTTATTACACATCTCACTTAAATCTCTCACAGCAAAATGTGTCCAGCCAATTTAACTGAGACTAAGACTTTGGTGTTCAATCACAGGTTGTGTACAGATGATGGAAAAATGTTAACAATCCCAAGATAAATACTGATCTGGTGAAGTTCATAACGTGTGGTGTTAAAATACTGTTAGCGTTTTATCTAAATATAATAAATAATGTCTCCGGGATCATGTCTCTTAACACAAACATCTACATTAGCCTAGAAGTATTCAAGATGGATGAGTCGCTTTCTCCACCGTTCGTATGTATCACTCCGAGGCTAATCATTCAAAACATTTAATACTGTATATTATACTACTTGGGCCACATCACATTATAAATAAAACAGGGAAACTGTACAAAATAAAATGATTAAATATATAAAATCAGGGTGAACATGTTAAGATGCTGTGCAGAAAATATGCTGCAAACACAAGGAGCAAACACACCGTATGGTGCTCGTAATCACTTTTTATGTTGTCCGCGGGCAAAATGGCACGAAAAGTTGTATTTGTCTATGCACATGTGACCACAGATGTTGCACTGGAATGGGTGTTCGTAGCCATGACAGCCCATGTGAATGGTGTAGAGGATGTTATCCAGAAATTGAATATCACAGTGCTGGCATTTATTTAAGAGCTGTTGGTCGGCTGTGGTCGGGGCCGGGGTGGGTGTGCTCGTCCTGCTGTTGCTGACACTCGCAGTAACAGTGTTCACGCTGTTCTCAAAGCCGAGGCCGGGAGCTGGACTGCAACTCCCGTGGCCCGAGGTGGGAGACTCATTTTTAAGTGGTAAAGTCTGCACCTCATTTGAACACATGGCTACGTGTTCACTGGAGACTTGTTGTATGAGAATGGGCTTCTCGTCCTTGAATGACTCCCTGTCTGGGGATGCAGGGGTCTGAGACTCGGGATGGAGGTTGGCTAACTGACCAGCAAGTGTAGACAGCTGGTCCAGTGGGTTATTAAAAGTCAAACCATTAGCATCTCTTTTGCAACTGTCATTCTCATCGACCATGGGATAGTTCTTGGGATCACCGGTATGCATATGATGGTGGATCTTGTAAGACAAGTCATTTAGACAATCCGACTTTGGCATCCCCGTGGAGGGAGGGTTGTAGTTGATGAGCAGTCGCCTGCTGAAGCCCAGCGAGCCGGTCCTCTTCTGCAGGGAGCTCAATATTCTTTTGTTGGAGAAAGAAGAACGGACGGCCCTGGTGGGCAAGAGCTTGTGGCGGCGGCGGCGGTGGTGCGACAGGTTGCTGCGGTCACTGCAGCGGAAGGAGCAGATGTCACATTTGTACGGTTTTTCTCCTGTGTGTGAGCGCATGTGGGCCTCCAAGTGGCGCTCGTACGCTGAAGCAAATGGGCACAGCTGGCAACGATGAGGCTTTTCTCCTGGGTGACAATCGGGGCATGAAATAATTGTAGATATTATACTTATATTACGAAGCACACCTGACTGGGCAAGCGTGGACAGCACAATGTGTTGTGTGAGATTATACAAAATGTGCATGGTGATATCGACAAAAATACCATGGAAGTACAAGATATTCTTCAAATAGATCATCCTTAATTGCTTAGGAATGTTTCCTAATGTCTCAATGAATGCTGTGTGAACTCTGACCTGTGTGGATGCGGATGTGCTCTATCAAACGAGACATGCCCTTGTTGGCGTAGCTGCAGTAGCTGCACTTGTACTTTCCATCGCAGGTCCTCTCCAGGCCGTCCATCTGCACATCTGGACCATCCTCCATTGGCAGGCTTACCTCCAAAGACGGAGGGTCCAGACCATTCTGCTCACTCCTGGGGGCAACTTAAACCAAACGCACAACGACTTCATCAAATGACTCTTACATTATCGACAAAACATTGAATTTACTGCACTCTCTTCCCACCGGCTAGAAACGGCTCCCCTTGGTCCCTTTCTCCACTAACAGAGCCTGAGATCATGTTGACATGCTGGGTCTGCTGGGTCAGGTATTCTTGGAATTCCTTCACAAAATCCACAGGCTCGGTCTTAATCGTTTCCATAGTCCTGGTTGAGACCTAATATAAGATCCAAAGGAAACGAGTAGACAGTCGGAGGCTCTCTGTTCGGACACTTGCAACCTTGCAGTAAGTTAGCTAACGTATCGCCTGTGGAAATGTTGTAGGCTAGCGTTAGCTCACAGCTGTTAACAGCAATAGCAACGTTGTCTCGCTAGGTCGCCCGTGAAGCAGTATGTCGTTATTGTTATCTAGCTCCAACCTTAAAGCAGTCATAGCTTACATGTCAGCGTCTAAGTAACGTTATCATTAAGAGGAGACAACTGTGAAAACTGGGCCCGGTGGCTCAAATATTTGGCTCAGACTGTTGCCAGGTGAACGCTTCCCCGTTTGCTGATACTTCTTTGTTTTGTGCTCCTCTAAACGCAACTGTTGCGTTCGTGAACCGTCGTTAAAGAATTACTCCGGCGAAAGAGTCTCAAGAACGCTACTAGACCAACAGGTAGATTTCTTTTTGACCCTGTCAATACCAATATTTGTTTCACTCTAATGATCTAACATGTCTATTAATAGGAGTGGCATTTTGATTTAAATTGTGCTTATTCAATTGTTGTCTAATTTACGCTGTAAATTGCAGTAGCGGATTTTCACAAGTGGTACCCGAAGGCAGCATTAAACCCCGACGCCGGACATGACATAGGCACGCACGTAAACATTTTGTAACTAATAATGGCAGCATCATTGGTCAGGATTTTCTCAAAGGTGAGACTCAATACCACTGTCAAAGTTATTAGCAATTGCTGTGTTTCCGGTATTTTCCTACCGTAAATAATATTTATCCATGGCTTGTGTAACAGCCCCAACTTGCTGTTGCTGACGTTACCTGCTAACACACAGCTAGCGTTAGCATGAAGGCTCAAACCAACCTCTGAGTAGTGCTGGCAAATGATATCACAAACGCAGAAAAACGGGAACAATTTATAAACCTGACATTGGTGCCGAATCGTAGCCGTGCGGCTCTCTGATTCAAAATGTGCATTTAAGGTAACACATTACGCCCTAAAAGACATCTTCACTGTTGCCTGTCTTTGTTTTCAGTCGTGCAGACAGATCTCTCGACCATGGGGCGCGTCCCGGGCTGCATGGAGGAGCAGGTCCACCAATCCTGCTGCAGATGTGTCCTCAGACCAGGCAGCTGGTGGAGTCTCATTTCCTCCGCTTCAAACCTATTCAGAGGAGGAGAGCATGATGAGGGAAGCAGGTGAGTTGGACACTTGGCAGAATCGTTGATTCTACTTCTGCTGGCTAGTGAGGGACAGATGTTACTCACAGGACTAAACGTATGTCTTCATCTTTGACAGTTAAAAAATATGCACAAGAGCGCATTGCTCCGTTCGTGTCAAAGATGGATGAAAACTCTACCATGGACGAGGAAGTGATCAAATCTCTTTTTGAGCAGGGTGTAAGTGAATCATTTCACTTAAGCCAATGCAAATGTTTAAGTTCCATAATCAACGACTGATTTTTCTTTTCATCGGCTTGTTCTACAGCTCATGGGCATCGAGATTGACCCAGAGTACAACGGCACCGGCTCCACATTCTTTGCCTCCATTCTGGTGATTGAGGAGCTGGCGAAGGTGGACCCCTCTGTGGCTGTGCTCTGCGACATCCAGAACACGCTGATCAACACTCTGTTTGCCGAACTGGGCACAACAGCGCAGAAGGAGCAGTACCTCAGCCGCCTGACAACTGACATGGTGAGCAATTTAACATTCCGTCTCATAGCAAAATGGAGTGGCATAAATCCCAAGCAGCTAGACGAGACAAAGACAAAGCGCATGCTACCGTATATTATCAATACGCTGTATATTCAGTGCTGTCTTTACTGTAATGCTTTCCTGAGAACAGGTCGGAAGCTTCTGCCTCTCCGAAGCAGAGTCGGGGAGTGATGCTTTCTCTCTGAAGACGCGCGCTGATAAACACAAGGACTATTACATCATCAATGGATCCAAGTTGTGGATCAGTAATGCAGAGCATGCAGGGGTTTTCTTAGTGATGGCAAATGTCGACCCCTCTTCTGTGAGTACCCCCTGCCGTCCTTGTCATAAACTTAATTTAAAAGTAACATCTGATTTTCGCTGTTTTCTTAAATGCAATCCTGCAACTGTTTAAAGGCAGAGGGAGGACATTTAAAAATAATCCTTCAATTTAAAAACCCAGCCGAGTGATGCCAACTCTTACCCCATTAAAGTAGCCACCATCACTACCTACAAAAGATGCCACTTTTTGCAGGGAAGTTGCCAAATCTCCCTCAGGAAGCCAATTCCCGCACATTATCATGAAGAACATAATCAACAAAACATGGCTATTGTTGGAGTTGGCAGCTGTTAAAGCATCTTGTAGACAACTCCGGTGACCAGCAGTGAGACACGAGCAGAATAACAAAATGGGCCTCTGTAATAAAGTAAAACTCCCCATCGATTAACAGGGATACAAAGGGATTACCTGCTTCATAGTGGACCGGGACACGGAGGGGCTTGAGATTTGCAAGAAGGAGAACAAGCTCGGCCTGCGGGCGTCGTCCACCTGTCCGCTCAACTTTGACAATGTCAAGGTAACTTACCTCGCGTTGTGACTGTTACTAACTGTGACTGTTACTAACCCCCTGCCTTTCCTTTTAGGTACCAGAGAAAAACATTTTGGGCCAGATCGGCCAGGGTTACAAGTATGCTATTGGAATGTTGAATGGGGGCAGAATTGGAATAGCGGCTCAGGTAAGCGGTCTTTATTTAAAACAATCTACTTGCTCTGTTAAAGGTCACAACGTGTGAAGGGGAGATGGTGCATGTGCTAACTTTGTCCCTGCGTGTGTTTCAGATGGTTGGTCTTGCACAGGGTTGCTTTGATAACACAATTCCTTACACCAGACAGAGAGTGCAGTTTGGAAAACGCCTCTTCGACTTCCAGGTTAAAATCCACTCCTCCACATAACATGTTGGAGATTATTCCCAATATTCCGGGGACCATCGTATTGACGGGGTCTTGTGTCGCTTGCATTCCAGGGCATGCAGCATCAAATCGCGCACGTGGCCACGCAGATTGAAGCCGGACGGCTGCTGACGTACAACGCTGCTCGTCTGAAAGAGGCGGGGAGACCTTTCATCAAGGAGGCCTGTATGGCCAAATACTTCACTGCAGAGGTGAGCTCCCTGATTCACTCGCTACACACAACACACGGGTGGTGCTGCTGTTGAGAGTTTTTGAATTATTTCTCTCTATTTCTAGGATATAGTGCTAAAATGTAATGCATATATGGAGACGGTGCAGTGTCTATTGGATTGGATAAGAGTCTGTTGTATTTGACTTTCCTCAGGTTGCAACCCTAACCACATCTAAATGCATCGAATGGATGGGAGGGGTAGGCTTCACCAAAGACTACCCCATAGAGAAATACTACAGAGACTGTAAAATTGGTGAGCATGACATATGTGGTGCACCACAAGTGACTGAGGCTACAATGGGGAAAGGGACACAACTCGTGAGGGCTGCAGGAAGGTCAGATGTAGCTGTTAGTGATTGGACCAGAGAGGGGCGGAGGGAAGGGCTCATAGCAGCGGCTGTAATCGGACTCTGCAGGAATTCCCCTCTGGTGCCATTATAACCAACACAGCCAAGGAAGCTGCCAGGGAAAAATGTCCCCTTTCCGGTTATCGCCGCGTTTGGGCTCCTCATTCCTCTAGCTGGATAATAGGCCTCTGGTCACCTCATTCACGTAGTGAGCGGGCGGAATTTGACAAATCTGGCCTTGTTTTGTTAAGCAGGAATTGTTTCTAATGCTTTGGTTTGTCTCCCATGTGCAGGGACCATTTACGAGGGCACGACAAACGTCCAGCTTTCTACAATGGCCAAGTTAATTGACAAAGAGTATGATAGCTGAAACCGGCCCACTGGAGCCGGACGGATTGCAAACCTGTGTTACACTCCGTGTGCTTCCCCTCAAATGACTTTTGGGAGTGCATTGCTGTAGATATGCATTCATGTTTCGAGAGTTTTGTTGCACTTACAGATGTTTGTTCGCTATATCACCAGTGTTTTCTCTAAACAAACGTTAAGTAGCGTCTCTGATGTTACTGATGTTGTGGTTAAATTTCGCAATCTATTGGTTGAAATTTTCTCTGGAACGTTTTCTTTTTTTTTTATTTCAGACCTTTCCAAAACCCCTGAATCAACTCGATGTTTGTTGCGTTGTGCCGCTTCCCTCTTGTTCGTACTGTTGTTCCTTCTGCTTATTAACATATGGTGACAATTGATGAATCATGATGCATTATTAGATCGCAAGATTTTCATTTGGCTTTTCTTTGAATTTTTCAGTGCCTTCCGAGTTTGAGCGCAATCACATATGTATAAACAGGGGAATTCTAACGTTTTCCTCTTTATCATGAACTTTCAATAAAGATTAAGTACGATGTCGTGCAGTGGACCATCTTTCTTTGGCGTGACTGAGGTGCGTTAATATGAACTGTCACTAGATGGCAGCATTCTCCAAAGTGACAACGGCCCTCTGAGTTGAGGCAGCAGAACAGTCCCTGACCAGGTCGTTTTGCACCATGTCACCTCTGGTGACGTTTGATATTCGGTTAATTGTGCTGGTGCTTCAGATGAAAAGTGCATAATCGACTTACTGATCATTTTTCAGGTGATTACAAATCCACAGCTTGCATTTGCAAAATGAGGTCTATTGTTTTACACAACACAGGCAGGCGGTGTCTTAAGTATACAGAATATTTATAGCCAGTTCAACCCCTGGTAATAATTCATCTTGTGGTTTCACAAAAAGACAGTTATAACTCAAGGATTTAATTGTATTTATCAACAAGGATAAAAAAATGAAATTATAAAATATATACATGTCTAGCCTCATTTTATTGTTGTCACAATATGATTTTATTCACTAATATTACTTGATACAAGCTCAAAACACCACAGATGTTTGTTAAGAGAAATATAAATGATCACTTAGGCGTGAGGTGTACCTGACTGCCTTTTATGGCCGGTGTATTGGACGTTAAACACAACGGGTTCAAATAAATTACATGAAAAGAACAGACATGAAATAACAGCTCCATCTTTTGTACAAAAGCACAAATCCGACAAAATTTAAAACACAGGCCTGCGTTTGCATCATTGATTAATTGACTTTGTTTCCCCCCTCTGGTCCATTGTGACTTGCTGTCTCCGTTGTGCAAGCCCCTGTTTAATGAGCATAATCCGATGGAAACACTACCTGCTTTTCTCATTGCATTGGCAAATGCAGCTCAACTAGCCTCTTTCTCCGCCCCCATCTTTAACACAGCCATGAGACCTCTAATTATGCAGGGATTCAAGTAGCTTTTCACAAAACACAGTGTTGTCCTTTAGAGCTGGAGAGCGCTCCGCGAGCTAAAAGGACAGACTGGGTGTTTGTGGGTTGAGCAAATTCAATTGGTTTGATTAGTTCTCTGCAAACGCTTGAAGTGTTAATAATGAAGCTTAAATGCATCCCATGGTTTGTATTTGTAGTCTTATTTTATGTCCATATTTGCTGATGGATCTGATTTCAAATATTATCTGAAGAATGTGTTCAAAAGGCTGTGTGACACACGTACATTTTTGTGCGTTTGCTTTATGGGACCTTTCAAGCAATAGGTTCCCTGCATAGAGGCAAGTTGTTTGATTAAAGAGTCCATGATTTGTCGTTTCCCTCGGTGCCTCAAACTGACAGTTTCCTCAATCTCTTTATCTTCTGCAATACCATTTAATCTAATCACACTTTTTGGGGAATTTCTATGCATGAATAGAATTCACTGCATCTGCATCTGCAGAAACAAGACTTGTTCTGTCATCCTCATGCATCACATCACCTGCTGCCCCTGTGGGTTTACAGGCTTTTGTAAAAAGCTGATTTGAAAAGCCATTATCACAGTGGTAAGCATTCAATTTGATGTCTGCCTGTGGCACTTCCTGACTAATACAATCACATCGGAGTCTATGGGCTCACGTACAGGAGGAGTGCAGCTAATGCTTCCCTGTTGCACGCAGGTGAATCAGAGGATATTTGAAATAACAGAGGAATGAGGTTGATTCTCTGCAGGTCAACAACAGCTTCAACATGCGAATGGATTTGATATCACCGTCTATAATGATATGTCACCATAGGTTTTTAATCGGAATCTTTTTTTAACTTTTTTTACGTTGTCGTTGGTTTACAATAATGCGTAAAATATGCGCTATGTGCGTAATATTTGTGCCAAACTGCTGCTTGTAAAAGTGTGATAATCCCAAGGCCGTTTATTAAATTTACTGACGAATATTTCCTGCTCGCGAACCCCCCAAAATACCCAGATACATTCTCCTCTTTAATCTAATTGGATGATAAGTGGCTACGCACTGATGAGCCCGCTGCCCAAAAACTCGATAGCCCGGCCTATTTCTCTGGAGTCTATTCTCGTCACAACCCCTCGCGGTTTCATCTCAAATCCCATTTGCTATTGCACTTGTCCAATAGCAGGCACCGAGCGCATTTTAACTCGGGTGGCATCTTTTTTATTTCATCATTGCAATCCAGCGCAAGTTTGACGCAGTGATCTCTGAGCTCTTCCTCTGATCCTCCTCCGGAACCGTTCCTATCGTCTCTCCCCCCCTCTCTCCCTCCCTCCCTCTCTCTCTCGCTTAGTCTGGACCTAAAACGATCATCTTCTTCAGGAGTTTTCTGTCGCCCTAGATAAGTTTTCATGGTGATCCGGACATCGCACAGTGAACGGTGATGGCGGACTCTGGCGCTCAAGAGACTCGCCAGCATGCAAAAGACTCGCCGTTCTCCATAAAGAACCTGCTGAACATCGAAGACAAGCCCACGAAGCCCAAAGGCTTCCTCGGCTCGTCCAAGGGAGCGTTCGAAGGGAGCTTCATCTCCCGGCTCGGGGACTTGTCTTTCCCTCGATTTGAGTTGCCCACGCAGAGGATCGGACTATCGGCGCAGTATTTGGAGAGAGCGTCCACCTGGTGGTACCCATACACGCTCGGCACGCACCTGAGGGCTGGAGGTAAATACGATTAACTGTCGTAAACGTGGTGTTTTGGTTTGAAGTGATCTGAATTTAGTAAATACAAATATGAATAAATGTGAATTTATTACAACCAAATGTGTCATGTCACATATGATTTATGGGTTATTGGCAAGATTTCAACAAAAGGCCCAGCGGGTCTAATTTGAAAACATTGTATTGTTTTTTTTTTTAGTGTCAGCAGGGTCTGAGAAGGTCAACGTGAGAGAAGCATCGCCGACACCGGACCCGCGCTCCCCGGATCCCCCAAAAAGCGACCACGACGGCAAAGAGGAAAGCGCCGACGACGACATCGCGCTGGATGAAAGTGACTCGGAGGAACCGAAGAAAGGAACCGACCAAGGGGACGACTGGAGGAGGAAAACCGGCGAGCTGGACCCTTCCGACAGGAAGCCCTGCCGGAAGAAGAAGACGCGCACGGTGTTTTCCAGGAGCCAGGTGTTCCAGCTGGAGTCCACCTTCGACGTGAAGCGCTACCTGAGCAGCTCGGAGAGGGCGGGCCTGGCCGCGTCGCTGCACCTGACGGAGACGCAGGTGAAAATCTGGTTTCAAAATCGGAGGAATAAGTGGAAACGGCAGCTGGCCGCGGAGCTGGAGGCGGCCAACCTGAGCCACGCGGCGGCGCAGAGGATTGTGCGGGTTCCCATACTTTACCATGAGAGCGGAGCCACGGAAACGGCCGGGGGCCCCGCGGCCACCTCACCGCCGGGGAGCCAGTCACTGCTGGCTTTCCCCCACCACATGTACTATTCCCACCCGGTCCCACTGCTGAGGCACGTTTAACACGGACTGCGTCATCTGTACATATGTTTTTAAATGAGGGTGACTTTCATTTGAGAAAAAAAAATGCATTTTGTAGATTTTGTAGATTCTACGGACAAAATAGGGTCATCATATTATTAATATTATTATTATTATTTCCTATTTAATCATCATGTATCCTGCTGAAGCGTCGTTGAGCAAGTCCATATTGCAGTTACTATTGGTGTTATAAGAGTTATTATTATTGTCATTTTTATTATTATTATTACGTGGCATTACTATTATTGGTGAAAATGTTGGAGGCACCACAGTAAGATAATTTAATGTGACTTGTTTTTAAACAGGATTGACTGTCCTTAAGTATTTTAAAGACATTTGTGTCAGTGTTTGTAGGAAAACATGTTAAATGTATTATTTTTATTTTTTCCAATATTGTGCAATAAGTTGGCTGCGCATTACAGGCTGCCACCCTTTGTAAACATACAAATATGTTTCTCTTTGTATCAGTTCAGACAATCATGTGATCCAGAAAATCCCGAAAAACTGCAGGTGATTGGCATTTGTTTTTATGACGTGTTTCTCCGGTAAATTGAAAGCCATGCAAAGAGCCAAAAAATAGCCTCTGTTTTTGTCTGTTTTTGTCTGGTTATTGACATTGTGTCTATTATATGTTCTCACAGCGAGTAAAAATTCCGTTCCCAAAGAAAATGTATTTTTATCCATAAGAGAATGATGGTGTACATGGAAAATGAATTGTTCAATTAAGTCGTGTGATTAAGATTCTGATTTGTAAACATTTGTGAGCACCGAGGGGTCTTTTTTTTACCTACATTCGTCCGCATTCGTCCTCATTTTTAAATATGGCATAAAAACACATGTCTGTGGAGATGATCGGGGTGTCCAAAATAAAATACTCACATTTGAATAGATAGTCTTATAAATAAAGGCTATCATTTTCATCCGATGATTAGAAACATGTAAAATTTCATTTTACACATAATTTGAGGAACCATTGGGTTTTAGGCCGATAGGCTGTTTTGACCACAAACGGCTTGATGTCCAGCTGTTTTCTGACTAATTTAAGAAAACAAAAATGAACAGATTTAGAAAAAATACAAATGTTTATATGTTATTTATTTTTCCCTAAGGTTCGCGTAATGGTCAAGATACTGTTATTCAACGCTAGAGCTATTTGGGCAACGATCTCCTGAAAACACAAAAAATAAGGATAGCCATTACCAATAGCATGTGTACGTTTGTAATATAACTCCCTCCACGATAGTTGACCTCATGAATAGCAGTATAACAGTATTTGTATTCCTATTGGAAGATTACCGTAAGGCTACACTGCACACATTGTATGCCAGCATTGCTTTTAAGTGTTTTTTTCGCTTTGTATATATTTTAAATGAAAGACATAGTTATGCCAACTAATGTTATGACGTCAACTAATGTTGGCCAAATATGTTATAACAGTATATGTTATATGTGCAAGGGAGAGAGGGAGGGAGAGAGAGCGAGAGAGAGAGAGAGAGAGAGAGGGAGAGAGAGAGAGAGAGAGAGAGAGAGAGAGAGAGAGAGAGAGAGAGAGAGAGTAGTCCTGTGTCATGTGACCTACACCGAAACAACGGATATGTCAGTGTGGTTTAATCAACCAATCATATTGCTGGCGGGATTTTGAACATTTGTCTCAACCAATCACTATCCACTAGGGCTCCGGCGGCGCTTGTCCAGGAGTTAGCTTCGTACAGCCACATTTGCTTTGTAGCAATTCCACGTTGAATATTTTACCGTATATCAAGGCGTAATAATTAGGTTCGTCAAATAATCAGTCGTGTGTGAAGGACACCAAACGGAGACGGTAAGTAAAGAGAAACTGCTAACATCAGGGATTGAGCGACGTTGTCTTTACAATTGTAAGCTAGCGTTAGCAAACACTAGTGGAAACAGAATGCGGCTCCCGGCTAAGTGTAATTGCTGGATGCAACCGAACAGTTCATTTGGTCAGTATGAAACACGAACTAATGCGATCTAGACCAAGTAAAACAACTGTTCTACAAGCTCTATCAATAGATTATCACCTAATTGAGCGTATAGTGTTATGTTATGCTAGCAAGCTAAGAACTCGAACTCCAAGTAGGGGCTACTTAACGTGAGCTAAATCCACGAACACTTGTCATTAAGCTAGGCTAACAACAAGCCGGGAAAGCCGTCCACTGACGATAGTAGCTATACGTTAGCTAACGTTGCTATAGAAATTCTTCATTGATCCTACTTTTCCAGACCGATCAAGCGGTATAACTCATTTTATTAATTCCCTTATGCCATATATGATCTAGTGGAGGGAGCCACTTTCTTTTCAAAACTGAAATCCACCGACTTCAGCTTTGCGTTAGCTCAAAGCTAACCTTTTTATACTCTCAAATAAGTAATCGAATGTACAGTAAAAGTAATGTATCAAATGGTTTTGACACTGGCTAGCAGCAACAGTTGTTTAGTCCAAGCTCTTCTAGTTATTGATCATATGATACAACTGTGTTGTGTAACATTATGTGTAACACTTATTGGTATTGCGAAGCACATTATGTATGTTTGTATTTCAATCATATTGAGGTCATTAACAAAATATATGGACCTTTTTTGAAGCTCATGTTTGTGGTGGTTGTCGTGTAGTTGAGTTTGAATCCAGAGTATTCAATCAATCCTGTGTCCAACCCTGAATACTGTTTGATTTGAAAAGAGTCATTGATCCATCTATTAGTTGTCATTGAAGTCACACTTGAGCATTATTTTTAGTCTCACTTTCAGGCTTTGTGGGATGTTTCCTGTTTGCAGATGACGGGCTCAAACGAATACAAGCTAGACCAAGGACCAGAGGACAGCATCTCCGCTGTCAAGTTCAGCCCCAGCGCGGCTCAGTTCCTGCTGGTTTCCTCCTGGGACTGCACTGTCCGTCTCTTTGATGTCGGAGCCAACACCATGCGGATGAAGTATCAGCACTCTGCTCCGGTTCTCGACTGTGCTTTTTATGTAGGTTACAGGTTTTTGGATTTGTTTCGATCCCTCATTTTTATGGCAAAGCTGCAACGTCTGGTAGACAGAGATAACTTTCTTTTTAACTTGCAGGACCCAACACATTCTTGGAGTGGAGGCTTGGATGCACAATTAAAAACGCATGATTTGAACACAGACCAAGGTACGTCACAAATGTGTTGAACACTAACGAAAGGTTTTAGTTACTAAAGCTTTTATGGATCTCATAACTATGCCATGTTTTTGCTGTATGTGTTCATTTATGTTGCTTTTCCATCTGATCCTTAATAGATACTGTGGTTGGAACACATGATGCCCCCATTCGTTGTGTGGAATACTGTCCAGAAGTTAATGTAATGGTGACGGGTAGCTGGGACAGATCAGTTCGGCTGTGGGACCCAAGGACGCCTTGCAATGCTGGCACCTTTACTCAGCCTGAAAAGGTAGATACTGTAACGACTTAGGAATTAGTAAAGCAATCTATGCTTATATGACACCACATGGTATTGTTGACTTGACTTTTTGTTTTTGTGTATTAAAAAGCAACTGTTTGAGAAGGACATAACTTAAAAAAACAAGCATATTTCATTGATGCACCAAGCAAATGCAATGACTAGTTTGGATTTTGGCCTGGATGTGATTTTGCGTTGTGATTAAGACTTTTGGAATTTCTTTTGTCCCATCTTGTCTTTCTTCTTTGCGATAGGTGTACACCCTCTCTGTGGCTGGCGATAGGCTGATTGTCGGCACAGCTGGAAGACGAGTACTGGTGTGGGATTTGAGAAACATGGGCTACGTGCAGCAAAGAAGAGAGTCCAGTCTCAAGTACCAGACCCGCTGCATTAGAGCCTTCCCCAACAAACAGGTACACAGACTGAGAAACTGTCAGAGTATTTATTCCAAACCGCATTCTGTCACAGATTCTTTTTAATTTAATGAATAGAACTTGGAGGGTAACTTCATCTTTCCTGTCTTGCCTCCAAGGGCTACGTCTTGAGTTCAATCGAAGGACGCGTAGCCGTGGAGTACCTGGACCCGAGCCAGGAGTTTCAGAAGAAGAAGTATGCCTTCAAATGCCACAGGCTGAAGGAGGAAGGAATCGAGTGTGTCTACCCCGTCAATGCAATCTCGTTTCACAGTATTCATAACACCTTTGCCACAGGTAAGTTAAAGATATTATTATTTTCCATTTAGTTTGTTTCTCTTGTCTTTTGGTAAGTCCCATACATTTTTCATTTGACCTTTCTAGCCTTGTGAGCCCACGGTTTCACGAGGGGTCCAATGTTATTAGAGATCCGTATCTCTGCAGTAACACAGCCTAAATCTTTTGAGGTTAACCTTGAGCCTCTCCTTCTTCCAGGTGGCTCGGACGGCTTCGTGAACATCTGGGACCCCTTCAACAAGAAGCGCCTGTGTCAGTTCCACAGGTACCCGACCAGCATCGCGTCGCTGGCCTTCAACAACGACGGCACCATGCTTGCAATCGCCTCCTCCTACATGCACGAGAAGGGTGACATCAACCACCCAGGGGATGCCATCTTCATCCGCCAAGTCACAGATGCTGAGACGAAGCCGAAGTGAGTCTTCCTCTCCCCGTCCCCCCCTCCCCCCCTGTGTACTTGGTATGACATTTCGATACTCACTGAATCCAAGTACGCAGCGGCCTTTCCAAGCAGCACGTCCGGCTGCAGCCTATGCTGATGCTCTATCGGTGTACGTCTACGTTTCAATATCCAACAGTTGAAAGATGCAAACTTGAAAATCCCCCCACCAGTTTGTGTGTCTGTGCTGTGGTGAACGTACACCCTGTTGACCAAACAGCTACTGCAGTGTACAGTAATTCTTTACAATAGCCCTGTAATCTACAACTTTTTGTGAGAATAAATCAATGAGTTTTTTTAAATATTGTTTTTTTTATCTGGGAAGCAATTTTGTTTGTTGACGGAGGTTTTAATGTTTTGTGAAGACACAGTGTTCATTGTTTTGTAATATCAGAAACAAAATGCTCCCACCTATATCACACAATGGTGATTTTGGATTAAAGCAATAAACTCATAAAACATATTTTTGCCAGATCTCTGTGTGTGTTTGAGTTGATCAAATCCGTTTTTGGTTTACAGGTGAACCTAAATCCACCTCAGACTGGTTCTCTTCTGCATGTGAAACTACCACATGTGCGTTTTGTCCAGTGTACCAAAAGTTCTTTGCTGCAATTTCTTTTCCTAATTTAAAAAAAAAAAAAAAACCTGTTCTTTTTTGTTAGTAGTTGTGTCTTTTTTATATACATCAAAGGTTTTGTTCACTCTACACTGCAGCTCTCTTTGGATCAGTCTTATAACACCCATTTTAGTTTGACAGTGTAAAATAATTATAATGAACCTTTACGTTTTGTCACATGAGCTACCTGTGAAAGAAAACCCCAGAAATGCTTGGAATGTGTCGGCCAGAAGAGGCTGTTCTCTCGATCGTGTGCTGAGAGAAAGCGATGATCCACTTGTATTGCCGGGGGCTCCACTTGGCCCCAGACAGTGACCTGTACTGATGGACGTCGGAGGTCTGCGGCCTAAACCAGATGCTGCTTTACTATTCTGGAAAATAGGGCGAAAACTACCAAACTGCCCCGGCTGCATCTGGCAGACTAAAGCTTTCACGGTGCAATGGGATTATATTTTAAACTCATTTATTGAGAAATGTACACAGAGATGCAGTCATGCATAAAGCCATTCAACAGATGATTATTATAGGAGATAAAGAGTGATGGCACCGTTTTTCCAGTGAGTTTATACTTTTTTTTTTTTTCGCTCTGAATTTATCATCTGCTGTTTTATAAATTGTTACACTGGTGACAGAGTTGGATGTGACACAGACCTTTTTTTTAAAAGCAGTATCCAGCATTATGTGAATGGGAACAGTAAACGCAGAGCAGTGCCCTGCAAAAGTCTAAGTGGTGTCTTTTCTCCTCAGTTCAGATTTTCAATTGCAACTAATGCAATTGCTGAAGCCCTTCAGCCAAAGCAGCAGAGAATATATAGATGTCAATTATTCTATTTAAGAGCTCCAATTTTTTCTAATGGCTCTATCTGCCTCCGCGGTATCCTGGAAATGATTAGTCTGGATTGGTTAAATGATGTAACTAATTCCCATGATTGTCGATAATGAGTCCATCTTTGACGTTAGATTATGACTGCAGCTTAATATGAAATGGCATTCATTTTGGGACACAATTCCGAGCCGTGAAGCAGGAGGAGAACGGCCCTTGGGTTTGTTGTTGGGGCCACAGCAAATTACCTTGTTTCCTGTCATCTTTGGCTTCCGTTAAATTGGAAAATTGAGTTCTGTGAGGGTGCATTAAAACCGTTAAGGCTTTCCTGTCTGAATTGGTCATCTTTTGTTTTTTTCTTTTAAATTGGAAAAAGGTAATTTACCAGCCAGGTTGTCAGGTGCATTGTAGCATTTTCTTCTTAATTTTCTTTTAGTTCGGTGACAGTAAATATTTATTTGTTTAATAACCCAAAGGATGTTTAAGGGCTGTAATGGAACAAATTTTATAAGATCAATTTTACATTTTCCTCCAAGCCAAAATCCACACATCTCTTCCATTTTTTTTTCTTCAGCAAAGCGCCAGTTAACCACATCTGTGGTTGTGTGGCCAGGCTCTGGTTTCAAACCGCTGAAGTGTTGCAGACAGTTTGGCTCTACATGAAACCGTTACATGACAATTAAAATGGGTGATTGTGCTCCAACAGGCTGTCACGTGCATTTAACCCAACCACAAAAGGCTCTTATGTTCACTCAAGAGGGCACAGATGACCTTCAACCAGACACCTTATCTCTGTCAGAGCCGCTTTCTAATATTGTATCAAGCTAATGATGCCATTGTGCAGGAAATGGGGAAATCACATGATGCATCACAAATTTGAGTGACACGGTGCAATAATGCAGACTCTTCCATAGTAATGAAGATCAAACGGTTGCCTGTTTTTGCACCATCCAGTCGAATTCACTCATTATATAACAGACTGTACAAATGTGTAACAGACTTACACATTTGAAATTGTTTTATTGCCATTGGGTTCTGAACTTCAGTGTTTCTTTTCTTTCTGACCTGGGCTTAGAACGAAGGCCTCGGTCTTGTCTTTTTTGCAGTGCATCCCGGCTGGGGAATAAAACTCCAGGTTTTCACCTCCCTCAGAGCCCCCCCCCCTCTCCGGCTCGCCTGAAGGGGGCTTTTAAAGAGCTTTGGTGGGCACGACAACATCTCCTCCAGAGCATTGTAGTTACATTAGAGCCTAATTAGACGGTAGAGCTCAAGGCCATGTAAAGCACTGGTGGGTTTCACACCCGTGGCCATCCGTCTCGTTACAGCATGTGGCTGCCTGGTGAAGGGGGCTCTCACCTGGGAGCCGGGCTGCTGTTAATCAAACATCTCCGGGCGCGACGGGAGGGTCACCCATTTTGGGCATGAGGTCGCTTTTTGGCTCCCCGGGCTTTGTGCTGCAGATTAATCATTCGGTAAAGTAAAGGTTTGGATTGGTGTTTTTGGAAGAAGAAATGACACCAGATATGAACATGAACCAGAAAGTAGCAAAGGAGACTCATTTAATTTAGCTAATTGTTTCTGTACATTCAACTTTAAGCCCAAATGTAGCAGTCAACACTCACTTGAATGGATGTTGTGGAAAATCTACTTTCACGCCGCCTGTCAAACTGATGAATGTATGTAAACAGAGGTGGAGGGCAGTCAGTGCACTGGGGTCAGGTTCAAAAATGCATGACCGGGGGCACCAGAGCTGCAGAGATTAAAGGTGAAAATAATCAGAAAAGTGAAGTTCAACCCGTGACTTTCGCTCCCTTTTTCTGCTCAGCCCCAAACAGGTGAGATATAGGGTGTTAACCATTGTTTGTTAATGTCCTCCAAGGGGGGGGGGGGGCACAAGTACTTAAACTAGACGGATCCACCTCCTTTAGAAAACCACCTGCCGGGCTCCCCGTGCGAACCGATGGCACGCTGACAGACCACGCAACGTACTCCACTCGAAAACTGAGCTTGTTTCTTTGTTTGGGTGATTTGCGGTCAGCCTCGGAGTGACAGTTTTCTTTCTACTGTCAAAAGGCGATACGGTGAGGGCAGACCCCGTGGAGGAGAGGGGGGGGGCTTTGTAAAACTTGTTATCGCCGCTTAAACTGGAATCCGATTGCAGGCCCTTTCAGGGCGGCCTCTTTGTACACTCCCCGTGTCCGTGGAACCCTCGGTGCCGTTTAATGAGTTCATGACCACGGGGCGACGGTTACAGTTTGTCCTTCCCTCAATTAGCATTCACGGTTAGCTTAGCAGAACTGATGCACCACCTCTTTGAGGCTCGAGTTACCCACGCGGCCTTGAGTGACTGCGGGCGCTATTTAACCGGCTCCCTTGTATCTATTTTGACGCGCTTCACACGACGTTGATGGAAAAATTGAACACCAATTCCAGCGCAACTAATATCAGCCAATTTAGTGCCGGCGACATACTGTTGCTCCTCGGGGAAAAAAAACAGAGGAGAGTGATCATCCTGTGCGTAACGTGTTCTGATGTAGACTACAGCTCCGAGCCATATACCTACAAGCATATTAGCACAAGGCTCTGACCTGCTACATAAAGTCCCGTGGGTCTTAAGTGACGCCACTGCGGAACCAAAGCAGCTCGGAGCCGTCGCTTGATATTACGCAGTTGATTTGGGAATCCGTGGATCAGCAGGTTGAGTATTGTTAAGAGAGCCATAGCAAATATGGAGGCCGCAGATTGTGTTCATTTATTTTAATTGCCAAACGTCCCTGTGCTACGTTGGCAACGGGAATAAAACAATCATTTCAAACCTTAAAGCCTATCGCACGTTAAAGGAGGATGCCAAAAGGAGCTTCAGTTAAAGCGAAGTTAAACGCTTAATATTTTGGCATTGCAGAGCAAAAAGGAAAGCTTTCAGCATGTTGTTAAAGTTTCCTGATCAGTGGTGCATCATCCCGATGCAGTTAAATGGCAGCAATTCTATGGAAACTACCACCCTTCATGTACAGTATAACCCTTTGAGACCGCATGCTGTGATTCAGGTGTGAAATTGCACAATTCCCAGGTTATAGCCTTCTCCAACAACGTAGATATAGAGTTCAATGAGAACAAAGAAAGGGAGAGTTCCACATTAGTAGTAGTTGATGTATACTTAGCCTGCTATTGATGCGGCCGTGTTGGTTTAAACTCCAACTTAAACAGAGAATGTTATTGAAATTTAAAATACATTTGTCATTTCCTAAGTGCATTCTGTCCGAGTAACTGCAGTGCATTACAGAGTCCAATCAATGCCGCACAGAGAGAGGTGCTTTCATAAACAGCTTTTGATTATTGGACATTATTAACTTTTTGTTCCTGAATTCAGTGAAGTGAAAACGCGGCGCTGTCCCATCGACTCAAATGCAGATTAAGTAAACTAATGTGAATGCAGGGATCGATGCATTCATCGAGTGATGTTTCTCCGCGTTGTTAACGGCAATGCACTGAGAAGTCTGGCCCTAATTCATCATCATCCGCACATTATATTATTATTGATGGCCGTTGCCTTGGGCTGGGCCATTTGTTTTTCAGATTTGTGAAAAGGCAGCAGAATGCTGGATGGTTCATTCTGCAGCGCTGCACATGCTCTCTCTCCCTCTCTCTTATTCATCCTATTGATCATCATACCTCCCAATAATCTGCCCGCCTGACACATTTGACAACATTATGTGGAACAGGTCAGAGGACAACGCTAACGACACTGAATGATGGATGTCGTTATCCGCCACATTAACCTTGCTGATAGTTGTATCAGACGGCATGTTTGCACGCACGCACGCGCGCACACACACACACGCGTTATGGTTATGCCATACAAATAAAGAGCCTTCATTCAGGTGGTCCAGAGGCATGAGCTTGAAAAAAGAAAAGAAAATAAAGCACCAAACATTTGCAGATTATATATAATATCAGGGTTGTCAAAAGATGTTATAATTAAGGTTATATAGCATTTAAATTGTCACGTTTCATGTGAGGCCAGTCTTAACTGCACAAGGAGATTTTCACTGAGAAACATTATTTAACCTAAACTAAAACTACATTGTTTGGGGTATTAAAAAGAAATTCATTTCGGCACCATAAAAAAGACCTCATGAACCTCATCTCTGAAATCCATCCAAAGAAAGACAAAAGATGAGCACATATTTTGCACGTCTGAATTTCTCTGCAAAAAATTCTTAGAAAAGCAGGTAAGAAAATGACATTGCGAAAAGAAATCCCATCCTGCGCGAGCACCGTGAGTGAAGTCACACGAGAGGTCTGTAACACCCGGCGTGAAGTGAGCCGCATGGCCGCCAAAGCGGCGCTCTGCTGCTCTCCACTCCATCCGTCCCCGCCTGGCTAATGTATCCCTCTCAATAGCCGGGGGGACAAGGGGAGAAAAGACTGTGAAGCACAAAAAGCTCCACCGGCCGCCACGTTCGCCACAGTAATTGGCAAGGAAGCATCATTTCATCATTTCATTCACTCCTGTGTGTCTTTTGTTGCCTTGCAGGTTGTGATGCTTTTGAGGGTTGTTTAAAGATTTCTACCGCCGCTGCCTGTTGCTACCCATTTATTTATTCCCCTGTGAATGTGCGACTAAAACATGCTTTCATTTTTTTTTGGGGGGGGGGGGGGGGCGTTAAAGTGTATTAATAACTCTGCATTCAATAGTCTTGATGATACTTCTGATGTTCTGCAAGAGAAGAAGATTTAATCTCCTCTGAACCCTGCAGCTTTCAGTTACAGGTTTGTTGTGGCCGTTGTCTCCTTTCATCTCCACATTGTAGAAGTAGTATGAAAGCCTGCAAAATGTAGCTGGTAGTTATGTTTTCACCACAATTACGCTTTTAAAAAAAGCTTCTTTTTTTCTTCATAAGCGCTCTTAACCCTCTGATTCACCAGCTTTATAAGAATACATGGTGCTAACAAAAGGTCTGTCTGCTTATTTGTATTTTCACAGATTCTCAGCAGTTTATACAGCCGTAGACATTGTAAATTTGTCCATTTGCTTCATGACCAATTACCTGCAGTAATAATTGAAATAATTGGAAATTGTTGTCATGTTAGTAGTGTCACTGTGAGCATGTCTGTCTAGATACCAGGGCTGACTGGATAGAAGAGAAGCAAGGTGATGCTGGATATTAATGCACTCAAGGCTGCAGTGAATTTGACTGTTCGCATTGTGTTTGTGTAAGGGCACAACCAGAGCCAAGAGTCACTGCTAACAGTTCCCCCACTTACAGTAAACACAGCTCAGACCCTTGGTACAACACAATCTCATTTCTAGGGCCCTTTACAGATGAAACGGGCTTCCATCTCAGACAATATTACAGTTAAAAAGAGTGCGTTGACCTCCGTCTGATCAGAACCTTTGAGCCAGTCACGCTGAAGAAGCAAAATTGCACAAGATGGGGGCTCACATAATACGGTCAAACCGTTTTTAAACAGACTGCATCAGCATTCAAAGTGTTTCGAAGCATTTTTAGAGAGGGGAATAAACAGTTATGTCCTTGAGTACTGAACCCGTATGAATGCCGCACTGTGGTTGAGGCAGCGGCGGCTCATTCTTTCGCATATGTCACTTGAGAGGGATCTGTCCTTTATGTCCCGGCTGCTCTACAGTTGCATGTCCTGTACAAAGGGGAGGTCAAACCAGTCCCCTGACCCGGCAGCCCTGTGGACCGTGCAGAACGGCGAGAGGTCAAAGTGGGTCTTGTTGCAGGGTCAAGACTTGTACTTCATCACTCTCCACGTCTTTCTGTACGTCAAAACATGTAACCTAGAGATCCTCTGGATAATACATGAAGCACATGTTTACTGCAAACCAAAACATATTTACAACTGATTGTGTTGTGCAATAGATTCATCCTAAACTCCATTTGCGGGAGCACTTTTAACAGAACCCTCATTGATTTGGTTTCCAGAGGAATTGCAGCCCGGGATCACTTTACCTTGTTACCTTGTCGCACAATGTTCTGGTCTGATCTCCATGTCCATTTCCGCTCCGCTTCCCCTCCTTCTCGCCGGCGCGCTGCCCGACAAGAGTTCTCTTTGTCCCCGTGGTCAGTCATCCGTTCCTAATATCCAGACTTTTACCGCACGGGAGACGAGCTGCATGCTTTCAGAGAGCAGAGCCGGCAGTTGATGGCTGCACTCCATCTTCCAAAGGATGCTTTGAAGAAACCTCCGGGCTCAGTGACTATGAATAACAAGCATTAAATCATCAGATTTTTTTTTATTTCACACACGTGTACAAATACAATTTATACACCATAAAAATCACTTGTAGATGCCACATCAACCGTGCTTTAATGAATCAACTCAAGGGTATGGTTGTAACTGTAAAAGTTGGCTTGAAAGTGCTTTAAGTAAAAAAATTGAAAAAAAGAATTACATATTGTAATGTCTCACAACGCCTCTTATGCCAGATTTTATAAAATTGTCAATATTGTAAATAAGTGTAGTGGTGAAGACAGTAGCTGAGGACCATCATTAGAAATCAGATTTTGCAAATATGTTTGCAGGCAATAAATTCATCGGAACATTCAAGCAATATCCGAAAACAGCCGGTGTAGAAAACGTGCGCTTACAAACGCAACGGTGCCGTTTGTCCAGTCTCTCCCTCAGGTAAAAACAGTAAACAGACATTTGAAAAACGCGAGGGGCTTGAGTACAGTGTAATGATGTTTCAGGTAGAAAGATGCCATGCAGAGAGATACCATCAACACAAGAGAGCTCCTTCTATTGCATTAGCTAAAGGCACCGATATCTCCATGTAAATAACTTCGTTTCGGCCGCTGCCAGGCAAAGAAAATACAATTGCTAGCTGTTAGCGCGGCCCCGCGCGCCTGGTAGCTGAGGGAAAGTGGCTCCGACAGTCAATGGCAGCGGGGAGGCTGCGCCTGTGCGCTCTTTAATTTGTTATCGTCTCCCTGTGCGACGGAGCATATTAATAAAGCACCTCAGAGCTGCACTTTCTAAACAGACCGTAAATCACTGCACATTCAACCCACGCAGGCGGGTAATCGTACAGGTGGAGGCCACCGGCTTTTAACCGCCACAATTAACACGTGAAACACTTCACTCGGGAAGCGATGTGACACAATCAGCTGGCGTAATGATTAGTTAATGGCTGGTGTAAAGTGTGGGCCGGCCCTAGAAATTCAAAACAAGAGAAAGTTAATCAGCCTAATTGAAACCATTTGGTATTAACATAATATTACCACTGCAGAATCGGGGATCTTTCAATAAATGCTCACTGAAAACGTATGTTTGAGCTAAATTAGTTTCCTTTTTTTTTTTGCATCTGAATAATTGTAATTAAGAATGCTTCCTCTCCCCGCAGAGCCACCTCGGTTGCCATTTCGTTGACTGACACACACACACACACGCTGTCAGTTGCTGAGGAAGATGCTGTGAATGGTGTTTGCTGGGATTTTGGCATCTTCTTCCTCCCCGCTGATTCTGAAGATCACAGCGGTGTTGGAGGGGATGGTGATGGAGGCGTTCAGGGATTTACCCAGCCAGCTCTGAGATCCACGCTTGTACATTTTGACGGTCACCTGCAGAGTAGCACAGAGATCGGGTCACCATTGAGATCGTAAAGCGAACCGTCATACAGAAGCAGGGGTGCTGTTCTTGGATACAGAACAAGGCTCTTGGAGGCGACCCCCGGGACCTCGGCCTGGAGCAAAGCAGGCGCTCACGACTTTCACATTTGACCTCTACGTGGACGAGCTGTTGCTTTGTCTGCGGGTTTGTCGGCTGAAGATCGACATAAACACTGATCATGAGGTCTGAGAGCGGATCAAATTAAAACGTCCGTCAATCTCTAGTTTGAACTAATATTGATTTGAGGTAAATATGTTCTTCTTAGACAAACTTTATCGATTATTATTTATTTGAGGGTCCGTTACAGTTTTAAACGTGTGTCTAGTTTTCTACTAAATATATTAGAGAGTAAAACTAATACCTTCTCCCTTTTATTGGAAGATAACGCTTTAACAAAGATCCTCCTTAGGAACCAATTAGTCATCCACTGAAATAGAGTTAAAAAAAAGGAATATTTTTCACAACCCTGCAGGATTTTTGTGAAAGGATTTTGGAACGACTTTCTGAAACAGAATAAATATTAAATTAACCTCGTTCTCACTCTGAGCTTTTTTTAATTCCCCTCCATATCTCAAATGGAGACACCTCTCTTGATTTTTCTGTAGGTTGTAGGCCATAATACGCTTTAACATTACACCAATACCGCCTGCTATGTTTGAGCCTGACAATAGAAGCCTTAACTAGATTTAGACATGCAGGTAATTGAACCACATCCATTTCAAAAAGAATGCCTCGCTGCATCTCTTGTTTGGCTGCATTTACAGGGCATAACAGAATAGTACGGCGCCTTTTCACAGTTCCATTTTCTTTCACTTTAGCATTAGGCAATTTTTCAATTATTTTTTTTCCATGTTCTTTCATCCGCGGCTTTCCATAATGTCTGGGCCTTTTAGTTAATGGTAGCGACAGTCAGAGCCCAGTATATCGGCCCTTGTCCATTTTGCAGGTCATTGTGGGAGCCCAATAGGCCTTTTATTACACCGACATCAAAAGGCAGATAAGCATTAGAGGTGGGGAGAATACCCTGCACTAGATATGTTCCCTCTTTCCTTTGTCTGCTATTGAAAGTGATCATTTTAATAGTGAAGAGGTTGGTGAGCTTTGGGGCTGATGGGAAGTGCGACACCCCTGACGGCCTACGAATATGAGCGAAGTCGATAACACAACACGAGCACACAGCACACCCTCAACACCTGCGCACTCTCGCTGCTAACCTAATTATCTGCAACAAAGGCCGGTGCCATTTCAGACACATCTTTCCACCATTTACTTACTTATTACTGCGCATTAAAACAGGGAGAAAACGAGGAAACCCCCCGGAACAATTGTGTCTTATATTGCAGCCACGGAGCCATGGCCGAATGCCACATGGCTTGTGTTACAATAGCATCAGACACTTCAGAATGAGTGTCTTTTAATTTAGAATGCATGAAAAAAATGTGGTCATGACAGCTGGTGGCAGGGAGGCACATAAACCAACACAAAGACACCAAAAAGGGATTATTCTATCAAATCACACACACAAACCTAATAGCAGTAATCTGCAATTAACTCATTTGATGGTAAGTAAAGTTGAGTGCGTCCGTCTTTGTGGCACAGACACAATACTGTTTTTGCATCACATTAAAAAAAAACGACAGGCAGAAGAAAAAATATTCACGTATAGCCGGAGCAGCAGGAGAGGCTATGAAGCACACATGCTGCCTACGTGGGAAAGCATCATAAAGCATTTACCTCCATGATTAAAGAATTAAAGAAAAATGTGTGAACTCTGCATCTATATCCTGATCTGCTTTGGACAGCATCGAATTCCTGTCGGAGGATGTCATGTTTTTGTACAAGGATTCATTGTGGATGAATTGAATTCTATTTTTTGTAGCATTGACTGAAGGACTGAATGCCATCAAATTGCTAAATCATTTAGAGTTGATATGTGCATATGGAATCTTATTGTAATTAGTTACTAACTACACATGTAGTTAGTTTGCACAGATGTGTAAATAACTCAAGCTGCTTACTGTAATCTGGAAAGTTATTATTAGAAAATGATAGTATATTTGAATTAAATATCAGATTGAACATCAAATAATAAATATCAGATCATTAGTATTATTAATATTATTGGGAGTTTACCACGGAACCTGCAGTTTGGGGCTAAAATGATGTATTACATACCAACATATTCACTGTGAACCACACAGTTAAACCCAGATGTTTTAACCAAAACATAAATGATTGTATCCTTTGAAATCAAGGGAACCTGAAGTGATGTGATTAACTGCTGGACTCGGCCGTGTTGCGACACACACAGGAAGGAAGCGTGCAGCCGTCTTTGGCAGAAGCTCAAATTCTGTGTGGTCGAGGTCGCCCGGCAGCTGTTGTTGAGCAGAGCACGCGTGTGTGTGTGTGTGTGTCAGGTACAGTAACTGTCACTGCGCGTTCTCAGTCTCAGTCACTTGAGCCAAGTGTCTCAGGGTAAAGACAACACTGTATCTAAATGGCATCAGAATAAAGTGTAAAAGGAGTAGCTTACATTAAAAAATATATATATATATATATTTGTTTTGTGCAAACTGCATGCTAACGGCAGCAGCCACATCTGCACATCGATCACCCAGACAAAGAAAAATCAATAGTTGGGGAAAATAATGTCTCCCTTTTGACAGTGAAATGTCCACAAGTGTACCAGAATCATTACCATTACAAGCACAGACAGGCCTGAATGTGTGTGTAACACCTAATGGGGAAGGCAGGTCCCTTGGGGCGAAGGTTGGGTGTCACACAAAGGGCTAAGAGCTCACCTAACGGAGTCTACCCCCGATCCGCCTCTCACTTTCGGTGTGTGTCGGGGGCGGGGGGGTGAATGAGATCACTCCTCACATTTCAGCCAGACAAACTCCGTCTTCTTATTTACCGTCTGCTAACAGTCGTGAATCCTGCCTCTGGTTCACCGTTCACCTTTTGCCCTCTTCAACTCCAGAGCACAGCTCCTTCTGACGTCTCCTCACCTGCCGGCTCACACGGGTCTCGCCGGTTCGCCCGTCGTCTCCCTGTAGGGACGTCTTTGCGCTGTGACTTCGCACATCTTAATTATTTAATTATAAAAGCAATTAATTTGCGATCAGAGGTCTGACGAACCCCAATAACGCGGAGAACCGCAGACATTGGGTATCGGGACGTGTCAACACCTGTGTGTGTATTGCCATTCATAAAGTTCAGATTCCCCCTGCTGATAAAGGCCAAAGAACCCCAGCGGGGTATCAGTCAGCGGGGGGTGGAGGGGCGTCACCTGGAGCAATGGGTGCAGTGTTTCAGCTGAACTCTGAGCGAGCGTAACGCCACACCGGCTTCAGACGGCGCGCTCTTTGTTTCCGGGCCGTGTCTCACCAGACACAGACGGGGAGGAACACCGGGTAACACACCTGTGTGACGACGCGCCAAATGGGATGGGAGCTGCCGAGAGGGGTGGCGGTTTTGGGACGCATTTAAACAGGCAATTAGGTAAACACTAGTGTGACCTAAATTAACAACGTGCTGAGAGAGTGAAGATGGGTGTCAAAGAGGCTGATGTATCAATCGCTCTGGATGCTTTCTTTTTTTCATTTTTTATTAACTGAAAGTAAATCAATCGCGATCTTCAAAGTGCTGGTTTTAAATGAACCATGTGATCAAAAGCAGCAGCTCCAGATGTGGAGCGAAAAGCAGGAAATCCCTGCGTTTGTGGGTCTGCAACCAGTGAGTTCTTAACAAAAAAAACAACCTCATGGGTTCATTCATTTTATTCATCAAAAATGCACTTTAGCACGAAAAAGGAGGAATTAATTAGTATGAGTCCAATAACTTATTGTCCAACAAATCACCTGAACAAAATCCTCAAACGTCAAAATGGAGCTCCAGGTGTGTCCCATTTATCAAGACGCCGGAACTGTGTGACATGACCGACCACGTCAACAAATACATTTGTCTAAACCGATGAACGAGAAACATTGCTGGTTAAGTACTGAATAGCTACTTCTGCTTCCAACCAACCTGCCTCAGCTAACAGGAAGCCATTAGGCTGTCGGCAACAACCATTTACATCCATTCACCCGGCTCGGACTTTATTTCCATCCACATAAGTGCATTTTCTGCGGGAGGTTAAAATATGAATCCCCCTCCTTTTTTTCCCTCAATGGGTCTGGTTGTCTGGCCGACTTGAGGGGGGGCACAATCTATGACTGATTTAATTTGCTCTTTACGAACATCTCTAACAGCATTACCCCCCAGAGCATACAGTGACTGCCCCCATCTGACTCCATTAACTCCCAAATCGGGTTTAAAGACCATATTGATGCCGTCCGTTATTAAGGGTGATTATCAAAACAACAGACAATGGGCCAAAGTGTCTGTTAACTAGCTTATCCATAATTTCACGTAACTGTAACAGATGGCAAGGCTGTCAATTACATGCTGTATCTGCTGCGCGCACAGCGGCCACACACTGTCTGGATATGCAGCGTATTAGCCTTCACATTAAAAGAACGATAGTCTGCTGTCAGAGGAAATGAACTAGGCGGGCAAAATAAACTACCGTGTTAAATGTCGAACATGCGTCATTATGAGAAAACAGCGAGAACTTTTACCATTACCAAAAGACGTATTTTTTTTTTTTTTCCAGATATCACCGGGGGGAGGGGTTCTATTTAATAATGATAAAATAAAATAAAAAAAGTCAGAGATAAAATTTTTGCCAGTCCACTTCACCACCTTTATTCTCCTCAATTAACGAGAATGGCTTTTGAAGCTGTAATTAAGTGTCTCTGCTCCACTCGGCCTCTTCATTATTCATGACTCCCCATTGATCATATCTTACAAGCTACACTGTGGGGACCGCTGTAATATCCTGAATCCCCAAAACAAATAGCTGAGCTGCCCGAGTTAAAATGAACATCTTGGCCAGTGACCAAAGAAAAGTCTCCATTAGATACTAAATCTAGCTTTTGATGCTAAATTGGATGATGGTCAGCGAATCATTAATAGGAAAAATCTTGTATGCAGCTTTTGGTCTTATTAAATATATCAGAGCAAAGGTCTGGGTAATAATGAAATAGGATCCTTTATTGAACTCACGTGGAGCCATATTAGTAGGCTATGATCATATCACTGTTGCAACTAACGATTATTTCATTACCAGTTAATCCGCCCGTTATTTTCTTAATTAATCATTTTGTCAATAGAATAGTGTAGAAATGCTGAAATCAGTTTCCCGGAGCCCAAAGTCATCTTACCGCTTGTTTTATCCAACTACTAGTGAAAAACTCTATTGTCATATTACTGTATTAGTACAGTGCAATAATATCAAATAGTATATTTTACAATTTTATATTATTGTACTGTACACCACGATGAAATAAACCTTACAAACATACAAGATATATGGGTGTTACACATTTACCGGTGTCTGGCAAAACCGCAGCTCATTTCACATTCAAAGCATATTAATGGCTTGGGCCTTTATTTTAAACATGTATTCAAATTTCCTGAAATGCAATCTCCACGTGTGTTAAGTAGGAATGTGTAAAACATGAACTCTACTGGTTGATGTTTAACTAAATTAACAAAAGAGCGCTTGAAGAGCCCTCAAACACGCCTGGTATTACGTGCTGGGGTGGGAATTTGGAGGAAACACATCGAGTCATCTTCAATTTGACAGATGCAGAATCTCTCCACGGGACTCTTCACTGTGGCTTAGTGCTTGAGTGAAAAAATAGATTTTTACCAAGTTTAATCACACGCTATTACAAGGCAGCTTTTATCATTGCCTTCCACTGCGTAAGTGCTGGTGTCTTCACTAGTTCATTACGGACACTTGTGATGCTGCAGCACCCTTCTCATGTGTAATTGCATGGTTAGCTTTCCTCTGTAGCTTCACACACACACACACACACACACACACTCCGCAAATTATTTCCAATTCCAGTTTTCCGAAGAGAGCAATGCTGCAATCACAGAAAACTGAACATCCCGCTTATCTCCCCACAATTTTCTTTTATTTCTTTAGTACAGAAAATCATTCTTTCACCAGTCGGGTTCTTGATGAACCCGATGAACGCTGAACTCTAAGGGACTGGAAATCTGATTTAAGTGCACTTACTGCGAGAAACAACTTAAATATCTTTGGTAACGGAAAATACACATTTCTGTGTTGTTTTTGTGGTCAGCAGCATTCACTCACAAGTACACAGGCTTTTAAAGTAATTACAGGCACTGCCACGTTCGTACAGTCATTTGTTAAGAAAATCACATTTTATAGAGCATATAAAAGGATTCTGACATACAGGTGAATGGCATGTTTTATAAATATAAATAGGGGCTACCTATATTTTCTGTCAAGGGGGAAATAATCCCCCCCCTCTACATAAAAAGAAAGCAAAAAGCTGCAGCGGCTGCCAACATTATCTATTTAGACAGCAGAATTTGCAGGGCTTTGTAAACGTCCGGCTCCTGGCCCTTTGTGCGCCTCCATTCATTACCACCACAAAGCAGTTGATGTCTCCCCTCTCTGCCTTTTCTGTGCCGAGCACCGGGGGGGGCGCTTGCCCGGCAGACCCCCTCGTTACAGGCCCGTGGCGCGTGCTGCCCGGGAGACGGCCGCGCGGAGGGGAATGCCGGAAAAATGAACAAGCCACATCTGTGCGGCATTTGTAAGGCAGTCGGAAAGACGAGCGCGAGTATCCACGGCGACCCGGCAGTCGGATCATTGGTCAGCCGAGATGTCGGCCTGTGAATCTGTCAGCCTGTATCGCCCGGTGGCTTCTCTCCTATCAATCAGCTGACGTGGTTGCGGTAGTCGAGTTACGCTCGTAGGAACTCAATTGTTGTTTTCTCAGCTCTGCAATTACTGGACACTCCATACGCGGGGGCCGAGAGGAAGGAGGATTAGTTTACTTATTTATTTTCAACGCGGGACTCCCGTTTATCCTCCTCCTCGAGGAACTGGATTATATGAATTGGTAGAAGGAAGTCGCAATTTCAGAAGAGGAGATGACATGAAGATGACCAACATAAGTAGTCTGCACTTTAAACTATGACATGAATAGATCTTTAGCCCTTTCTCCCTCTCTCTCTCTCTCCCCCAAACACACACACCCAACGTAATTACCCCTCAATCCATACAAATTGAATGAAGCCAGACCCGTGGTCTAAGAATATAGACCATAATTAATAAATTACAGCCACTCTACTCAATCATTCTCCACTTTGGGGACATGTAGACGTCCCGCTCTCCTCAGAGTAATCGACGGAGGCCACAGGAAAAACACACCTACTGCCTCCACGGTGGCTTGGTGGCTGCATCTGGTGCCGCTTCTCGCGACCAAACAGATGCCCGAGTGAAACCGTGGCTCATATCGCAGATCTTCTATCCTGCGTGTTTACAAGTAACAAATCAAAAGCATGCATTATTTCTGGGCTCTGAAAATACGCCTGGGGGAGCTATCAAGTTCCTTTGCCACCCCCCCCCCCCCCCCCCACGAGCTTCCCCTCGCAGCTGCTGCACACGAGAGAAGATACGAGGGAGGGGGGGGGGTTCAAAAGAGTGGGTGAGACAGTCATCAAAGCCTCAAAGAGCAAAGGTTATGTTTCGTACAAAATCTAGGGTGAAAATCTAACTTTCTTTGTGGATATCGCAGCTCAATGCCTGGAATCTTAAAAAGGGAAACAAACATATGCACCTGTCTACTGTAATTGAACATGTCAGTTATGGTGATGGGATATTCACCATATAGTCTCGTTTCTGGATGATGTATGGGGCACGGCTACGCTTCCATTTACAAATATATCTTTGAAAATAATATATTTTGTTGTCGCCGCGTGTGTCCCCTTGGGCGAGAAAAGGGCCCACTGGAGACTGTCTAATGATTGTTGGGTCATGTATCAAATACACAGCAGCTGGAGGCGAGACTACATACAGTCTGGATGTTTGGGGGGGTGAACTAAAGCCTGAGTGGAGTGTGAAAGGAAAACCACGAGTGTTTTGGTGCTCAGGGTGGGTGAGGAATCCGTAATGGATGCTGACCAGGAGCCGTACCCACCGGACCTTAAGAGACCTCTGACCTTTGTCTTCATTCAGAGAATTTCTCTAACAAGTGGTATTGAAGCACCATCGCACAACAACGTAAAATTGAATGGTTGTGAGTGATTTCAAGTATAAAAAAAAAAGTGAGTAAATATCAAGCTTACATTCAATGCAACATTGACCACTAAGATGCCATTTCATGCCACTGGGAGGGCCAACGTGTAACCAATTAGCCAAATCATTGCCTTCCAATAGCATAAACAATAATTATCAACCAATCAGATCAGAGAATGTGAGTACGCTCAAATGATGCTAATTCGCATTCAATTGCCTTGCAGGCCGGCAGAGTCACTTACCGCAATAAAAAGACTGAAGAGTTAAGGCAGTAATTAACTCTAGGGGTGTTAATTGGAAATGAACTGCCAGCGGGTACGAGTGTGAAACCTCTTCTTTTAGATTTTATTTTTCTGCGCTCAGTCTTATTACTTTACTTCTAATATATAAACACGCAATTTTGAATTTCGAATCGAGTGTTGATACAGAAGTAGTTTGACCTTTATTTTAGAACCCTTTTACAGTTTTCATATAATTGTCGCTGTGATGTTCTTTAACCTCCAGCCCAAATCAAACCATCACAAAGTACTACTGCCACCTGCTGGTCTTCACATTCACGCAGGCCTTCTCGCTTTGCATTTGTATTTGGAGCCGTTGACCCGGCATTCGAGCGGGGCGTTCAAACACCCCGTACTTCTGGTTGATCACGGTGGACTGACCTGAGGGGTGTGACCCAGCAGGGCCCACAGCGAGTCAGCCGACAGGGCCCCGACTCTGGAGAACTCCAGTGTTTCCGTCTCCTGTCGGTCGAGAGCGATGTACTGGCAGCCCTGGAAGTCTCCCTTCAGCTGCTCGCCGCAGTGCAGACTCACCCGATCCCACGTGCCCACCCTCCTCAGGACCCCCCGCACGGACTCCATCTGCGAGTACGACAGACGACCTGTCAGGACAGAAGAGCAAAGGAAACATTGAGCAGAACGGCGACCGGGTTGCATTCCTGTAAGGCGTTTTTCAAAATGTAAAAATCCCGTTTGGTCGGTTTAAACATTGGCAAAGTCATTTAAATTATAATGCCATCTTAAGTACTTTTAGAGCGTTCATTTTACTGGTTTGAAAGAGAAGATGGGAAATGAGGGATGACGCCCAACAAAAGGTCAGACTCAGGAGAGAACAAGGCAGACCACTGAACTAGAATCAATAGAAACAACCTGGATGATTAAACGTTTTAAAAAAAGGAGGGATTACCAACTAAAACATCTTGAACCTTTATTACTCACGCCATTGTAATTTGATCTTATTTTCAAACAAGTGATTTGGAGACTGCACTTCCTTTTCGTCGAGCATCAATTGAATATACTCCCAAGTGTTAATGTTTTATGCAACCGCTCACCGGAGAGCCAGGATGGAGTCAGTGCATCGGATATCCAGGCCATGTAGCCCTCCCTGAAAGATCGGAGGAAGTCGTCCGTCTGGCCGTGAGAGATCAGCTCCCTCCTCTTCCTCAGCTCCTCGTCTAGCTGGCAGTCTGGAGAGAGGAAGATCACCCTGGGGAAGAAGAGGCTTTGCCGCACAGACACTCCACTCCTCTTCAAATGGCCGCGCAGGTTAGCGGTCTTGGTCTAGAGGGGAAAAAAATAATAAGTAATATGATGTTAGTTTTCGGATTTTATCATTTCGTCTTTACGAATTAAGGAAACAATGAACATGGATACTTTTTGTAACAAATCAAAATGTGTTAGTGCTGTTTAGGGCTCTTTTGACAGCAGCCATTTGAACAAGTCATTGCGGGGAGAACGCAGATGTAACTCATAACACAAATGATGTCCCTGGTTTTGTGCGCACTCAAAGACTGACACATCACATTGAATGGGATCATCATTTAATTTAACAGTTGCACCCCTGCAATGTTTCCCCTGCTATAGCGTGTCAAAATGCACAGTGTTTAAGGGGCTTCTAGATCTTCAAATAAATAGATTCAACTAACATGGATAATTAATCATTGGCAAATCAATTAATCTGATTACCAGTTCAACATTGGGAGTTTATTTTATTAAATGCTTTTCAGTTTGGGGAAAAAAAAAAGACCCACTGAAAGACATCATACAGACGGAGAATCTGTGTCTGCTTTGTATGGAATAATTAAGTTAATATGCTCGAGCGGAACTATTTGAACAATGCGGTGTGTGTGTGTGTGTGTGTGTGTTTGCCATCAGTCCAAACGGAGCGTCTATAGAGATGGAAATGAACGACTCCTGACAGACCCACGCACATAAGGTGACAGCTGTGTTTAGGCACCTGCTCGCTTTCGCTCCCCTTTCTGACCATAATTATGGTCTTTCAAATGAAGAGCGGCCACTCGGAAAGTTTGGGAAGCCCCATTGTGGTGTTTCAAATTTCCATATAAATTATAATTATGGTGACTCAGAATCTCTTCACCCAGCTGAAGTTTGGGTTGAAAACAATGTCCTGGACAACTGATTGCACCTTGGACACAAGAGGGCCAGACCGTTTGACATTCAGGCTTTCAATATGTTATTTCAGTATTTTTTCTTTTTTTTTTACCATGATAGCTTTGAGGGGATCTTCAATCTGCTCAATGCAAGTATTGGTAAGATTTTGCTCCTCCTCCTTCACCTGCACGTGCCAGTTGTGGGTGCGAGCAGACACTGTGCCTCTCCAGGGTTTTACATCCACGCAGAAGATCCCCTGGCCTTTTGGTAAAGAGAAGAAAACCCGTGGGAAGAGTTACTGAGACACAATACGAGTAGAATACAATAGAAGCTCTTGTTATTTCTGTGGCCAAAACCTTTAGGAAAAATGGGTAAAATCCTCCATCAATGTCCATTTAATATCACGATAGCACTTTGTATTATGATATAAAACATTTTATATAAATTAATTTGCTTAACTACTTCTGGATATATAAATAATTGGATTACGAAACTTTAATGTGAATATGAAGATGTTTTGACACGTCACAAAGGGTAACAAAACTATACGGACGACTGGATTCCATTTGGTGCCTTTAGTTTAATCGTGTTGGTGCTCATTCCGTCACGGCTTACAGGAACACTTTAATAAAGCCTTTTCTCCGCTACAATTGTGACTTGACACGGCCGGGTAAACACAGGAGTAAATTATCAAGTTAATAACGGCTCTACTCAGTGTGTCACTGCCATTCCAGTAACTCTGCAATTTACTGCACACATATTTCATGAAATGCCGTTTTATTGTGGATACCAACCCGTGAGGATAACCATGTCGATCTCGTTTTTGGCGGCCTGAAACTGGTCGCGGATACGCAGATTGCTGTAGACGTCTTCCTTTCTAATCCCGGTGAGTTTCCTACGAGTAAAGTACATACGGAAAAGACAAGAATATAAAAAGACAATAAGAGGTATTTTGTGCAAAAAGAACACTCCTGAACCTGCGTTAATAGATTTGGCCCCTGAAGAGCCGTGGAATAAACTACGTAAATATTCACTTTTTATAGAGTTACCACAGAAAATGTGTTGTGCAGGTCCAACAGACACGAAGCAACATCAGCATTCAGTCGGAGTTGTGTTTCGATCCGTTACACTGATGCTAGTGCAGTATTCCCCTTCCTTTTAGCTCGGTTTTAGTCTCCACCCAGTCCTCTAGCTGCGTTAGCTGCTAAATGCTGCACTGAGTTATCCAGCAAGTTGCTGACATTGTCTGCCTGCCGTCGGGCCTTCCAGTGTACGGAGGTCTTCTTTCAGGGAAAACCCGAGCGGAGCAGTGAGAGGGGTCTGTAAAACCCAAACGATGAGCTGACAGGTGCCGTGCAGCCTGGTGGGAAGTACACAGCGAGATGTACAGATGGACGTATCAATCCAACTTTACACAGGCGCACTGCTCACCTGACATGTTGTACAAAGTCAGGTAGCGTTGGGGTCGCGTGTGGGCTTTGGCTTGGACCACCTTCTGGGGCTTTGGAGCTGAGGTGGAACTGTGTAAACAGACTTCCAAGCCGAGGCATCTTGAATTTATCTGGGAGGAAAAAAACAATATGTAACAAAATGGTGTCACGTGGTGTTTAGACATTACTCAACATGTTGCTCCAGGCAAATCAAACTTGTGTCTACTGAAAACAAACTCTTATTCTTATTCTAAAGCACGCCGACTGCTACGTTCGGGCTTTAAAGCGTTGATGACGTCACTTGAATTACAGGCGCCTGTAGGAAAGAAGAAAAAATGAAAAAAGAAGATCTCTGAAACACAAACAATACGTACTGCTGGAGTCTTTTGCTGCTTAAAGAGCCGTTTGAGGAGGGAGACGAGGACATTCAGCTGGACATTTCCGCAGCGTTAAAGTCTCCGCGTGTCTTTCCGACTGCTGAGCACCGTAACTCGACCCAGGAACGCCGTGTCACGACCCCCCCCAGACTCCCCCCTGCTTCGCCGGCAGCTCTTCCAATGTTCCTGGAAGACGTAAACAACCCACCACGTGGGGACACCTGCAGCGTCATGTTTCGCGTGTGTGGGGGACATGACGTCAGAGCGCGTCACTTTGACTTTGAGCGCATTTAAAGGAGACGAGTTGTTGTTGACAAGATGTGGTGGAAGAAAACTCCGCAGTGGAAAAAACCTTCACGTGGCCCAACTGAAAGTGTGTGTGTGTGTGTGTGTGTGTGTGTGTGTGTGTGTGTGTGTGTGTGTGTGTGTGTGTGTGTGTGTGTGTGTGTGTGTGTGCTCGGGTATTAAATGTCCCCTTCTGAATGTGATGCTTGATGATTATGGCACATGTCCGACGACCAGGTCCATTTATTAGCTGTTCCTGAGCTTTTGATAATATATCATACATCTCAAAAATTGGTGCATTTTGAGTATAATTCAGTTGGTCATAGATATTGAAAGACGTTTCTAAAAGTTAGAACTAGCCGTGGTAAGAGGACGGAGGAATTGATTGTGATATAAGAACAAAACATGCTCAGATTCAAACTTCTATCCCCTTAGAATAAAAGTCTGTAGTATCATATTCAAGCAAACACCAAACATTAACGAATAGAATTCCAAAACTATTTAAAACCGTTTTGTCAGCAATTGTTGCTTTGTGTTTGATAAAAATAATGGAGAAACAACATTTCACATCAAACATTTCACAGCATTACAGGTTTCTACAATCAAAGAACATGAGTCATCTGTGCCTCAACAAACTCTGAAAGATGGAAAAGTCAAATAGATATTTCTCTGTCTGGCCTCAAAAGAATAATTATTTTGAGAGCTAATCTGTAAAGTTGGATCGACATTGAGCTAGTTGAAGAATAACTCAATAACTCCAAGGTAGACAATTCATTTTAGGCTGTAGCTTTGCAAAATGTAGGTGAAATAAAAGAAAAACGTTGTTATTTACAGGTAACCTATGGGAGTACGAAGAGTAGACTTATCTCTTCCATGTTTCCTGCAGAATCCTCACATCCTGCATGCGCCTGCTGAGAGGATATTAGAAAAGGGATGAAGAATGTTTAATTCCGCAGTAAATACACACGGAATATCACAAAATACCATGAAAGAGCTTAATATCGAGAGCGGATAGCCAAATCAGCTCATATGCGCTCAATGGAAGCCAATAAACAGAGGCACTCTGCCTTCTCTGACCTTCACTTCTGGTCGAGATCGGGGCGATAAAAGCAGGCGCAACCTCAATAAAGCCCATACAATGGAGTAAAATAACGAGATATTAAATTAAAGCAGAGGCAATACTCGCTGAACTGCTGCAGAAATTTGAGAACAAAAGCTTCCTTGTGCAGTTTAATATTGTCCACAATCACAGCTTCATGTTACGTTCACAATCATTTTCATCTCTTTCCTTCACGTATCAACAAAATGATCAGTTTGTATTGAAACTTGCAAATGACTTCGTGTTTAGATATTAAATGTGCCTCGTGGTCCCAGTTTGGCCTTCTCGCTTGGAGTTGATATGAAATTCCTAATCTGGCTCATCTCTGGCTGTCCATCGAAGAGGAGGTTATGGTGTCAAACATGGTCATGAATACCTGTTTGTCTCATACAAACTTTACACACCGGCTATAGGTTCAGTTATTTGAGGCATCAAGTATTTCCCAGATGAATTAGAAGCTGTTTATTTGGTGTCATTATGTGTGCCGCGGCTGCAGGAGGCTTAGTGTCACGTGCTGAAACGCATCCTTGTGTGTTTGATGAGTTTAAAAGGGTGAGTATAATCTGAAGAATGATAGCGTTATGAATTTGCACAAGCAGATGTAGTTTCTCGCGTGGTAGAACAATAAAAAAAATAAAAAAAACGGCCATTTTTCTTACACTAGTGATATTTCCATTTTCAATCCTTCAAATCAAATATCTCATTTGCAGAGGTAATGGCCACACGACATGACTGACGCGCTGCTCACTAATTTCTGCTCGTTTCCTTTGAATTATTAACGTGAGAGATTCTCCACGTGCTCTCAGAGGATTCTTGTCCATTCCTTTATGGAGAGAATTGGCATTTTACACTGAAGAGTATGAAGAGCTTAACTGCCCCAATCAAGCCAGGTGATTTAAATCCTGTCCGATCGAGGTGTTTAATAGGGGTTGCAGATGGGCGACCTGGAGTAAACGGTAGGTCTCAATAACCTGTATAATTACGACCATTTCACCTGAAAACGCTTGGGTCCTGAAAAGACATATTCAGAATAATACTGAGATAATCCTTTTTTTTTAAATAACCCCAAAAACGGAGTAACTAATAATCTTGCTGAGGTAGTAGAAACAGCGTCAAGCATAAAATACTGTTTTGGTATCGACCCCCCTTCATTGTGATTGGCCTGACGCAGTAATTAACCGTGCCATATGAAGAGGTAATTTTTATGCTAAAGTTTAATTGTTCAATTATCACCGGACGCGAGAGGAGGCCTCGATGCCATTTCATCATCTTTCAAAATAGCGTTGAAGCCCTCGTTCCACATGTTGTAACAGTCAGGCAATTACACAAAGAGCCCTCTCACTAAGTTGATTGATGCAGGCCGGCGCCGCCGTAAGGCCTCCGCTGCCCGCCGGGTGCCGCCGCTGGCAGTGAAGAGGCGGTTCAATCAACCTGCAGGGCTGAACAGGCTGGGCCGGTGATGGCGGTGGAGGAGGACCTCCACTAGCTGCTGACGGACAGCATAAACACCAACTGTACGAGTGCTGAGGAGGACAACATGTTTAAACAACATTGTTGTAGTTAAATGAAGAAAAAAAACTAGAGATTACTTGAGCATTTGTTGCAGAAAAAGAAGCTTGTTTTGATGGAACTACCTCATATAAATGAGCATTTTTCATGACGTCCCAAATTAATTGCATTTTATAGATATGCCTGCATGTACTCTGGGCTAAACAGGGAGTTGTTAAACAGGGAAAAAATGGCGTCTATTTTGGATGCATGTCATAACTATAATATATTTATCATGTAGTTACAGCTCCACAATCAGTGGACCGATGATGACCAATGATTACGGTCCATTTCATGCTTCTCAAGGGCCCAGATGGGAATCCTGAGGACAAAAGGGGCCCCTTCATTCTCACCCAGCAGCTTGTTAAGCTTCTCAATGGCGTGCTAAATTGGACCACATGTGTCCAATTTGTAATTACACAAAGAGGGGTGATATAATGTATTTGATAGAGAAAATGTCCACTCTATTACAGGCCACTCAGTTCTCAATAACAACAACAACAATAACAACACATGACTTAAGATCATTTGGGGCTTTTAGAGACAGTTCTCCTTTTTCATGTGAACTTGGAGATAATGAAAAGCAGTCTCTGTGAGAATAGTTAAGCTGCTCTGGTTTACATGTGTCATGTGGTCACGTTAGACCCCCGGGGAGCGACTTCTAATGTGGCCGTGGGACTCGAGTTGACATGTTGCACAATCTTTTAAAGCGCCCCCCTTTTTTTTGGCAGCGCGGCTGTGGTTGAGGTGCATTTAGGAGACTTAGGAGTAGTTTCACATGTTTAATATGTGTTTTCCACAAGTTCAATAAATTAAGCACAATTTAAAAGCAACATTAAAAAAAAATAATATTTCGATATAACAAACTTAGATCTTTTCATTTGTTTGGATTTCTTTCTTTCTCTTTCCATTGACCGTCTTTTTCTGCTGACAGACATTTGTTCTAAAAAGTATTTTTAGAAACATTTACTTGATCCGTCTGACTCGACTGATGAGTGTTTTCATTTTAGCAAATTCCGACTTCACCACCATATTCTCATGAACTACTGCACCTGTACAAATTCTACCTAAATGTATGTATCAATGTGTATCCAGATCATTATTCAGTTATAAACAATAAACTGTGGCTTTTGCAGGCTTAGCAGAGTCGTACACGTTTTCTGGTTACATAACTGCGGTTAGAGCTCGAGGTTGTATAATGTTTCATTTTCATTCGGGTGATGAAACGCTAAAATAAACATTCCTCCTCACTTGAACGACGTACGGCAGGGGACAGAGCCTGCGATGAGCGATTTGTACAAGCAGACGTATAACAACAGGTATTTCCAGCTCTCCGCAAACAGAGAACGTCCCTTTCATGTTGCTCCAACTTAGTACTCACAATCTGAAACAAGGGTGCAATTGTGGTTGTCACCAAACAATGCCATTTTTTCTTTCCCCTCCCCATATCATCCCTACACAGATGAGCAATTTGTCTGTCATGAGGTCCGGGGGCATCGACCCACTCTGGCCTTATTTCCCTGACAACACTGTCATTAGCGGTAAGCTGAGCCAATAGCAAAATAATCTGCCCACTGTTCAGGAGGCCGGGGCTCTTTTCAGCAATTAATTTGATAAATATATTAATTATGAATCTGGACGACAGTACAATCAGATTGTAGACTTGGCTTTTGTGATAAGTCTGCTTTGAGATTGGGTCTCCTCGGGTTTCGGGAGCTGTCATCCCCGGGGCCCAGCCTCTTATCACCGCCTGACCCATTCACTGGGTAATTTCCTGTGTGTTGTAATTAAATGGAGGCTTTTCTGATTGCAAGTGACTCTCTTTAAGAGGTGCTCCTCGGGTTTCAGGTGAAAGGGATATTCAATGGACCGGCTGTCTCCCGCTGCTCTCTGCAGGACGTTTACCTTTAATGCGTCTGCTTTATCTGAATTATGCTGCAGAAGAGCCTCCTAAAAACCCTTTTGTTTGTCTATCTGGGTATAATCCAGCACACAAATAAGTAACGCTGGTTTGTTTCTCTTCTTGTTGTTGCTGACCCGCGAGGTTAACTCGGCACAAGATACAGAACTACTTCACAAAAAATTCACTTTAACGTCTGCTTACAGTGGATTATGGACATTTATCGAAGGGGCGGATTCTGCCGGACATCCTGAGGCCGCCGTTGGTCCTGCGAGGGGCTGCAAGGCCGGACAAGTGCTAAAAGAGAAAAGCAAAAATAATGCATGTCCGTATTATGTTTTTAATGGTACTCTCATTTTGATGAAAAATGTATTTTAAAGCACTCCAAAGTCTACTTTTTTATACTTTACTGAGGGAAAAGACATACATTTGCTTTCATAAGATGTTGTTCATACTGACATCATTTCTACAATGTTTTTATATTTTCTAGCGTGATCATCGCATATAACCTGAAAACAATCTGCATCTTATCTTGGGTATAATTTATATAATAACTGTATAATGTTTTCCTATATTTATTTTATTTCCCTGGTAGTGAGACATGTGAGCGGCATCCAACGAGAGCCTGAATTGTCTCGTCTGCACGCGGCCTTTGGAGGCACAAAAGGTTTCCCTTGTCGCCCTCGTTCACATCGAGGCCTATAATTAAAATACCGTTTTTTTCATTTGGCCACTGAGCGACCATTAATTCAGAGAGCGAGGGCCATTATAGAGCTAGTGGCTCCCGGGGTAGCACTGGGGAAGAGGTGAGGCAGTGGCTTTTCAACATTAATGGCCGACGTGTGTGCCCGCCGGTAATCTCAACAAGGAGTGAAGTGGCTTCCTCCCAGCTGCAGGAGCAGGACAATGGCTCCCAAAACACTGAAGAGATTAAATGCAGTTCTCCTGGGCATTTTTACTCTAAACTGTGACGTTTAAAAGTGGAATCCCCTTTATTTATCATTACTTTGTCCGTATGATCAGGATTTTTTTTCTATTTTAAATCGCTTTGCAGAAGCGCAATATTCTACAAAGTGGTATAAATATCTGGAAAAAAACAAAACAGCAACTTGTTATTTAATCTAGAAAAGAACAGCTTGCTAATAGTCTTCTAGCTTGTCAGACAGCTTCTTTGCTGGTGACCTACAGTCCAGTCTTTGACCTTTTGGTCACATTACATTATAACGTTTCTGATACCAACAAGCACGTGTGCACCTTACAAATGCCACTCAAGGAAGTGTGCACTATACACAGCAGGGATTTGATTGAAGTGGTACTGACGGTGCTTTGCCACAAGGAGGAACCACTGTTTTCCTTTTCCTGCAGTGGAAATTCATCCTTCTTTCAGGGACCAACAAAGGCTGTGGGTCTGCATTTATTCCTGCAATATTTCACAAGATGGCAGGAGTGGATTGTTTAATGATTGCGCTTGTTTCGTGGCAATAAACGTCTGAGATAAATGCTTCTATAAACCAAACACTTCAACAGTCACAGCTTTTGCTTTTCAATCTGGACAACAGTGATTGCTGAGCAGTTGAGCATGATTTCTGAGTCCCAATTAGAGGGAACTCAGCCTGCTCTGCTGGTCAATTTCAAGTAAGTTTGTTTTTTCTGTTGCTAGCAGGCTGCCTCACATTCCTTTAGAGACTTAATACCATTTATCTATAAGGGATCTGATATACAGACACAAGCCTTTATGATTGTTTCATCACCAAAGATGAATCCCGTCCTCCTGAAAGTGAACGTAGACGGGGCGCATTCTTGCAAACAGGGAGCCAAACAATTTACACTCTAACATTTGTGTAATCATGCTAATGTGAAATTAATTTTCTGAAGCGAAATCTGCTGTCATCTTCTTGTTGCATTCTGTTCACGCTGGCTATGATAAGCCGGAATTAAAAAGATGATTGCGCATTAGCGTTTGTAATTAAGGTTCCTCTCAAAGGTGAATAGAACGTTAATGGAAATTTTCTCTGATTCATTCAATTACTGTGAAATCAAATTAGAAGAGTAAATTAATCCTTGGAGTGAATTAGATGAGTGAATGAGGAAAAAGGACTTTTCTACACAAAGCAGGGGATAAGTAGGCAGGATTGGTATAAAACAAAGCCACACAGGTTGTTGAGCTCACTTGATTTTCAAGGACGGATGGAAACAGCTCCTGTTTAACTAAATACGTCCACATGTGGTACATTTACATGGAGGGGCGGGGGTGTAGGATCCAGAACATGAGTCGTATTATTCATATTAATCATATTTCCCATCTCAGAAAGACAAGAGAAGTGCCCTTAGCCCCTCAGTGCACATGGCTTTTACTCGCGGGTGCTCCTGCACATCGATTTATCTTCTGAGTGACGCGCTCTCCTGCGATGCGGTTTCCCCCGACCACCATATTTTCCAGGCATTCTCACAAAAAAACAGAAACTCTGTATCGTTATTAAAGTGATGCACGACGGACTGCATCACAATTTTTCTTAAGTGCACCAGAGCGTGCCAGAACAATGTAGTTTTCCTTTAAACATACAACTTAAGATTAATGATTATGATGATCTTTCATTGCTTTATTTAAATTTTTTATTTAGTCTTCTTCAGGAAACATTCACCATTGTCTCCAACAAAGAACACATTTTCACAATGTTGTGGTTCATGATGTTTAGTTGAGCAACGGCAGGGCATTTATCTCCAACTAGTCAATTCACGTTGTTTTAAAAATTTGTATTACTGTATAACTTTAACGGAAAATCCACCACACGATGTGTTTGAATCACAAAATGATCCACCTGGTGTCAGGTAGAATGAATTTATTCCCCACTGCAGCATAGAGGAGGAATTGATCGATACGCGACAGGTGATGTTTGTCTGAGCTGGTTGGTGTAGCACAGGCACCAAAGAGCAGCTGATAATGAAACCGTGAACTCATCTGTGAAATAGACGGATGAAAGACAGAGAGCCTCACATTTGAGTTGCTACATGACCTGGATTGACGCCTTCAAGGGTGAATGTGCAAAAACATCTTTTATTTTCTAATGCCGTGCAAATCCCTCCGTAAAGTCAGTGGCCCATTTTTCTTTTGTCAACATTGACCAAAATATGTCTCTTTCCTGTTAGGTTCAACGGGTTTTACATAATCACACATCAATCTGTGATATATATCTGCCTCCATTCTACAGGAGGGGAACATATCTACAGAAAACTGTCCATCTAAAGATAAAATCCATTGCCTTTGTGGTCCACTTATTAGCAAGGGGCTAACTCGTCAGTGCTGTAAAACACAATTTCTGTGGTCTGCTTGTTATTGCATTGCCTTAAATGAATTTCATAATGAAAATAAGCGTGCACTCCATCGCCCAGTGCCTGTGTTAACAGTTTTCTGTGTATCCTCGACATCACTAATAATGTGAAATGGAAAAGGGAAAGGTCTTAAAATTGTACAAGAGGCTTTGATGGTGAAATGCCCAGCGGGGAATAAGGACATGGACATAAGCCTCTCATCGGGAAGGATTATCTGACAATACACGTTGCTACATGATTGGAACATTGTTACTGCAGGATGTTGACGTAGCTGGCCGAGGTGGATTTAGGTTTAAGTGATTTTAGGTCATGCTTTATGATACATAAAACAGTTTGGCTTGTAAGCAACGTCTTTATCAGTATTCTCACTATAGCTGGAGTTACACTTGTATTTGAGAGGGACATCGGATGGAAAAGTGTAAGTTCCCCTCAACTCGGTGTAGAAAATCTTGCGTCAGTTGAGATATTTTTCAAAATATGAACGACGAGTCAATGCTCGAAGGTGAGTCATGAAAACGTTAGCTAACGCAAACATCCATGTTCAAAACGCACGCCCGCCTGCCAGTCCGAGGGAAGTCTAGGGTGGAATTGGAGCTGGCAGAGAATTCAAATCCCCTCACAGCAGAAAGGAGGTGTGCTGCAGGCTTTCTTTCATCCTCGCCGTCTCTCACAGTCAGTCCTGCACTTGTTAAATCTTCTGACAAGATGTATTATCTTCAAAGTGCAGACCTGCAGATTTGAGCACGGATTCCCTGAAAAGGAAAATTCTGATTTTCAGTGATACAAAAATCCATATTTAAATGTTCACACAATTAAGAAGACAATCGATAGGAGGAGTCTTTCACCTGGATCAAACACAGGTGAGCCGCCATTGAAGGTCTAGTTTGTAAGACTTCGAGGCATCTGGTGGTTGAGGTTGCAGATTGGATCCAACTGAAACTTTACCGGTGTGTAACTAGCAACTAAAAATAGTTATTAGTCGCAGCCCTAAAGTCAACTTGTAAATAAGAACAAAGAAATCTACCACCATCAGACCCTCATACTCTTCAACTATTTTTAAAAGATCTAGTCTCAACTCTTTAATATCAGTTTGTAACTCAATGTTTTGTAATGTACCAACAATGAAATCAGTTTGAGAAAAGGGTTGTTTATCTGGAATCAAGTTTTCTCCCTAAAAACAGGCACGTACGTGACCAACATAGAGACAAAAGACGTGCTGTGCTGCATCCATTCAATGTGATATTACCTGAAACCAGGCGTCAAAGCCCATGTGTCCACCTCCGGTCAGGCCTCATTGACATCTGCGGAGACATAATGCTCCCCCCTGAATGACGGAGGGAAAACAGCATACATATTTATAAAAATTCTATTTCCATACACGTCTGTGTTATGTGTCACGGTGCTTAAAGGGGGTGTTGGCTTTGTTCTAATTGCTGCATCTCTAACGTAAACACTCTTTGTAGGGATCCATCACACACACACACACACACAAATCCCAAATGTGTTTTTTAAAATGACTTTTTTTTTGACAGACATTATTCTCTGTGGAGTTTGCATTTGATTCTGAAAAGAATAATTAATGAAAAGGATGCCGATAAAAAAGGGCCTGAGTTGAACTGGTGGCTTTGTGCTTGATACGGCCTATGAACTGACAGCAGAGCAGTTGCATGACAGCGTGCACGTCTCCAAAGGCCGATGGCGACGTCGCATGTGCTCGCGTAATTCTGATAATGTATCCATCAGAGCCAAAGCAGAGATGGTGCTACATTTCATCTCGATAACACCCAGTATAGCCGGCACAGTTGTCTCCCCCCACCCCCACCCACCCCCAAAGCCTCCTTCTCTTTTGATTAGGAGCAAACATGAGCCCATAAACTCCACGGACTCTCTTACAGGATGCATTTTAATGAGGCTCTTTTTTTTTTTCAAGGAAAATAACAATGTTTTTTCTCTCCCCCGTTCACCTTTTGAGAGAATGCAGAGAACACGGTGGCCTGCATCTCCACACAGCCAGATGCAATGTGCACGCGTGTAGCAGTAACAGTAACTATTGCCGCCCACGCGGTCTCACCCTATCCTCCCCCCACCCCCCCTCTCTGCTTATCTGTGCCACATCCAGCACCTCACCCTGCTCCCAGCACACTCCGCTGGGTACCACGCATCAGAGGAAAGATTCTCCACTGGAGTCTAGAGGGGGAGAGTGTGGGGGCGTCATCCGGCTTCCCATTCCGGGGGAAGTGCTCCTCATCAATCTGATGGAAACAGACTTAATGAGTTGTAGATATTTACTCTAGGCATGAGGTTTGATTTGGACATGAATGTAGTTAATTAAATGAGCCAGAGTGGAATAAAAATAAATATCACATGAACATTTTTTTTTTTTTATCATCAATTGTTTTTATTATTAAGTTAAACATGTTCTGCTCAACTGGATGTTATGTGGCGGGTGGGTTTAGGTGAATGTGAGCATCAAGGTCTCCCTTGGAAATAAATCCAATGGATGCCATAAAGAAAGAAAGTCCTCAAGTACTTTGAAAAGAGCAAATGTGCAGGAATTATTTATAGAATATTGATGGAAACTTGCATTTTTTCAAAATCAAGTTATTGGGACTTTTTTTCCTGCATGTTTTTCTACATTTTTTTTGTGAAAAGGAGACTCTCCAAGGGGAATCACCGCAACCCCCCCCCCCCCCCCCCCCCACACACACACACACACACTTAACTAAATGTGCATGTTCAAGAGATCAAGTAGCCCACACACACTGTGCAGTGTGGGCGGAAGGGTAATGCCTCCCGAGCGCATCATAGGACGACACCCCCCCCCCCCTCCCCCCTTGCAAGACGCGGTGGCAGAATAGAGCGAGAACAGAGTGGCACGAAAGCTGCTTTCTTGTAGTTTAAAAAAAAGGCAAAAACGGGTGGAGATCCTCTATTCGAATGTGCACTTCTCTACTATGATGCCGAAATCCTCCTGATCATCATCTTTGCTGGCTTCGCGTGCAGAGACGGATGTAGCGGAGAGAAAAAACAAGGGGGTGGGGGGGGGGGGACTCCACCGGTGGAGGGATCTGGGGATGCATGGGCACGGTTACGGGTGATCCGACGCCGTTCCGCCGCCGCCACACAAGACTGGATATGCTCACAAAAAGTGGGGACAAGTGAGTTTCGGGGGGGCCCACAGGATGGACACTGCGCAGGTGATCCTCTCCGTGTTGGTGGTTGTGATTATCATAGTGTCGTTGCTGTCCAACGTGGTGGTGCTGATCTGCTTTCTGTACAACCCGGAGATCCGCAAGCAGGTGCCCGGTCTGTTCAACCTCAACCTCACCTTCTGCAACTTGTTGCTGACCGTGTCCAACATGCCGCTCACGCTGGTGGGGCTCGTCAGTGAGGCTCGGCCGGGGGGAGACGGCTTCTGCCACATCGTGGGCTTCCTGGACACCTTCCTGTCCACCAACTCGATGCTGAGCATGGCAGCGCTGAGCATCGACAGGTGGATCGCCGTGGTGTTCCCCCTGAGGTACCACTCCAAAATGCGCCACAGGGACGCGGTTCTTGTGCTCGGGTACACGTGGGCGCACTCCGTGTCCTTCTCCACGGTGGCCACCTGCTTCTCTTGGGTGGGCTACCACCGGCTCTACGCGTCCTGCACCCTGTTCAACCCGAGGGCGAGCAGTCGGACCCAGTTTGTTATCTTCACCGTCTTTTTCCACGCCTTCACGTTCTTCCTGTCTTTTATAGTGCTGTGTGTCACATACCTCAAAGTGCTGAAGGTGGCAAGGTTTCACTGTAAGCGGATTGACGTTATTACGATGCAAACTTTGGTGTTGCTGGTGGATATACATCCCAGGTGAGCGCTTTTGACTCCTGATCTGTATCGCTTCTGCATTCTACCCTAAACCAACCTGCTCTGTACTCACATTTTGGACAGCGAATAAGAGAATTTGGTTAAAGTGAGCTTAGAAAAAAACGCCTCTAAACCAAAAAGGGAGTATTGTCTCCACTGATCAGTATGTGTAACTAAGTTGGAGCAATAATTCTCTCTCTCTCTCATATATATATATATATATATATGGTGCATGCTGGTGCTCTAAATCCTCCTGTCTTAACTCATACTGCTAAACTCCATTTTACTCTAATTAATTAGTCATAACTTTACAGCTTCGTTGCACTTCTGCTCACCACAAAAATTGTTGAAATTGTCATTTGTGACAAGTGGGGATTCACACATTGGGTCGCATGAGCGCACCGGCGCTCAGCCTTCCATATTTAATCCCTGCAAAACCGAAATAATAACAGAAGGGCGCCTGCTGTATAGCTGTTTTAGGATTTTTTTCTTTTCGTTTTTGTGATGCCGCCTGTGCTTTCCAGTGTTCGGCAGCGTTGCCTGGAGGAGCAGAAGAGGAGACGACAGAGAGCCTCAAGGAAGATCAGCACCTTCATTGGCACCTTCATGCTGTGCTTCGCTCCCTATGTGATTACAAGGTGAGAACGAGACCCGTGCAGGCGGGAGAGGGAAACCGCGTCGGCACACTGCGGCGCGCACGACACTTTTGTTCTGCTGGTTCCCCCCCAAAACCTCCCTCCTCTGCTGTTACTCCCCCCCATCCCCACCACCTCCTCCTCCTCCTCATTTCTGCCTCCTCTAAGCTTACTATCCACACCGCCCAGAGTTGGAAGATGAGATTGGCTGACCTTGTGATAAGTAATATGCCTCGGCTCTGCTGTTGCAGCTGCATTAGCACTTTTCTCCCCAAGCTCTTTGGGTGCATGAGATTGTTTGGGGTAATACACAAACATCATCTGGGAAAGAGAAGAGGTCACATGAGGCCCCGAGGATGTGAATGTTAGTTTCAATATGTGAGGGAAAAAAAAATTCTAGAATCATGCAAAGAATGTAAATATGTAAAATATGTATTATACTTGCAAGGGGAGGAAAGAAATAACCTAGATTGTAATATCTAATCCCTCACTTCTCTTCCCTCGCTTCTATTTTATGCAGAACAATCAGTTCCAGGGATTATCAAGAGTAACAGGGATAGTTTTATTAGACGATGCTGCCATTGAAAAACATTTCTTTTTAATATTCTCAGCAGCAGTGAAAGAAATTGCATTCTCCTCCATTGAATTTGGGTGGGGGCAGATATCTCAAAGAGGTATGCGTATCCCAAAACGCTGACCCAGAAAACCAGATTAGTCTGCACTCGAAAATTGAAAATAGTTTTCAATTATTGTGTCATTTATTTTTACTAATACAATTAGGTCTTTTGATATCTTGCTAACTAATAGCCACTATAGCAAATTGTAACATGTGCCTGTTCCCCGTTGGGTTCTCTTCCAGCGTGAAGACGAGAAATCACTCGTTACAGATTGGTCCATTATTTTCTGTGCACCGACTATAAAGGCTGCGTGTCTCGTCTGCCGTGGTCCTCCCCACTGTCCTCCCCACTGTCCGTCCTCGGTCAGTCCTCCGTATATATGGGGGAAGGACACAATTAGTCCAAATCAATTACAGCTGAGGCCACACACGCCTCTCACCCCCCCCACTCCGTCCCCTCTCCAGCTGCGCCCGACCAGGCCAGCACACAAATGATTTATATATTTTACTGCCTTGTGTTAAGAGGATATTACCAAATATGTGCAACTTTAGATGTTTATCAAACCTCAACTTCAGAAGATCACTGTGAGTTAAACATCCACAATTCATTCGGATTATTTCACAGCGCTGAGAAGCTCCATTTCCTTTGGGCAAGGCACTGTGCAAGAGTAGTATTCTCTCTGAAGTTGAAGCTGTCTGGTTGTAGTATACTTGTAGTACGGCGGGCTCACAATTGTTTTGTTTAGTAATTAAGGCTGTCTCTGACTCTTTATGTAATCATTTCAACCAAATGGCAAAAAGATGGAGATTGGATGACTCACAAGGATATGAGTTAATCCAGCAGAGTTTTATCTTGCAAACGTCTATAAATAACATAGTAGTTGCCATGAGTCAAGTTTTTCATGCACTCTGAGTGAACTGTGGGTGATACGTGACCACGGCAGCAACGTGCATGCTCTCATTCTACAAATGGCAGCTTACTAATTACAATGTGCGTATATTGGGCTAAACGCTGCAGATTTGTCGTCACGGTAATGATGTGAATAGTAGAAGCCCTGCTTGTGGCAGCTGACTTAACCTGCTGTTCACTCTGGTGCTGTGGAGTGTGTTGGCAAATACCAGCGATGGCTACGGGCCCGTATAAGGCTAGTTTTAATGTGCTGACAGAGCTTGATTTTGAGCAGAATAATCACACAGAGTGCAAGAGAAGAGGATCAGCCTTTTTTCTTCTTCTTTTATGACCCCACGTGCGGTAAACTGGTTTTATGCTTGAGAAAAAATGTTTGTGGAAGCACGCATTTGATGTATTTATGGCTCATTTTGTGATGCAGACAGCAGGACTGCTGGAAGAACTCCCTGTCGTCGGTTCTTGGTGGTTTTCTGCTTAGCCCTAAGTCTAATAGTGTATTAAATAACAATCTTACAAAGTTAATTGGCTGGTTTCCAGATACTTGTCACTGCCTCTGACGGCTCTGCTTTATTCTTCCAATGGCTCGGTCTTTCTCTTTTTCTGAAATTCATGCTGAGGGCTTCAAAAGACCCGGTCAGATGAAAAGTAGCCTCACGTTGTAAAACACACGGATGAGCGAAGCAGGGTGAATATGCGTGTAGTTTCCCTGTCACTCCTGCCTACATTTTGATATTAACAATAATTCAAGACAGAATCTTTGCATACCTGCAGGAGAAAAGATAGTTGTGTATGTATTTCTGGTTAAACATAACAAGCTCAGGGCGTGCGCGCCTTTTCAAGCTTGTTGACCTCACCCTCCCTCCTGATCTCCCTCTCTGACAAACGCTCTCTCTTCATGCTTGCCTGCAGGATTGTGGAGTTATTTCCAGCGGTGCCTATCAACCCCCACTGGGGAATTGTCTCCAAGTGCTTGACCTACAGCAAGGCGGCATGCGACCCCTTTGTGTACTCCCTCCTCCGACACCAGTACAGGAAGACGTGCAGCGAAATCATCAACAGGCTGCTGAAGCGCAGCTCCATGAACGCATCGGGGCCCGGCCACGAGACCCAGGTACACAGCATACCCGCTGCAGAGTGACGGGTACGGGGCGACGGCCCGGAAAATACAAGGCTGATTTACCTTTTAGACGAAGAAGAGAACTAAAAGGTTGTTCCCCGTCCACGTCTGCTTGAGTTTAGTCCGACAAGCCAAATCAATTAAAAAGCGTAAAAAAAAAATAAAAAAAACGTGACCACGGACGAGGGGAAATCCTTGCACACCACTGCGGCTGCACACTGAGTTCCCAGAGCAGCACATCAGTGCAGTGAGCTTGAGAGGACAATGAGACAACGGCAGACTTCACATCCACCTGGAGAGACGGACGTGCTCACCCGAGAAGAAGGACAAGTTTGTAGCCTCGTTATGGGATTTCTTCCGTGTGATGTAAGATATTTTGTCATCATTTGACAACAATCTGGTATATAGTCATATTATCTTTAAAAAAAAAAGGAAATTGCCGTACGTCTGTTTTAGTTCACTCAAAGTGTTTGTAGGTGACAAGTGATATGTTGATGTAGCACTGAAAACTAGCCTAACCAAAACAAGACCTGCTGCGCATTTAGGCTCAGGTTATTTCAGACTTGATGGGGTAAAATACAATACTAATTTAACTAATTTTATTTTTGTAGTAGTATTGTCTTTTGTAGTGTTTGGGCCAATGAAGGATACAAAAGCAAGAGTTTCTTTGTTTCACGTGGGTAAACACATTGTTTTGAAGAAAAAAAAGGCCTTCAAACCGGCTGCCTTCGCTGTCACAATGAATGACGTGTGCCCCTCAGGTTGTTTGGTCAAGTGAGGCGTGATTAACTGCCGGGTTTGTGCTCACGGAGAGGGGGAACCTGCAGAGACTCCTTTATGCTTTCTCACACCTTTTGGCTACAAGTGAAGAAAACGTGTTATATGGCCTTCACTTAGCAGAGGGATCACATTACGACTAATGGCATCACATGATACGTAACAGCAATGACGGAAATAGTCACTTCTGTTTTACTGATAACGTTTGGGAGATATGTGTATGTATTTTTAATGAGATGGATCGCTATAAAAGGATGCAAGATAGATATCTATCTGAATACATAGATATTATGTATATTTATTTAGTCCCGTTGCTTGTAAAGTGAAGTAGTCCGAGGTGTTCTTGAAGACCTAATTTCAAGAGGCCTCCTGACTGACAACGTGTGATCTATTGTACCTATTTTATTCATTGTGTGTTCTGTATCAGAAGATAGGCAGCTCTGCATCAGAGGGCTGGGCTCCACTTGTTATTGAGGTGACCTGCTGTGAATAGAGGTGCTTTAACGCCGTCGTTATATCATGCCGGATGCACAATGTCTTTACATGGTACGTGATCGCTGAAAAATAAGAACACTGTATGTATTACAATGTGATCAATGACGCCCAGTGAGCCAAATATTAGTAGCTGCAGTTCATTTTTCTGAAAACATAAGAGAAGATAGATACAAATATTTATGAAATGAACAATTGATTCTTTTTTGCTTTGTGTTTGTATGTTCTATGACAACACAGAGGAGAACTGGTTGTCTTGGACACGCGATGCATTGCGCGGCACTGTGTGACACTCCAAGACGGCCGACGCCTTAATTCTGTAATATATGATGGTTTTAAATGTTGCCGTTCACAGCGGCATATGAATATGTATAGATATGGTCGATCATTGCCTTACTCACTTCTGTTTATTGCCACACAGCCCTCATCCTGCTTTCCATTGTAATTTTTGCTGATGTTTTGCACCGATGTAGATTAGTCATTTTTCTCACACGATGATTATTCGATGAAAAACAAGCTAAACATAAAACAATATAATATGATACAATATAATATGTGGGTAATTTATGCAGCACTGTATTGGTTTGAGTGTTATAGAATGTGCTTCTTCACATGCAAAATAAGCTTGAACTATTGTGGATAGGTCTCAGTGAATTGAGTGTAATATACCTCATTTAGTTATGGTAACTGGGTTGACTGCCTCAAGTGTTTTGTTATGTACATCCTAATTTATTAAACCACTGGCTTGATGCTGCTGCAGATGGCTGAGATGACAAACAGTTCATGACTGCGCTGATGATGACGAAGACTGCTGCTTCCCGTCTTTGAATAATGACGTGAGGATATTTGGCTTTAATAGTGGTGATGGAAATATTGAATTTTGACAATGTGGTTTTCAATTGGGGTTCTGGTAGACGGATGACTTGAAACAAACTCGAAATCAAAGTGATTATGTTTGTGTTCAGCAACTACATCACACGTGACGCTTTGACAGCATAGATTATGGTTTTAACTTGAGTAAAAAGAATGAATTGCCTGAACGTAAAAGTGAAATCTTACAATGAAGGCAGCCAGTTTCCCAAACCACCAAATCAGTGTTTGGTCTCATGATAAATTACGCTGGTTATATTCACTGTAGTAATGTCTCACCCAAATACAATGGAGTACATTCAGTACATTTCAAAAAACACAGAAGCAACAGCTACGACACCTAATAGATTCATCCAAAAAAACAAAATACAGCAGAAAAACAGAACAAAAGGTTGTCCAAGTGTCAACTGCTTTCCTGCACCGCAACCTGAGATAAACCCTGCAATCACATCTTTAAGAAACAGCAGGAACGAGCTCTACGAGAATGAGTCACACTCTTTCCACCTGCAACCAGTCTGAGCAAGAGGGAAGCGATTTTGTTCTGTTCGCAGCGCAAAGTGGTAATGAAACGACAACAGCGGGCCGGCCGAGTTGGCCCCCGTCTGAGATTCTTGTACGGCGCCCCGCGCCCCCCCAGGAGCCAGTGTCGATCTTCAGGTGGGTGGTGGCACTGTGGCCGTAACACACGGCTCGATCACGGTTGGCCTCGACCGGCTCTGTCAACTGCCCCCCCCCCTCCCCCCGAGCGAGAAGCGAACCACGGCTCAAAGGGAAAAGGCGGGAATCGAAAAGGAGTCTAAAGAATGCAAAAGCTCAGAAAATCTCTCGAGCAGATGATACTTTTTAATTTGAAATTCAAAGTTGTGCTCTTGGAGATTTAGTAGTGATGGCGATGCTCTGAATCTAATACAGGCTCTGCGTTCAAATAACCCCGCCACCATACGCTTGAGCACGCCAGACTTCTTTTAGCGTATCACAATGATGTCTTAAGGGGTCTTTCTGCACGGGGGTTGCATTTGCACCTTGCAAGAAAAGCAATGCTTCTCTGGCTATGCTGACCCACAATGCTGTGCGCAGCAGATGTGAGGGAAAGAGTTCAAGGTGGAACCTAATGAAGAAAGCGTACGTCCCGGCTGAGACGGAACCATCTCGTCTGCTGTGTCTCGCGCTTCCTTCTCTCCAGGGCTGCAGACCTGACTTTTCCTGACACCCAAGAGCTTAAGCAGCAGAAGCCGTTCATCAACAGCTCTCCTCTCATCTCTTTTCTGTCTTTTTAGCGCATAACGTTCATCTAGCACTTTCCAATGCATGCATTCCTCACACTGCTAACTTTACAGATCCCGCCTCACTGTGGTTTTTATTTATATTCACTTAGCTTTGGAGTGATCACTTTCTTTTGCTAAGTTTGTGTTTTTTCAGCAGATACAGTAGATACTAAAAGTAAAAAATGAAATGAAAATGAAATGATTCGAAAACCAGCCAGGGAGCGACATCATATTTTCAGTAGTTTTGCAGCAAAAAAAAGGGTCCTTTGGCTTTAGGTAAATCTACGCAGATATCTAATTAGTGTTGAAAACTCTAACCACCTGTGATTAGGGCACAGTGCCAATCAGCACAAAGCTCAAACCCCTGTGTGAGCGCGTGGAAGGCTTTTAATATATCTGGATTAAGGATTTTCTGCATTTTTATTGCCAATAGTGGTGCAAAAAATATGAGCTGTGAAGGATCCTAATATTTGCTTGCCTGTAACCTGAAGAGATATTAGTGCTTTGTTTCATTTACTTTCACCGGTTCACAGATCAAGCAAATATTTTGAGAAATGCAAAATTTCCCCAATTAAAAACAAGTGTCCTTTTAATAATTTGCATGATACTCTCCTAAACTTTTTATTCACACATATTAAGTCAGAATTCTGTTTCTTTTTGGGTCTAATTTTGTTGCTGGCATCTCAATTCTCGCGATATCACGAGATCCCGCGAGTATTACAGGGTCACATTTCACAAAAAAAAATCCACGTGGTCGTACTCAAAGTAACACGCATGTGTCCGTCTATAGTGACCCAACCAATAAGTGTCAACGTGCTACCGGCAGCTACTGTGGTTTCTGTGTGTGATGATGCGAAACACAGAGGCAACTACAATATAAGCGACAGTGCTGCATTCCAAAGAGATTAACACACATTTTACAATCAGTTCTATCAGAATTGCTGAGTTAAATTTCACCTAAAGAAGAGCCAACACTGGCACCGATATTCTTGATGTAAAATGTTTTTATTCTTCAGCCACCGAAGCAGTGCGGTCTTAATATCAAACATCAGTCGCAACAATTAGATGGATTGCGATTAAATTCAGTCCATTCGGCATTCATTGAGTGAAATGACAACTATTGGATGGACTGCCAGGAAATGCTTCTACTTTGTGCTTAATTGTCAAATGCATGGACGCAAAATCTCGTAAAGTATACAACTTTTCAACTTCAATCCCCCCCCTGCTGCTGATCCGGTTGTTTGATGTCCACAGAGCCAGCAGAGAGGCTAATCTGTGGTGGGGAGAGAGATTAGGAGCTGGTTTACCAAACGCCGCATGGCGACTCTGTGGTTTCCAGGCTGGCCACTCTCAACGCTTCAAAGGCTGGACCGACTTCTGGAGGAGCGATTGGCCTTTTAACGGACGGCGAGCTCGTCTGGGGCCTGTGTCTTCCCACACATGTGCACGCCATCACAGCGGTTACGCTGCATGCCGTGCACATTGACCCCCCCCCAATCCACACCCTCTGTGTCTCACTGGGATTGTGTTTTGATCATATGGGAGAAGTTTGGTCCCAAATTTGTCTTACAATTTCTTACAGTTAATGAACGTCACCTCATGTTAACGATAAACCCATCCTCTTTTCAAACGTTTCACATCATTCCTTGTCATCATTCCTCAAGCACAACTATGGCAGCGTGTTTCTGCATAGAGGGTACATACACATTACGTCATGATAAAATGAATTTTTAAAAAGAGTGCAAAATCTGAGAGCGGAAACTCACAGGTGTGTTGGTACTCAAAGCCAGTTTCTTGTATTTCGGCTCTACGGTTTTCCAAACATTGCCTTGTTTTGAATACTCGGTTCTCACAGCCCCCCCGTGGAGATCAAGTCATCATTGGTGCAGCAGTTGAAAGTCTGAGACATCAACCTTTGCAGTGGCCATGCGGAGACACTAATCCCCCGTTGAGACACACACACACACACACACACACACACACACACACACACTTATGGATTAAACCTATTATTTAAAACACTGTCCCGTCTATAGGACATCTACAAGTCACTGGTTATAGTGCAGAGCTGCAAAAAGTATGGCGATAACTACAAGCTCTGACATGTCCACCTCCCCAGTGCTCCGAGGTGATGACACGTGTGTGTGTGATCCTCTGATCAATAACCATTGGAGGAGGAGATGTGAGTTTAAGGTCCTCCTATAATTGCATGCTGGCTCAGAGAGAAGGAAGGCTGGCTGGTGTTGTTGTCAGAATAAGCCGGTGATCCATAAAAGCTCCAGCAGAGCTCACATAATCAGAGCCTTTTCCACCTCGAAACTCCCAAGACCGGATTTTACCGCAGACATCAAACGAGAGGATGCTTAAAATTAGCCACGGTGATTACAGAATGAAGTTCATTTTCCATTTGGGATGTTCAATCAGGAGGCAGGCAGGAGTGAATGTAAAATATGAGTTCATTTCAAAATGTTGTTTTGCTTCTGACGTGTTTTGTGTTTAATTGATTATTCCTCCACTGTACAGATTTGATACACTTTTCTCTATAATATTTCACAAATTATTATTATTATAACAAAGTTATTTCCAATAAACGACTTGGGATCATTATTTTTCCTGATTATGAAATCATAAAACAAAAGCGTTAATTACCCCTTTGATATCCATTAAGCTCCACAATCATTAATAAAATGAACACACTAATGATCAATTTCAATTTGTGCAAACATAGTCTTCATTTAATGAAATAAGTGTGACACAAATGGTCACTGAGTCCAAAAGTTTACTTTCAAAAGCACAGAATTGTACAACTGATAAGATAATACAGATTTTGTAGTGGTTTACTTAACTGTGTTATATAAGTTAATAAGTATGTACATGTAGTCATTCCTCACAGTGGTTAAAATGAAAGGTTAAGACAGACTTTTGTTTTGTAATATTGTTGAATAAAGTTGATTCCGTAAGTTGTTAAAGTTGATGTCATCAAAAGGTTGAAAATGTCTTAATAATAATATAATATATTAATATAATAAAAAAAGGGATGATAAACTTAACCTTTACAAAATGCACTGCATATAAAAACATTTAGTTGAAATAGACAGAGCTTATGTCTGGGTGGAAAAAAAAATAAAACTAAAACAAAACAGAAAGACAAATAATGCATCCTGTTTAAATTAATCCTCATTATCAATCACACTAATTCCACCTACGGCACTCTGGAGGAATCTCCACACTGTTGACCTCAGTTAGATCAGTGCATATGCTTGTTTTTAATTCTTCCGCTTACAGTCTTTATGTTCCCAGGCGCATCTCTCTGGTCCTGCGAGCTTGGAGCTGACTGACTGGCAATCTGATTGGCCGCTTGTTGAATTTTTCCATTATTTCTTTGATCCGTGACAGGTTAGTGCGCCCGATGATGAAGTTGCAGCTGGTGGCGCCCATCTCGTAGCCCACCTCGCACTTCTTACTCGTGATGCTGTATCCTTCAGCCTTTGCTGTCACTCTGTACTCCCCCGGGTTCAGCAAGCGCCAGTAATCCCCATCAGAAGCTGCGAACACACAACAAAAATATTACTTTTGCAGTTATCTATAAAAAAACAAAAGCAGAGGGCTAAATCTTATGCTGGGGAGACGAGGTAACAACAATGGTTGTTGAATATTTCTTTAAAGGAGAACAGAAGGTGAGATTTTAACAAAGTTTTAATATCTTCCTCTTTAATAGAATTTTACGTGCACCTTATTACCCGGAATGTTTAACGTTGCTATGAGACACCATCAGCTGCTGCGGACTTTTCTCTCTCTTTGGCCAACACGGTGCCGCTCAGAAAGAACTGATGTCATTGAAATTAAAATTCCAAACGTGTTTGATCTTGAGGTTGATGAGGTTTAAGACTGGATCCATCGGCCCCTCACCTGACCGGCTCGTCTGGGCCGAACATTGGTACCTACCAAGGCACAGAAGCGCGTTTCTCCTCTGTTTGCTGAGAGAGGGGTGAATCCGGGTCCAAATTGGCACAAAAGCCCTGCACCCCGAGCCCGACTGAAGCACAACATATTCGTTTTTCTGTTTAACAAAACACTCCCCAAACTGTTAAACACGTGCACACTTACTCGTGGATGAAAACGCACATGATAACCGCTGGTGGCCAGTACCCATATTGTCTCTGGTAGAACATTTTGCCTTAAAGATCTGACCTTTGAGGCAACATCCAAACACTATTTCAAGTGGGACATATAATGCTCATTTAATCCCCTTTTAGTTAAATCCCAACAAGAAGAACAGTTAGCTTTACACATTATTAGTGCAGCAGCAGCGAAATGCAAATCTTGTCCTAGAAAGCTGAATTTCAAAGAGCCTGTTAAGCAGTGGCAAGAAGCAAGGCTCCATCTGAAGACTCAAATGAAAGTTGCAGAGTGCTTTGTGTTCTACTTTTGAGAAGCAGGTGTTCTATATTCCTACGTAGACTTTTAAAAATAGCTCTGCTTCGTGGCGTCGGATTTTTCTCGGTCTCTCGTTGCTCGCCGGTGTCTCGATGGGACCCCAGTGTGCTTGTAGTGTATTTCAGCGCGTGATGAACTCACGAAAACGTCCAAACATCTACCTGACCTGATTTTCAAGCCACCAGAGGCCAATTAAAGGTGACGGCGTGTCCGTCTCCGCTCACGCCCACGTTACTCACGTTCGGATGGTAGACGGGAATGTTATTGTTTTCTGGAATGCTTCAATGTCAAATGCTAATGATCTATAGGAACTCTCAACCTGTTAAGCCATCTTTAAGATATGAATGTAATGCGCTGTGCTGAGAACACCGTTGATTCATTCAGATGGGAGAAAGCAGCAGAAAAGGTACAATTGAGAAAAATAAATAGATTAAAATATTTTCTAACTGCAACCAAGAGGTTTCTCCCTGGTGGCGGAGCAAACACTCGGCTTGTACTTGTACTTAATTCCAGGAATAATAATGGCTAATTTCCCTTTTGACATTTGATTTCACGCTCTAAGTACAAAAGCACTTGGCTTTGAATGCTGCATTTTTAGGCTTCAGCAGAGATTGCCGGAGGAGGAGGCACGATCGATAGTCAAACTATCAGACTCTGACTGTGATAGAGATTCCAAATGATTCCAGCCGGCTCCATTTACTCCAGTGACTCATTCCTGATGAATAACGTGAAGGGACAGTCGAGTCAGTGCAGTGAGGAGGCTTCTGTCGCACTGCTTTGATTGCAAATTCCAACCCGACTCACATCAAATTTCAGTGGCCGAGGTAAAAATATCCGAAACGACAACACTTGTTTTTGCATTTGTGTTGCTTACTCAAATGAAATAAATCCTATGTGTGAAACAGTTGAATTGCGGCGTCGTACCTGTGCGGATATCATGGCCGATGCCCTGCACGGAAACGATGGCATTAGCTATTCCGCGACCTTGAAGGTCCCTCACCACACCTTTGATCCCACGATGCACCTGCACAGGAAGAAAACACGGCCCGGGCAGCCATGAGTGAATCCTGATCCAAGTTTACCCCCAAAAGACTTCTCTTCATAATTTATTACAATGTGTACGACATGGCGTGATGTATAATTTTTGATCTTCAACAGATCTCTTGAGCACGCCTTAATAACTTTCCTCCCGCATTCTCATGCAGCCGTAGATTTTAATCCGCGGCTTTTACTGCAAATTTCAGTGAGGGTTTACGTTTGATAATGTGTGCAGATTGTGCGACAGGAACAAATTGATATGGCTTCCATATTCCAAAAATAACAGCACTTTATTTATTTTTTTAAAAGCATGTGCGGATCGGTTGCGCGCAAGCACGTCTTCTTGAGTTTTCTCCCTGATTTGGCAGTTTGCCTCTGTACCTGCTCCATGAAGACAAGAAGAGACTCGCGATTGTTTTCCCACTCCTCGGGCAGTTCGCTTTCATGCGGGAATTTGTCGCAACCCACGTACATCGAAAACTCGAAGCAGTTGGTGTGCAGATAGCTGAAATCATTCATACCTGCCAAGAAAGGGAAGCACATCTGTTGGCCAGCATCGATTGCAGTCAGCATTTTGACCAGTTATTGCTGAGGACTTGTGGTCTTAATTGAGCCTTTTTAAAAAAAATTTTTTTTTACTCTGCCTTTGAATTACATAATGCTTCAAACTAAAAGGTGGACGCTTTTTGAAAACAGCCAAAGGGCTTCGGGTTCTGAATATGCAGATGTGCCGAACAAAGCTGCGGCTCAAAGGATCACAGCCGAGCAGAGAAATCCTGCAGAGCGCAGCGTCGGGATCAATGTGAGAAAACACCCGGGTCGGCTGTAAAAACACTAACTGCCGGCCGCGGTGTGCCAGGACGCCCCGTTGATGGTGCCGTCCTCCTTGGCGAAATCTTCCGTGTGGCAAACCCTCCGGTTGGCGGCCGTCATCAGGCGGTGGGTGGACGCGTAGGAGAAGGCCAGCCATCGGAAGACGTGGTCGTCCGGAGTCGGGGTCTGCTCCCTGGCCACCCCTTGGGAGCGAGTTTTGTCGTACGGGAAGGTCACCACCAGCTCCCCTCCCTGGATGTTACCGCCCAGCACGAAGGGTATCTTCTCCATCCATGCGATCAGAGCCCGCGTCTCCACGGCAACCTACAGCAGGGACACAGGAGGAGGGGATAATGTAACTCATGCAATCATCTCAGCACCGTGATTACTAAATTAACTCCCCCACTGAAAACAATTTTGTCGCAGCGTGCTCTCAAGAGGGGGGTGATGGAGCTGCAACACTCCCGGGCTGTGAACTGATTTCGCGGATGCACGGGCAGAAAAGTGAACACGTTCCTCGATAAGTAACGCCGCTGGTGTTTGGACTCGTGATCTAAACCGGCCCCCCTGTCTCTCAGTGCTGGCCGGCGGTTAATGAGGCATCTGAAGCTGCAGCGGCTGATCTTTGGGGTTTGAGTCACCTGTGGCTCTCGGTCAGAACTCTTGTGGGAATGAGCTTTTAAAAGATCGGCGGGGCCTATTTTAGCTCGCCGCCTCGTCGTCACGAGTAGCTGATGCATTTGCATCTCCCAAAATAGACTGCGATGGTTTCCCCACGAGGCTGTTTCATCCTTTTCAACATGCAGACGGTCCTTACGATGGGATTTTGGAGGAAGTGCAATACGAGGACATTAAGTTGCAGCCTCCAGTTGTTGAGCGGAAACAAAATGGCATTTCTGTTTGTAATCTGAAAAATGCATGCCGTCCCCTGTAGGCATGCTGAAATTGACACTCACCGAGGCATTTTTGGACAAGTACCACTCGGGAACGGGCACATGGTGGTTGAACATTTTGCGAGGGATCCACTTCTTGGCCTCGCCTTCCCACAGAATGGAGTTCAGATCGGGGAAGTTGTGGTGAATGTCAATGCCATCATTGCTCCATCTACCCAGAGACCAGCCGCTGAGCTCGGAACCCTGGGCGAGAGAACGTGAAAAACAGACCAAATGTGAGGAAAACTCAGAGAGAATGATTTGCGGTAATGAGTGTTCCCTAAGCGACGGAGCGCGGCTCAGAAAGGCTCGCTGGGAAGTGTGGAGGTGTCATCCCACTTTGCCTCCCTGTTATTACAACTCATCCAAAAAAAAGCTGCTAAACCTCAGACAGGCGTTGCAGAGCGGGGTTTATTCTGAGTGGGTGCAGCAGGACTTATACATTATGGAGTATCAGTGTATCTTGTTTTGTGATTATGTATTGTCCTAATTGTATACTTTTTTTTAATTGTAAAATTACTGTTGATAATTATGAATAAAACTGAAAATTAGCAATTTGATATGATTTTTTAAACCAAAAAACTGGCCAGCCCGTTGTCCTTTTTTTTCTGTGCAAGCTAACAAGCCCTTTCATCGAGAAAGGGTGCAGCTGCCTGATACTTTTTACTTTTTATTAGTGTTTTTTCACAGCCAAGCAACTAGCACATGTCTACTTACACAACACTTTGTTCATCGGCTCATTATATTTATTCTACCAGCTCGGTCGAACCAACTTTGCGGCTCGCGCCACATGTGCCCCCATCGGGCCCATCAAGTCTTGTCGACAGATATGCGCCTGTTCTCACCAGCCTCCAGCACGTGATATGAGGTCACTGATGTCCGTCTTGCAGACGTACCGCTTCAAAGGCTTTCTCGTACCCATCGGGGTTGAGAGATGGCAACAGGTGGATTCTGGTCTCTGCCACCAGGTGACGTATCCGCTGGTTGCCGGACCGATACTCCAGACACATGAACTGCATCAGCAGGAGGAGCAGCTCTCGTCCCAGCACCTCGTTACCATGGGAACCTGCCGTGTAGCGAAACTCTGGTTCACCTGGTTGGACGGGTTCGTCCGAAGAAAGAGAACAGGGGGAAGAAAGAAGGGGGTTATGTGTGCAATATTCAAATGGAACAACACAAACATGAGACAGAGGAAAACACTCAGTCTCTGATGTTAACATCATCACCAAGAGGATCATGTGTGTGGGATCATGATTGAGGGGGGTGTTGGCCGATTATAGGTTGGGTTCATTCAATCACACAGTACAGATGTGGTTGTTGCAGACAGACATGACGGAGATCCGCACTCCACCGAGCGAGCCTTTCTGCTTGTACACTAAATCAAATCCATTTGCATTAGACGTACTCACCCACTTCATGTTCTCCTGGATTGTCAGAAATCTCTATGGCATACAGCTTGAGGCCACTGTGGCTCTTTCCTATGTTATATATCCGGGTGATGTTGGGGCACATTTCATTGACCACCTTCATAAGCTGTGGGCGATAAATAATGAGGCATCAGCTCTTGATAAATAATACAATTCAAAATTTTTGGATTTTGGAAAGGAATATTTCATGATTTGATGATGGTTGGTGTGTTGTTTGGTTACTGTTGAAGAGATAATATTATAGACGCCTTATTATTTTGCCTATTTAATAATGGTTTTATTTGGCAATTCTGAAAATACCAAGTAATTGGCGGTACTGCTATCTTAAATGATGGGAACCCATTGCCAGCGCAGTGTCACAGACCTTAATTAATAACGCTGGAGAAGGAAGGAAAAGCAGTCGAGGTAATTAGGAAGACAGGCTTGTGGAGGAGCTGATTAAAATGGCATCAACTAATCATTTACCCATGTGTGCATGAGTGGAGACACAAAAGAAGAAGTGGAGTGGGGAAAGAAATAACTAGCTGCATAGAAATGTGTGTTTGTTGGCTTTTCCAGCTGCTGCTGCAGAAGGCATCAACCAGGCAGGAGTGATGCGGTTTAATCGAGTGGTAGAAATTCCGACATTACCAAGATAATCATTGAACAAACATTTGATTATGAGATTCTTGCTACTGGTTTAATAACAGCACCACTGCGTTTTTAAGCTTCACAGCGTATACAGCCCATCGATTTATTCTAAGATAATAAAAGTCATGAGTTTCTCTCGTCGTGGGCATGTACTGAATTTGAGAAGCCACTATGTGCGATTTCCAATTTGAGGTTCTGGCAATTTATATATTTAAACTGCTGTAGACCAGGGGGACATTTTATACCGGGCACCTGCGCGGAGAAAAGTAATGTTAAGATTGAAAAGGTGTTTTAAAATGAGTCATTTTCCTTTTTAGTGGGCAGAGAAAGACAGTTGTAAAGAAATACGTGTTATTCCTGGCTGTCACAGCAGGACAAAGTAGCTTTATAGTGAGCCATACGATCAGGGCACCCATTTGATTAAGTCTCATGATCGGTCATGACAGCAGCTTAGGACACCTGCAGTGAACTGTCTAGCTCAGGGGAGCAGCCAACATTTCACACACTACAACATTACACTGACAAATGCAGCTGTCCTCCTCCTCCTCCTCCTCCTCCTCCTCCTCCTCCGTACAAACCGGCTACCGGTCACGACATCTACACCGATACGTGACGACGAAAGCCAGATGCCTGATGTGTTTCCGCGTGGCTGGCAAAGCTCACTTCAATTGTCACACCGGTTGCCTGCCGCTGGCTCGAAGTCACACGAGACATTTTTATTGCTCTGGTGCCTTTGAATAAGCAGACGGCTCGTATCTGTTGTTTTTCTGTTCGGTGTGACTCACCTGCCTCATTTCTTTGTAGCTGTGGTGTCTGAAGTCCAAGTTGTCTGTTGTGATGACTTCATTGCGTCTGTGGTAATAATTATTGGGATCTGAGGGAAGTCCGAAAACACATAAAGGAGGTGGAGTTATTTTTATTTGCAAAGGAAAGAAACGATCAATGGGGGTTGGGGTGTTGGGACTCTCCTCCAGTTAGGGTTCAGTCCAGCTTAATTACAGATTTCGCTTACCTCAGGTGGTACACGGCCATGAGTAAGTTATGTGTAAGTTCTATTGTTTTATGTGGGCTAGGGTTTGTATTTTTGGTGCAGTAGCAGTAAGTATTGAAGATTTAAGACAATGAAAAAGTCTTCTTTTTAAAAAAAATGTTTAAAAAAAACTTTAACACAGATGGTTTGCTTCCAATTTTCCACTAACCCTACCTACGGTGTTTTGTGCCAGGACCACACCAAACTATGAATATCACAGTTTTAGAAAACAGCTTTATTTTGCGACAGTGGATGCTGAATTTGGTAGTTCTTTCTCCCTGAACAACTATCTTGTACCGTCCTGCCTTTGTTTTTTACCCTCCAGGTTCAGGATATTGTTCATGTGTCGGCTTTGTCCATACAAACCCGTCACCTGGCATTGGACAGCCAAGGATCTCCACTCTCATACAGACGCTGCCGCTGTGAAACCAAGATCGAGGGTTGACTCGGATGTATCGGCCGACCACTGGCTCCGGAAGCATGTTCCGGACCGGGATCTCCTTCTCCCTGTTGCCGATGAAGATCTACTGAGGCAAACGCATTTCTCAAGATGTTGAATAAAGAACAGGATTTTTTTTTTTTTTTTTAAGTAAATATTTATTTGTTTTTCTCGTTTGAATACAATACAAACATTTGCAAATTAAATAAATCCCATGGTCAATTAAAAATAGTAAAAGATCTTTGCAGGTTTTGGTACACAAAACTCAAAAGACAAAGCATACCTTCATGCACTTGTAAAACACAATTAAATCTTAATACCACCAGGATTTTATCACCCTCTGTTGTAGTTCCTCCCTGCACCTTTTGGCATTTTACAAGACAAACAGTGCAGCTGGCATTTGACATAGCATGTGTGTGAGTGGGTGAGCGAGGATGCGTGTAGACTAAATTACTGCAGGGGCTCCATCTCCCACATCAATGACGTCACCAACGGAGGGAGTGTAAAGTTACACCAAAATGTCATTAGCTGGGATTCGAACCGCACCGGGGGTATTGAAGCCGGGCTGCAACGGAGAAGAATTAAGGATGCTGGAAGGGTGTCATGATTGTGACTTACCAGGTCCTTTGAGCCGTTCTTCAGCGTTATCCAGGTGTGACTGTCGTTGCTCACCATCACCTTGTACGAAGTTACCCAATCGCTCCTGTTAGGAGCGGAGGAAATATCCCATCAGGCTTAATTCGATGCAAATGAGGCGACTCGCTCGGCACACGTCCAGACACGCTTGATTCTCACTGGGGGAGAGTCGTTTTAAAAATAGCTCAATTTGAGAGGAGGTCAAAGAATTTATATCAGAATTAGAGTCACCTGAGATTTTTATTGCTCAAAGTTGTGCAGAAGTGAAGTTTGTCATGTAGATCATTTTTATTTCATTTGGGTTAAGTTGATTAGACTGAAAATCCTTTATCTATCGCTTAGATTATTGACTTTAACAACTGAACAAATCCTGAAATGCTGTCGGTTAATCAGGAGTCTCGAACCAGTTCAATAATACAAAGTGTTATATAATTGATGGGTGCTATTGTGAATTTAGCATTAAAAGTCGTACTAATGTTAAAAGAGTGGTTTGACATTTTGTGAAATCCACTGTCGCCAAGAAATTGATGAGAACCACGTGATTGATTCCACTCTCTGTGCGCTAAAGATGGAAATATCCACCTGCCTGGGCTTAGCTTAGCACAAACACTGGAAGCAACCAGCCTGGCTTCGTAAAACTAATAATGATCAAAATCTACGCCAGCACATCCAAAGCATGTTTAATAAAATCTGTACACAGACTGAGTTATAGAAAAGACACGTTGAAGTTGCATGCTGTATATTCTGCCCATACACATTGACTGTTTAGAGTCTCTGCTGGTTGCCTGGCAACCTCAGGATGAGGATAAGACACCAATATCATCTCATTTGGGAAGGAAAAATCTAAAAACATAGTTTTAGCAAATTTGCTTAAAATAATGCAGTCTTTAAATGACAGCGGACCATGGTGCAAACCATGCTAGGGTGTGTCAACCATTTTAAACTATTTCCTGTATCTTTCCAGGCTTCCATCAATTTCCATACTACTGTATAGTAAATCTTATTGGTCCACTTCTAAAATTTTTTTGACCTGTAAGCGATGTGAGCAGCGTGTAGGTTGACAGTGAATCCTGTGCCCCTGGATAAAGACATCAGTGCTGAGCTGGTCCGGCTCGGTTAGAATTCCCAGTTCTGCTAATTAAAGCACTGTTACAGACAGAAGCTGGCACCGCAGACAGTTACATGCCCCGCAGAGCTAATTGTGGAAGAAAATTCTGTCTGAAGCTGGTGTGCTAGGACTTACAAACACAGGCTGATAAAGTATCTCCCCATGCTCTCTAACTACACTGCAGTTTCCAGAAGTCTGCGCTCGCTCTTCCCAATTAAGAAGCACAAACGCCAAAAAGTTGCCAAATATCATTTCAGAGCAAGCTACAGTGGGTGGGTAAAATCTGCACCGAAGCAGTTGTTGGTTTTCTTGGTTACTATAGGAACATGGTTAAATAGAAATTGTTTAGTTTGTAACTTTAAAAAAATTCTCTTTTGAAAATACTTTCAGCCATTCAGCCATTAAGAGAAATAAATGATGACATAGGCCTTAACAGTGAGGGACAGGTTTCCTGCATTGATCCCAAACAGAACATGAGGCTTAATAGTTGAAAAGATTTGTTAAATTTTATGTTATTTATTATTTTTTAGTGATTGTCAGGTATAGGTGTACCCTTTTGAGTTAGTCAGAAAAGGTGACACTGTACAATCAAACAACATAGTCCATATTTTAACTTAGTAATTGAAGTTATGGGGATGCATAGTTGGGTTGTCATTTGAGAATAAATATTTTTCTAAATGAGACAGACAGATTAATGTTCTGATGAGTTGACGCAGTTGGAGGTGACATTAAACCAAATGCTTTGTAGAAATTGCCATGGAAACTGGATGGCACTACAACTCATGTCTTAATAAGCTCCACAGAAACCGTGGGCAGCGCACAGCGGACTGATCCAATGGCTGATAACATTTACTGTAAATACAATTAAAACGTTTAGTTTAAAATATCATCCCAACTGGTTTTACTTCTTTCTTTTCCAGTCATTGGAGTGGGTTGAACAAGCTCGCAGTGCAGTTTCTTTAACGTTATTATATATATATATATATAATATATTGACCTTTTAGTGGAGATGAAAGAATGAGGCTCTACTCAAATCAATCCAACTCATAAATCCTTAATCCCACAGTGACAGGATCAGAAAATACTTGGGAAAAGAGCAAACAGCAGTGAAGATGTACGGCGCCATGTGGGCAAAACTGTAAAGCGTGTGTTGTCTGTATTTGTGAAGTCAAATTTTCCAGTTGGATTTAAAAGAAAATCCAAGAGTCATTCGAATTCTTGTAATTTTGAAACCCGTACCATCTGTAATTTGATTTTACCTGTTTAGATTTATATACTAGTCACATGGAACCACTTTGGTCTGCAGTCTAGACCAACCTGATCTCAACAAATATTGGATGGATTGGCCTGAATTTTTGTACACATGTTATTGGACCACAGAGAAAGAAGCCCACCGACTGGTGATCCCCTGATGATTATTCCAACATGACCCTGTAGAGTGATTTGTGGTCTTATTGTCTAAATGATCCCATTGTGTATTCTAATAATATACTTACTTACTGGCATTGAAGGCAACATAGTACGGGTATAATATAAGCCCCACGCGATTATCGTTAGCTTGGATGAGAAAGCTCTTCATCCTAAAACCACATGAGACCGTCCATGCACGTCTGCTCGGCTCCTACTCACGACCAGAGGGAGCTTCTGCCTTGTGTGATGACCCCTGTGAACTTTGTCAGCCTCCTGGCGTCCACCTCGAACCACTGCAGCGGGTCATCTATCCCAGCGCACCAGGCCCCGTCGTAGAGGTCGTCTTCATAAATGCCGGCCTGCAGACCAGAAACAGTTTTAATCCGGATGTCCATGTAGAAACACAAAGACACTGTCCTTGTTTGGTGCAACACGCTGGTTATTATTAACGGTAACTTCGTTGACTGAGCCGAGCTGTGCTGAGATGTTTAGATTTGGTTCTTTAAATCTGAAATAGGTTAATCGGGCTTTGAAAATGATGAAGAAGAGATGTTGATTGTACATTTAACAAAAGAGTTCCATGATACGAGGCCTGAGCATTCCGAATGTGAATGAACAAAAGCAAAACCCACGCCAGTGGCGTTGTGTCACATTAAGAAACATGGGACGCATCTGTTTCTGGGTGTTGATGGATGACACGCGAGGACACGTTTTCTTCACACTTGCTCGGCTCAACGGCTAAAATTTGAACCAATAATGAGCGAAATGCTGCTGTCTCCATGAAGCCTGGTTGGTCACATTGATCATCTCTTTCTGCACTGTGCATGAGTGCGTTCGGCAGTGACACTGACTCTGAGTCGTGACAGTCTCTTTGGAGAACGCAGCACTTATTTAACACGGTGGGGCTAATTAAACAAAGATCTGAACACAAATATATGTAACTTGACATCCTGAATCCAATTTCAACACTCTCACCTCAAAGAGGGGTTAATGGTTAATTGAGGTTCTGTGCAACTTTGATTTATTATACATAATTAATTTTTTATCAAAGTCTTTAATGTGGCAAATTAGTCCTGTGCTTGTGAACTTTCCTGGATCCCTGTGAGAAACCTCCAAGGTCAAATTGTGGTTATGCAATCTCACACGTATCTCATATCTGAACAAGCTGATTAGATGATCCAGCTTTGTGTCGGGCTGCAGGTTGGAAATGAAAAAGAAGCTCAAAATAAAGAGAAAACTAAATAATACCCCAAAGTTAAATTTAAGTGCAGCTATGAGAGACGCTGTAGCCTTAAGTATTAATGGTTCAGCAGCTCTGAACCAAATTCCCTAAAGCAAAAATGCATTTCCAGATTTATTGCTCAGTGATTTGTGAGCTTTGCAAATAAAATTCTCTGCCAAGGAAGGTTTCTTTTTTTCATCCCCTTTGTCTGTCAAATAGCAGAGCAGATCTAAAATATACATATTCAAACGCATTAAATGGAAATATGGAGACGGTCCTCCCAATGACCACTAGTGCCAATCCCTATACAGGTGCAGACCCATCTTCAGATGTTGTTACTTCTGAAAATATGTCACAAATATTAATTAAAATCAGAATCATCAAGTTTGCAGAGGGCGTTCAGTCTAGAATTTCCATTGCTCATCTTTTACTGTGAAGATGAATCTCCCTGAAAACGTAAAATTCATCACAGAACTTTTGGTGTCTGTAAACTAAACAGACTGTAGCAGCTCTGAAAAGAAGCGAGGCATAAAGCGAGCTCACTGGCCACAAGCTGGATCCCACCGGCAACATCTGCCTTCTAGGTTGTTTCGCCTAATTTGCAGTTCTGGACACCATCTCTTCCCCTCTATGATTCCTGACAGGCGCTCACATACATGTACGTGCACCCAAACACCCAAACACACACACACTAGCTGAAGAACAAACACTTTGTTTTGGGAATTTCCTGAAGCACAATGCCTTGCCTTGTGTTGAGTGGATTAAGAGCATGTGTGTGTGTGTGTTTGTGTGTGTGTGTGTGTGTGCGTGTGTCATTAATTGTTTGCAGCAGAGCCCACAGAGAACGAGGCCCGCTCCACACATGCAGAGACCCTCAAAGCGAAGCTCGCACTAACAGGAAATACCTCTTCTCTCAAATGCCAATTCTTCCTGTGAGGTTTGGGGATGTGCCCCGGGTTCGATGGCATATTACATTCTCTGTTGATGAGCTTTTGGAGTATTAAAAATCCATATTTTTACAGAGCAAGAGCCAGTTAGCAGCCAACATCTTTCGGTGGAGAAAATTAAAAGATGCTATCTCTGGATCACATTTCCTTTGTACTGGAAAAAAAAAGAAAAGAAAACGAAGCGTTGACTTCCCAAGACGGCTGGAATTGCTCGGGGGAACTATGCAAGCTCCTTCTGCTCAGCTTTCCCAAACTACCAACACTTTGCATTGCTGTCTTACCTGGATGTTGAGACGACCTCTGTGTGCTCCAAGGCCGTAGCGTTTTGTAGTTGAAGCGTGAAGCTGGAAGTCATCAATCCTCAATGTCTCCAGTCCCATGGGAGGGCATTCTGTTTCACCAGAATGACACATATCTATTGTTAATGTTGTGTGTGTGTCACGTGCCGAACGGCTCCAGGAGCATTGTTTTGTGCACAGTACAGCTCGTCACTCTGCAACTGAAATCTGCAACTGAACTGTGTAATGTAGTCAAAACAACAGGCCGATCATATAAAACACCCAATTTAGAGCAGAACGTAATTGTTTGGATAGCGGATCCTCATTCTGACTCCTTAAAGGCGTTTAGGAGACAAAAAAAAGACTTAAGCAATCATCGAGTCTGTGAAACACTTCACACTTCAGTCTGTAAACAACTCATTTCTGCAAGTGGGTTTTTAATATGATGACACGTGTCCTCATGGATGATAAATGACTCCACAATAAGCACATTTTTCAACGCACACCTTTCACAGCTTTTATAGCTGCGCGCCTGGATGCATACCTAAACGTTCCAGATGACAAGGGACAAAATGTGAAATATCAGCAGCTATAATCTCCAAACCTGTTGAGCATGTTCAAAGGTGTTGGCAAAAAGATATATATTCAGATCAAAGGTTTTAGATAACTCAAAGGCATATTCTTATTGCCTGACCACTGCAGGGGGGTTTGGTGCCAGTCCTATTAGCAGAAATTGGATATGCTGACAGACGGGTCAAAATCATAAGACGTTTTGATTCCTCGAGACCTTTTGTAGCACATAGTTCCCTTAGAGCACTGCAGCTATTTTAAATTGCTTTTTTACGACAGATAGATACAAAAAAATGAGAATATGAAGCAGCAGAGAAGGATATGTCCTGACTGTAAATTCATTATGAATCAACCTCATACATGTGCCATGAAGCCACCTTATAATGCCTTTTTCCACAGCCTTCTTTTCCAGCCCAAAGATAAAATAACCCCGATGACATCACCATGACACACTGATATACACGGTTATTTCTTCCCAGACTTATCTCTCAGACTTGTTTCCACTTCACGATCACGTCGTCATCAATAAAGATATTAATACACGACTTTAGCTACACAAGTTATCCGAGGCACATCGAGACTGAACAGTTTCAAGAGTATGGTCTTTCTGGCTGAAGCCAAAGCTTTAATTCGGCGATCAGCAGTCATAGATGTAACTAATCTACTCTGCATCCTCCTTCAGTGCCTTTAAAAGCTGCACATCGCTTAAGAATGTTTTCATTTGCTGCTGGAGGGGGCTCGCAGCACATTTGAACAAACGCCTGTCTTTAAGCGATAGCAGGAACTCACTCGTGTGAGATTAGCTCATCTTTTCACACTACAGTGAATATCAGGCAGTGCGTGCCAAATGAGCAGATAAAGGAGGATGTGTGAAATCCCCAATGCCCACCGGCTATTTGGGTGGGACCATGTTTTTCTGTTTGTGGACATCGACCCGGGATAACGGCGATGGGATTTTCCCAGCAAGGATTTTCTGATCAGTCGGCGGTGAAAAGACAGACACAGAGACATGAAAAAATACATTTTTCTGAAAAGATGTGCTGATTGTAAACGTTTTCGATCAAGCCAGTGATTAGGCCGCTTAGCTTAGTGTGCATAGTGACTCCGTAGAGCAATAAAACCCACTGTGATCATACGTGAGCGTGTACTCCTTTATTTAAAATCCCTCTGGAATCAAACACCCTTTAAAACCACAGGCTTTCTGAAAGGAGCCATTACATCAGGCACATCCTGGTCTTTGAGGCCTCCTCCCAAAAAAAAAGCGCTTGCCGACACTGGTCCCTGTGGCCATAAATGACATTACAGGATAAAAGCTGGAAACATGGAATTCTGAACAACTTGCTTTAATGCATGCGCCCAGTGAACCACTTTTAATGGCCCCACAAGTCAGAATTTACAATGTCTTGTGGTAACATTTCAGTTTTGCAATAAAGCCACTGAAAAGTGGATCCGTGACGTTCTACAAAATTGACTCTGCTTCTGCAGCTTGACTCTGCAGATGTGAAAAAATGCGATATCTGTGCAGACACATCTTGTTTCAAAGCATTTCTGTTAGACTGATGGAAATAATAAAGGAGGCATTAGAACATCTGCTGGATCAAAAGTCTAAGACCTGTGTTTTATTAATTCCGTATTGTTTTGGTATGTGTCCATGAGGCAGTCGCTGAGGTTCTGCTGCACATCCAGCAGCTCTTCATATAGAAAGTGCATGATCCCTACATTTTAATAAATCAGCTGGAGAGGCCCAAACAGATTGATGTTGAGTCAGTTTCAACTGTGAAAGCATGATTTTGGGAGCCTAATCCTTCCTGATCTGGACTTTGCTCTTCTGTGTGCCAGTCGTGTCCCCATGGAGTTTCCCATTTTCCATCATGCAAGACCATCCACATTTCTGCTCCCATTCCTGAGTGCCAAATTAAAAAACGGCGGCTTCTTAAGCTCGAATATAAACGCATGAATTCAAAATATGCCACCGCAGCCTCTCCTAAGCTTCGAGAATAATTCAATACAGCTCCTCATTACGCAAAGAAAAATGTCTGACACCGTGTAAATAAGTCTAATGGGGGCGGCATCACAACGGTCAGGGCTGCGGAAAATCTGGAATCAATGCACATGTTGCTTTGCCCTAAATCACGCGCTTGGTTCATCCGCCGTCTGACGTGGCAGGAGGGGGGCATTCTGGCTTCAGTTTAGCAGATGTATCACGCACCATGGAAACCAAACACAATGCTTCATAGGCAGAGAAGACATCCCTCCCTCTGTGGCTTGGACTCCACCTCTGAGAGCATCGTCTTATATTGCTAGACTTTGTTTTTTTCTGCCAGGGGAAAATATGCTCTCTGAAACACCCTTCTCCTCTCCAAAATATTTGTCATCTCTGAGAGAGTTTGTTGTTTTTCTCCTTCATCTTCAACGGCTCGCGTGAAGGCGGGCGCGTTGGGAGGGAAGATGAATTCTCATGAGGTCATGAATTTCCACATAACGAGCGAGGGTGTCAGCGTTTTCACTCACCCTCATTCATCGAGTTGTACTGACGGCCTCCGTCTGAGGTGCCGGTTGCGCTTTTCGCGGCGCTCTTCTTGCTCTTCTCTGCCTTTTTGTTGGGCGTTTTCACTGAGGGAGGAAGGACATTACATCAATGCAGGAACGGAACGTCACCTTAAAATCACTTTAAAATAACGTTGATTTACTGTTGAGTGTTGTACACGTGTAAGGAAGAAGGTAACTCAGTGTTCAAATCAGTCGTAGAAGCAGCCTGCAACACGAGGCAGGATGGAGGCAGGAACCACGTGGTAGAAATGCTTCTCACATCTGAAAGTCTTTAGCCTCGTTTCATTCCGGGAACAGGTTCATTCTCAGGTCCAGGCTGCGTATGTGGTTCAGCGCAACAGATATGAAAGGCTAGAGATGTTGGCTCAGGATACGAGGAGATGCGATTGTGTCGGGGAGGTGAGGGCCATGTTCACAGCAACTTCAGGTTCATCAATGTACCACAATAGACAGTTTATAGAATATCTCAAAACATATTTTTTTCAAGACCATTACCGAGAACAGAAATCGAGACCCTAGGTTTCTATTACAAGTTCATTTTTGAAATGAATAAAGATACACAGCAATTACCTTTGGAGCGATATGATAATAAAATCCCCAATTTATTGATTGTTTTGTCTTATTGTATGTACAGTGGACCATTGAACCAACCATTTTATAAAAATCAACTTGCAACTTTTAACACCAAGTAATATTTTAAGCAAAAACTTGCATGCCGGCACACTGTCATCTTGTGGTGACACCAATTCACAAAGTTTGTTCCAGAGTTTCATCAGAACTTCAAGTTTCTAACTCAACTATATGGTCACAATAACTACTATCCATCTGAAATTATATTTACCTGTTTTTCCATCAGCAGTGGTTTTACCCGTCTGCCTGCCGCTGCCTGCATCTCCCTTGGGCGCTTTCTTGGTGGGACTCTGGCTCGGCTGCTCGTGCATGTCAGGTGTCGAGGCCGCAGGCTTCTCCTGCACCCGCACCTGGTTGAGCTGCTCTCTGGTCAGCAGCTCCTGCATGTAGTAATCCTCGTCCTCGCCGGCGAAGCCGTGGCTGAGGTCTGCGAGCCCCACGAGGAGTCCCAGCAGAGCCAGGGGGGTCAGGAGGCCGAGGCGCTGCCCTGCCATGACCCGACGCCGTCCCATCCACTGCTCCCTCTCCTCCGTCTGCCCTCCCGCTCCGACGCCGAGAGTTCACAAAGTTCTCTGAGCGCTCAGAGTCACTGGGAAAAAAAGCAGCGGAGCCAGAGGGTCCATGGACGCCTCGGTCTGGGAAAAATGCAGTGAGGGAGGGAGAGACTGCAGCGAGCAGGAGACGAGGAGGGAGAAAGGAGAGGGGGAGAGAGAGAGAGAGAGAGACAGACAGCACAGATCTCTCCTTTAGTCAGATGCTGGCAGGTGAGTCTAAAAGAAGCACTTCATTCCGTCTGCCGTTCGGATCCAGAACCATTCCAAGCCGCTGACACATTGCACCCTCGTCTTATTATAATATACGTCTCTCTGAGAAACACACATGACACATTGAGGATCTGCTTTCATCTCCATCTCCTCCCACTCTGTCTGGGGCAGGCTTTAACCAGAGGGAATCAACTCGGGGGCTGCTCTCAACCAGTTCCGTTCTGTTCCAGAAGGAGTGGCGCAGGCAGGGTGGTGAGGTGGGGGGGGGGGGGGGGGTTTAGTTCCCACGGACAGAAAAAAAACAAAACAAACACTTGCCCCTCATCTTCACCCCGGGGGGGGGGAGGGAAAACCAATAACAATTAAACCCCTGCTTTTCATGGAGGCATTTTGTGAGGCCGTCCCTCGTTCCTCTCCAGCCCTGCCTGGCCCCCGTGGAGGGATTTAACGCTTAACCAAGCCGCTGGATCGGAAAGGAAAGGACCCGACTCTGTGCGGAACGTGCCGTCCGACTGGATGCCCAATGTGTCACGCCTCATCTCGTCAGCCCCGTCGGTTCATCGTGTTGCGTTCCGCTCCTTCCCCCCCTCACACTCCACTCAGCTGATGGAGCCTCACTTTCCCAAGAAGACCATAATAAGCCTAAAGCCAACACACTCCAAAACCAACCAAAACCATATTTCTCCAGCTAGAAGGATTTATCTTAAACATAGATGAAGGATGTGTTGTATTTGGCTTCCCGAGCAGCATTTGCAATTCATTTCTGAGCAGAGGCTTTGGAGTCTAGCCTTCAGGCTTAAAGTTGTCCTGAGGAGAAGTAGGATTCCACCAAACATTTGCACAACTAATAAGCACAGCTTCTGACATTTAGTCGACCCGAGGCGAGACACACCACGGCAAGGATAATAATTCCCTAGCAAGCCTGCCCGATTCAAGCGCGCCGCTTCATTACATGTAAGCGACGTGGACGGACACGGCACACGGAAGGACTCTGAATAGGTTGTATGGAAATCAGACTCTACACCTGAGACTGATGGCTTGTGAATGGTGCTGAAAGAGGCCCAGGCTGCAGGCTGAACAAGGTTCTTGAAGTGGGCGACACCTGGAGGGGTACCAGGCTCTTGTCTCCAGTGTTTTCACAGCAGAGATTGGGGTTGTTTGGCCCCCCCCCCCCCCCCCCCTTTCCTTTCCGCATCCAGACAACACCCATCCTGGACGGTCTGGGTGGAGGAATGAGGGAGGAAAAATCAGGAGCAAAACAAGCAAGGCAGCCAGGAGAATTGTAGTGTTTGACCTCAAAGGCTTTTAAAGCTTGAAATATTCTCCACTGTGTCAGGTTCCTCCAAATGCATGGCGACACGGTCGCTGTGGCACGTCTAGGGGCGGATCTGCTTCCCAGGAGAGATTCATGTGCAAAGGATTTTAAGACTGACATTTTTCACCCGAGAACTGAATGGGTTCTGAATTTCTCGCCATTTTTTTAAATGTCATCATCAAGCAACTTGTCCAGTTATGTTTTGACAAATGACACGACATAATCTTGTCAGTATACAGGGGTTACTTTTTTCAAAGGCCTAATGTACCACTTACATTCAGCTCCGACCTCCTGAGGCCTTGTAGGAAGTAGTGTGACCCGCACCTGGGAAGTCTGACTACCATATATTCCAATTAGAAGGCAGGAATGTTGCCCATTCTTTGCTTTGCTGTTTTTGAAAAAAATATGTTTGCAAATATTTTTCCCCCAGCATTTTCCTGCCCTGTTTTGCAAAAAATATTTCTTGTTGTTTCCTGTTTGCTTGCAATTTTATTGTGATAAATGCCCCATAAACTAATTACTGCTGCTGTGGTACCCAAAATAAATGCTCAGAGCGAAGAGAACCCCATATCTGGACAATATGCAATTTCCAATGGCTCCTCGTGATCCCAGCACACACATGGATTTTGCAAGATGCAAACTGCAGTCTAGAAGTTACTTAGCCACGGTCAACATGTATTAAAGCGTGACACGTTTGAGACAGACAGAATGTCTGCATTAATTCACCTGCTACAGTAGTAGTAAGCAGATCAAACAGCGGCTTACCCGGCTGGGGAGCTGTTGTGACAATAGCTGTCCTTCTCGGGGGAACCAAAGGTGGGAGAGTGATGGCGCCTGCCTCTCCCCATAATCTCTTACGGGGAGAACGTCCTCGGCTGAATTCTCATTAATTGGACGTCAGGGCTCAGAGTGACAAGCTGGGGGCTCGCTGACAAATACCTCCCTGCTTGTTTTGCACCTCGTGATTGATGAGAAGAGGGGGACTCGTCTGAGGGTGGAAAGAATGATGTAAGATGGTTCTGAATGTAAAACAGGAAAAAGAGCTGGGTGTTCTCTGACAAATGTGTTAGTGAGGACTTGCACTTTTACTAAGAAAATTCAAACACAATCCCGCATTCTTACCTAACTATGCTATTTAGTGATTAACGTGTGCAATCTCACACATTCTGTACGCACGTAGACAAATCTGTAAGCGCGCAAACACTGTTTGTGATCATCCATCAAACACGAACAAACAGGTGCACCCGTGGGTGACAGGGACAAAGACTTATTTTGTTTTTCATTTAAATGTGCACCAAAATCAGTATGACACATCTATGGCTCCTTTATTGCCACTACTTTACATCATGTACATTTCATTATGGATGAATCTCAAACCCTTGATGAAATTGATGCTGCCAATGTTTGGATGTCACGTTGGGGCGACGTCAGCGTTAACGATATTGACAAGGAACAAGTATAAGGCCAGTTCCACCGTCGTTCTGGGGCTTTGGAGGTTTGCAATGCTATGGATTTTTTAAAAGGACATTAAGAAACTAAATATATTTCTGTATAATTCTAGTTTCAAATTATATCTTTGAAGATTTCTGATCTCAGAAGCAGGGAAAAGGCTGGTTTTTGATCAAAGCAGTACTTCCCCTGTGTCCATGGAAACCGTGTGAAACGTGGCAATTTGCTAGACCGGCACACACACACACACACACACACACACACACACACACACACGCACACACACACACACACACACACACTGCAGTGTTCCTTAAAGTCTGTGTCAGCTAATGCTTTCTGGTACTTTTTTATACCCAACGAAAAAGATATAAGCCTATTTTATCGGTTTGAATATGGTCGATATTTCAAATGTTTTAACTTAGAGAAGCCGGATTGCGCCGCGCAGCACTGCGGTGGGGATGTTTGTATTACAGTGTCTCGTGCTCAAGCAGATTGTTTTGAAGCTGTTTCACATCCACTTTCCTTAGATGTTTTTATGAGGACGTTTTACACTTGATCCCGATTAGCAAAGCACAGCGAGAAGCTTTTTTTCTTTTTTTCTCTTCGTTTTTTTTTAAAAACATATTCAGAATCAAAGCAGATTTTAACCGGATATTTTATGAAATTAGAGTTAGCAGACCATTTCTACTAACGATAGAATAGCACAGCCAGTGACAACTTACTGTGTGATATCGACAAGATTTTTGGATGATATGAAATGCAATTTCTGAATGCTTGACATTGAATTAGTCCTTCAGGCGTGTGTTTTCACTCGAAGGCTTTTTCAAAATGATCCACAATAGCGTAAGAAAAGATTCATACGGAAGCCGGTTGCGCTTACAGGACAGTAACCTTACACTTATACTAAAATATTTGACATATTAAAGCTGCTTTTAGCCATATTTGTATATTAAAAAATGGATAAAAATGACTATGTGCATGCAAAGGCGGCCACTTGTAATGCCATACTTAGTGGAGAGCCAAACAGAGCAGAAATAAATGAGGTAAAGTTTGTTGTTTGTTGAGTTTGCAATGGCATCTTAAAAAGGTGATAATAAAGTGTGATGTTGTTTTTTTTACATTTTTTTTCTGCGACCACTTATTGGCCAAAGTAAAAACTTGCATCTTACAGCTTATAGCCTGCAAGTTACTGACAATATTCCTTTTGTAAATGTTTTTTTGCCAGTATTTGAACAATAGAGTGTCACCATGCACAGCTGTCTCAGCAGGCCAGTTGGGACTGAAAGAACTTGGACGTCTGTTTCTTATACTGGCAATATCCTGCGTTTAGGGTTTTCTACCTTCTGCATTGGCTCTGTCCAGTTCTAAAAACCTATTTTGATCCCTGGAGAAACTATTTCATGTGTCATAGTCCTCCAAGTTATTCACTTTATTGCTGTTTGCGGTTTGGGGAGATTGTAGGAATGTTTTCCCTTGGAAGGCGTTTGGGTGATGAAAATGCTCTTTATCCATGAATTACAATCAGACCTCAAGCTGCCCTGTAACATTGTCAGTTTTCCTGCTCGCTGGCTGGGATACGGACCCGTTCTTTCAGCACAGCCTCGCTCAGTTTCCTCCCTAAAAACTCTCCCTTCCTGAACACCTGTGTTTCTAATTATTTGTCCACATTCAACGGGACATGCTCCAGCTGAGTGGGACCAAAAAAGACCAGATGTTTGCAACAAACAACAGTGACAGTTTTTTATTTCAATGGCAATAGATTCCTAAACTTGTAAACTTGTACAACACAAGTTGCTGTAGTATTTATTTATTACTGTGTAATTGATTTATTTGTCTGTGCAAACTTTTAGAGCTTCTTCTTCTGCTTTTCAGGGAAGTAGAAGTCATCACAAAAATCATGATTTCTTCAATGCATCATGGAGGGTTTGATAATACAGATGTGTTCAGGGTTTTGACACTAAAGCAGTGGTCCTCTTAGGAACATCTGGTAGTTTAGCCGTGGCATGAGACGGCCCGCCCAACCACCAGATGTAACCACATTAGAATTCTGTACTATCCTTGTTGTGAAATGCTTGGCCGGGCTCTCTGGGGGGAGTTGATGCAGAGCAACGGCCCTGGATCCATTGAACCTTGTTGAACAATGACCATCCGGCGACGGGACAAGCTGCCTAAGAGGCCATCAGGCAAAAAGCAGGGAAGAAACATCTGGTTTAGCACGTCGTCTTTTGTTCAGGGTTTGACCTGGTAAAAATAGCCTAATTGACTAACGTAGCCACATATTTCGAGACTTGCCTGTACGGAACACTTAGGACAAATAAACGATGCAAACGTGTGGTAAAAGGAGTAATTCACGATCACAGTGTAGAAAGAGGCAGGACAATCATTGACTACTAGCTTTACATGGGAGCATTCCTATTTCTAAAATATGTGTCCAAAAGAGATACAACTGCATAGCCCTGTATATCACAAACAGATGTTTTAGGGGCTGAGCTTCTGATATCCCACACATTATACAACTGAACAGGACATGCGGTATCTTGCAGCTTAATATCCTCAATTGCTATTGGAGTACAGAGTGTAATAGAAAAACAAAACAGAGAGTACTCATTTCCACCAACAAATCTCACCCACTTTTTATAAATATGCGTTTGTTTCCTGCATTCCTCCTGTGTTCTATCATCAACGGGCACGATTGGTCCTCAGGCAGCCTTTTGAAATACTGAATAACTGGCGAGCGATCAGAGTAGTCAGGCAGGCGTGATGGATCAGCCAATGTTTGTTACTTAAACTTGTTTGTCAAAGTCTTTCTTGCTTGTTATCTCACGACGCTCTCCATTAATCATTGAAAACTGTTTCTGTTACGCAGAGCCGAGATCTTTATTCTCATGATTAAGCCTGTTTGAAAGGATCATGCGAGAGTGACGAGCAGGAGATGTGGTGAACATGCTGGTGGTCTATCACAGCGTTTTCTTTCCTTCTCGTCGCGGCCAGAAGGCCTTAACCTCAGGAAATTAAATGTGTGTGCCAAGGAGTGGCTTCTGAATCTAAAATACCCGAGAAACCGGTTTACAGACATCCAAAAAGTCCACGGAATTTAAAGTTAACCGGAGTCGGAGTGCTACTTGACGAGGAGCGTAAATGAACGTGGTTGGATTCCACGTTGAAGAGAGAATGCCTCTCAGCTGAAGCCCGGCTGCAACGCTCATTCAAACCGACGGAGCAGAAATGGACCTGGGGACAAAGTTTCTCCCACGCGGCAAACATCCTGCTGTGAATCCAGCAAACGCGGCTTCCATGTGACGCCCAGTATTACAGGCTCAGGGAAAGCCACCGCCAAGCTGTCGGCCTCTGGACGCCTTCTTTCAAGGAAGGAGGATCACGGGACAGAGACAGCTTACAGGTTATCACAGGTGCCATTAGATCAATAGCTCCTCTTAGGTACAATTTAAGCCAGCAGCACTCATGGTGCTTTTTGTTGTTGTTAAATCGACGATGCAATTGTATCTCCAATCATTCTAGGAGAGGTCTGTCCAAAGTCCAAAGGCAACGCCGCTTTCTGCTTTCTTCCGTGTCGTTGGTAGCTCATCTTCAGCGGCCCCGAGCACTTCAAAAAAACCTGCTCACAACCACAGCGTGTAGTTTGATTTCCACAGAAACACTGTTATTTGCAGTAGTTTAGATCTCAAGCAGTAGCAGTGCATTTCAATGCGGTCCCGAGACGCAGGAATGTTTTAGATGTTCATGTTCACAGGATCAATTAGTTTTCTTTGAGGTGTCTTTAAACCCAAAAGTTTACTAAAGGCCAACTAGAAGAAAACAAATAGGTTACAACTTAACAGCATTGTGGGACACGCACACTGGTTTTTAAACGGCGAGCGCTCCGTTGCCTTGACGATTCTGAATTATTCAGCCTGCACTGATTGAACTAAGTTGTCTTTTGGATGTTTATTTTTCATTTTTTCTGAATTTTCTTTGTGAATTTTCTATGCTGCTGATTTATGACAATGGATAATGTTTATGTTTGTTTTTTTTCTCCCACAAATGAGGTTCCATTGCCTCACTGCAATTGAGGTAAATGTTATGTAGCTATTGCCACATGTAAATATTGTTATGCATACAGTCCTTTTTAGTTCATTCATACAACACAGCATGAAATTATATTTAAATTAAAAAATTATATGTGTGGGGTTTCGATCACATACAACGTTGGGAACATTTAATCTACTGAGCTGCTGGTTCATGGCTTGAACAGCATTAAATTAAGCTAATTTCCATCTACTGATGGCCATCTGATTTTGAAATGACAAAGTTGTTAATGTCTTTGCATAGGTTTCATGTTGATTAGACTACAAAGAGTACAATTTGCAGCACAACATACATAACTCAAGTCACATAACTCAATTATCAACTCCAGCCATAGAAGTCAACGCGTTTGCACGGAGGCAACGCAAAGGAATGTGAGACAATGGGACGTAAACGTGTGTCTCAAAGAGTCTCTGGAGTCTCTCAGCGGTTGTAGTTGTCTGCTTTCCGGGTTTTTGACTGAGCTCATCTTTGGACCAGAGAAGTGTTGATGATGTTGGTGAGATCGGGGAAATTCCAGTAGGTCGGAGGCTCTCATTGTCAGACACACCGTAAAACTCCGAACACAACGTGCAAATTACTCGCAGTCTCTTATAAATCCCTGTTGTCTTGATTTCAGAGGAGAGAGTCATTAAATCTGCTGGCATTTTGAGATTGTAAAACGAAAAGGCTGCATTCCCCTTTTTGAAAACAACAAGAAGAAAACTGGGATCACTCGTTGTTTAATAAATATGTGTGCTTGCAGGTTTCCTCTTAATTATGGAAGGAGAGAGAGAGAGTCCTGTAACTCTTTTTCACCTCTTTCTGTTTTAAAATTCAGGCCCATTTTTACGATACTCAGCACACTATGTCATCTGGAAGTTGATTCCAGGTCAACTGTGCGGTACTTACTAAATGCTCAAAGTCCAAGTTTTTAATGTTTATTGTTAAGCCTCGTCTGCCCTCTGGTGTAGAGACAGTGTTCAGTCATCTTCAGTGTCTCAATGTCTCAAAGTATTTTTTTTCCTCCCTTTAAAATGTTCAATGGTTTGTCCCCGGCTTATATTTTAACCCGCGGCAGCTGTGTTTCTCTGTAGGGGATTTAAACATTTAATTCAAGCGTGTCACTAATTGTTATCTATTCATTGTTTGTGACAGCCATTCAACAGTGGGAGAGGAAACCGTTCTGGAGGCTTGATCCGAGTGATCACTGCCTTTTTAGCTACATTTATCAACTTTAGTCCGAAAATAATATTTGTTGTTTAGAATTTGCTTTTGATATATTTTATTATTCACATGAAACATGCTATCTGAAATTTGCATTTGATTTTCTTTAATGTTTAGCTTTTGGCCTGCTGCTATTGGTATGAGCAGTTGCAATTACGTGTAATTTCCAGTAGAGGGCAGTGTTATGTTACAAAACTCATGCTCTTATTACAGATTCATAAATGCATCCTTTTCTCAGTATGTTTTAGTGGATTCTAATGAATCTTGAAGGGATTTTATCTGCTCGGACATATTCCATTAATGTCAGACAAAGAAGAAAAAAACAATTAAAATAGATATGATCTTAATATCTTTTAATTAATCAAACCAAAAAAAGACAGGACTCAGTTTTAATAGCTTTGAATTCACTATTTCATTTCATCCGGTCCCGAAAAACCACATACAATCAAGACTCGCCAATATCTCTTTTTCTCTTAAATGCATTCTCTCATTCTGTCACACACACAAAATCATCACTCTCTCTTGTGCTATTTGCTATCTTTGATTTATCTCTGCTTTTATAACTTAGAAAATAATTTATATATATAAAAAAACAGATTTTTCATGGGCACTTATGAGAGAGGAGGCTCAAATGAAGGGTCTGGCTGACACATCAGTGGTTTCTAAACGGTAGTAAAAGGTAGGTGGGTGGTTCAGTGTTCGGAGGTGCTCTCCCAGGAGAAAGACTCATTCCGCAGGACTTTGGCCAACTTCTCGTTGAACGGCGTGTAGAAATCCCTCAGGATCTCTTTGGTGATGGGCAGCATGGGACCCAGGTTTTTGTCAGCCGGCCTCCTGGTATTGGATGCTGGACTTCTCGTGATCTCTGACTCTTTTTCTTTTGTCAGAGGCCCTGTAAAAAAACACACACACACAAACACTCCTTTCACATCCCTCCTTTCTGGGCCACTTCAGATTACCGAAAATGCAGTTAAAAGGACTCGACTGTGTACCAGCCGGGCTCTGAGCGGAGGATTTGAGGCTGTGGGCCGTAATCGCGTCTCGGCCGGTCGCCGTTGGCAGCTCTTTGAGGAGCTAAGCCAGAGCTTTGGGGCAACTCCACTGTGGGATGGACCGGTGACACATGGGGCTTCCAGACTACTGGGCAAGACCGGAGCACACTGGCCTGCTACTTGAATCCATCTAGTTTACCCCCCAAGAAAAGGCTGATACATGAAGAACAACACTCAACCTTTCACTTCATACACGACTGAAGCACTACAAAATCAACAGGCTTAAGGCTGTGCATGCAAGGCTCTTCGTTAATCGGCAGACACTGCGATCCCCTAATTACCTCCCTTGAGGACTTTTAACTACACTGCTTTTTCGCACATCACACAAGTCTTTAGTGATGTCTTAATTGTATTGATCGGGGCCAAACAGAGCGAGTGATTACCGACCAGGATCTTGTGCGCTAATGTGTCGCTTGCTCACCCAGGTGCAGGAAGTCAAAGACTTTGTGCATTGTGTATTTCCTGTTGGAGGCATGGTCTTCCAACCGCAGGACCAGAATCTGTTCCCTGCTGAAGACGGTGAGCCAGTCCATCAAGTACACGATGTACAGGCCAACCTGCAGCCTGACCTGAGGACACAGAACGGATCAGAATCAATGCGGTGAAGACATGTACGGTGGCTGAGTGGAAGGACACGGGGGGGGCATGCGGGGGGGGGGCATGCGGGCATGTGAGCGTGTGCTGGTATCGTGTGGTGTGTGTGTGCGTGCGTCGTTGGTGGATTTGAGAAGTTTCTTTTCGGAATCAGAACAACTGCAATTCATCACTTTGTCACTTGTCACTTTGTCTCTTGTCTGTTACTTGTTTGTTAGTGCACTTTATGCTTAATACTTTTCTTTTTAACTTTTTAATATTTAAAATTTGTTTAACTTTATTCCCTTGTTTTTTTACTAACCCATAGCCTTAGCCTTATTCTTACTAACCCATTGCATTAGCATTTCATTCCACTTTATTTTATTACCTGTGCACTGTTGTCTTGTCTGTCTACTGTCGCGCACTAACCGCCAAGACAAATTCCTTGTATGTTTGACATATTTTGGCCAATAAATGTTTCCTGATTCCTGATTCCTGATTCCTGAAGCATTCGCAAATTGTGTTTTCTCATACGTGACGATGTGTTGCTGTTCTGTTTAATACCAAAAGCAGAATATCTTTGGGTTTTTGACAGAAAAGATGTCTCCTTGGTAACTTGTTGTGGGTGTCCTTCAAAATAAATCTGAAACGATCCCAAAACAAATCCATTGGCCGCTGGTGTTCGATGTAGAGATCTGACAAACTGGCTTGCATGTAGCCCAATTGTTTTTGAAATAGAGATTTACACACGAGGCCTTTTGCTTCGTCCAAAACCTTTTTGGAAAGATCAGTGGATGGTTGACGTTTAGCGCCAGCGGTCCAGTGAGAGCGCTCTCAGAGGGCCACAAAGCTCACCGAGTATACTGGCGGCGCTGCAGCGGGCGCCAAAAAGAGGACGGCCTCCTCCTGCCCCCCGCCGGTCTGCCTCAACACCCGGTGGGAAAAGCTGACCGGGGGCCCCAACACCGGGGCCCTTCACCGCCTGACACTAAGACTGAGTGCTTTTTTGTGAGTAAAAAAAAGAACTTCACGCCTCTGAACTTGGTTTTTAAACACAAAGCGGCGGCTCCAGACACTGCGTCGCTAAACGCCGGCCCCTTTCAGACCGTCCGCCCCGCGAGTTTTAGCGTGCCGCTGCTGGAGTGTGGATTTCACCCGCTTTTGTCTCTATTTTGTTTTGTCCTAAAAAGCGGCCTTCTGAAAGGCTGCGGCGGGACGTAAGCAGCAGCAGCAGCAGCAGGAGGAGGAGGGGGAGGGGTTGGGGGCACTCACTGGCATGGCGTTGTTGACGGTAGTGTTGTAGACACAGGAGCGCATCGTGTACTCCGTAAGGCACCCTTCGAATAGCTGCAGCGACTCTGACACCTTCTCGTGGAAATCCTCCGCGGACTTGTTGGAAATGCCGAAGTAAAGGTAGTCTGAGTAGAGCCTGCGAGAAAATGGAGACACATTTTGAACGTGAAACCCAAAGATTTCACTTTGCTGAAAGACTGTCTCTCAGGATTTGACCAACAATCTATTTATTCAGATCCAGCGTATGGCAAATCTCCGAGTGGAGGCGTCAAGTGCAACTAGAGGGCAACTGAGGATATGAGTGGATGTGGAGACAGATATCAACTCTGAGAATATAGCAACATGAATAATCGTTTTGAGTGTTAATGAACAATTTAACAGAAAACAGCAGTAAGTCCGGATGTAATAAAGGCGTGAGACACGTATGGGGCGCTGTTTGTAAATTGTTGCACGTCCCCGAATCCTGCGCAGTTTTGGTACATTTAGGAACTTTGGTGGGGTTTTCGTGGCGTTGGGGGGTCAGTCACCTTTCCACCGGGTCCCTGAGCATGATGATGAATCGGGCGTCGGGCTGCAGGGCGTGGACGAAGTCCTGGATGAGGAAGGGAGGCTCTCCCTCGCTGGTGTTGTCGTAGAAGTACACCCAGGCGTTGTTGTCCCACATGGTGGACGCGCTGGCTTCTCCTGCCAAAACCAAATGTATACACAAAGACCCGTTTTCACAGTGTCTCTCACTCATTTGATGTGTGTTGTTGAAGACTCAAGATTTGTAGCACATTGTATTCAAACCACAAGTAACTGAAAAATAAAAAATGACAAATATTTCATGGATACAGCTACTTTAATGTGAGGATTTCTTTTTATATTATTGTCAATTTAATGTATTTTCCGTTATATATTATTATTACTAATGAATAAATCAAGAGTAGATCCATCAAGAAATAAATTTTTTCAATGAAGACAGTTATTATATATCTTAAAAAAAAAATCAAAATAATAATGTAATAGTTAATAGATGAAAGTATGTTTTTTTTATATAATATAATTGCAGAGCAGTAACTACATCCGCCAAGTCAGTTCAACGGTCTAAGTGCAACAACAACTCCAGCTGTGGGTGAAATAGTGGAGAAACCAGTCGCTCATGACGAGTCAGAGGACGTCCATCTCCCAAACAATGCGAGAGCAGGAACTTTATCAGGCCGCGCTGACAAATGATACCCAGGACTCATTAGGCTGTCTGTGCCTTCATTATGCTCTTATCTGCCTGAGTGAAGCTGTGATGCATTTGCAGGGAACGCAACTCAGGCCTGATCCGCCTCCAGCAGTGAGAGTGGAACCGGATCGCTGCTAATGCCGTGCTTGAAATGATACACGCCGATCAAGTCTATTTAAAGGTCTCCGGGGCCATTTAAAAAAAAGTTGCGTAAGGGAAGGGCTAAATCAGTTCTGAGATTTGTTTTTAAAGACAAAGACAGAGCCGGATGGAAGCAGGGTATGCAAATGGAGGACGGAGGTTTTGAAAGACCTCCCCACACCCGCTGCGAATATTATTGTTGTCCTGACACACACACACACAAAACAATGAGGCCTTTTGTACGGCACTTTGGTGAAGTGGCTCAGCAAAGCAGAAGGAAGTCCAGCATCACAAAGACTCGTGGGGATGGAGAGCAGGCAGCTTTTGTAATATTGCGGGCGAGATTAGCGAGCGACGTGACCAGCAAGTTGACACTGCGACAGGTTTCCCCCCGAGACGAACGCCGTTGGATATCGATATTGTTGAATATTGTCCGCATGACATGATGTTTGACAGGAACGGGGAGGCCGGATTGCGCAACCCGAAGCGCCCGGAAGTGTGATTAGAGGTGGCCGACTGTGTTCTGATAGCAACGCGTTCCGCTAACATGTGACAGGAACAGGGAGGCCGGATTGCGCAACCCGAAGCGCCCGGATGTGTGATTAGAGGTGGCCGACTGTGTTCTGATAGCAACGCGTTCCGCTAACATGTGATGCTTTGGATGATCATTCTGAAATACAGAGGGGTTTTATTGCAAACGAAACATGGGAAGTTGTTCATGTCGAACCATGCAAACTGTAGTCCCACTACAAATTGCATGGAAAGGTTCAACGTTGACAGCTAGTCTTTTTCTTTGTCATTTGTATTTTTTGGTTCTATAAAACCATCCCAGACAGTCACGCAACCCTTTCTGTCACCACTTACAGCAGTTAAGGCGCCTCGCGGCCATTACTGGCCCATCTGAATGAGGCATCAACTCACCGATGATGATGTCGGGTTGGCTGGCATTCACCGTGAGGTTTCCCTGGATTTGGTAAGCAGCCTGATCGAACAGGTCCAGGTAGTCCTCCACTGGGTACCGGTCGTGAAAGCCCTCGCTCAGACGGATGATACCTGGGGACGGAGAGGACACGGATGGTAGAAAAAAACATCTTTGGGTACAAGTTATCACATGGTATTGTTTTGCAGAGAAGTAGAGACGGGCCAATAAATCGTAAGATGGTTTGGATCCATCAAGCACATCTTTCTTCTTTCTGTCCTCCGTGTGCGTCTGGGATCCCTTTTAAGGAGGCCGTTGGGACTGCGTTGCCTTCACTGTAGGGTGACCAAATAAATCCAATCGAACCCAAATTCAGCAGGGAACATGTTCCCTTCCTGTTCCATTCTCGCTGTTTTCCATCAACGGCCGATTGGAAGGTTGAGCTTCAAGTGCAGTCTTCCGTCTTTGCTGCTTTGGTCCATGATTACGGTTTAACGGACAGTGTGGGGGTATCAGGGCAGATTTAGGAGCATATTCGCAGCGTGAGGATAATGAGTGTTATTTTCAGAGATGCTTTGATGGTGTTACAGTAATACACCGTTTTCTAGTTAGCAGGAAAACACGATTAGTAAATTCTCCAAACAATCCAGCCTTCATCTCTACTAATCCTGAGCGGTTACTCTGTGTGAGCTGTGATGGGACACGGTGTGTGTGTGTGTGTGTGTGTGTGTGTGTGTCTCTCGCTTCGGGGCTTTTGTCTTCATCCCCTAATTTGTTCTTTAACGTGAATGAAGAGTCATTTTTTGAAACAGCCTTTGCGCTTCCCGCACTGCAGGGACGTCCCGCCGAGATTCAACGCCGGCACACGTCCAATCACATTCTCACTGAATTGGATGAACGCAGCCTTCCAGGGGGTGAATGAAGTGAATAAATACATGCTAAATGTCACCATTTGTATTCTCAAAAGGGGATGTCTTTAAGAGAAAAGTGCTGATTGTCAGCACGCAGCTCTAAAGTGCAACACTACTAAGGGAGGGATGGAGAAGAGATGAAAGGATGAATTTGGGGAGGTGAGAGGATGAAACGACCGGTCCTTGGGTCAAGAGGCAGACGAACCAGTCATCGACTCAGACTGAACAGTTTGTTAAAGAGAGAACAGCACAGCGGCTGATCAGTGCAGCGGTCGGGCCTCCGAGGGATTAGAGCCGTAACGGAGCAACTGGATGAACTTCAAAAGGATCATTTTGGCTACGACGGTTAGGTTAAGCCTCTTTTTGATTCATGCGGTGAGAATTTTCAACAACATTTCCACAAAATGTTGCCCATCAACAAGTGTTGTGCCAAAACAACCTCAGGCAGAAATTATTATATGCAAAAAGTCATTTTTAGACCGATAGCTCCAAGCGGAAAAAAAGAGAAACATATGTATCAGTCATTTACTGAGAATAAGTCCTTCACAGGGAGAAATTAGCTTTTTTTTACCATCTGCTGTTCTTAAAAGAGATATTTGCATGATATTATCTACTCGCTACTCACCTCTTTCAACTCTGTATATATTCATCTAATCTGCTTCTGATTACTGCTTCTAATCAGAGCTGACTTTGAACAGATCGCTGCCCTACAGTGTAAAAGCTGCTCTTCACGTTTTTTGCGTCTTCTATTTTGCTCAAATACAGACACACACAGTTACAGACACACACACACAGACTCACACTCCTGATGTCTGGTGCCCTTTGAGCGGCTGTAGATTCTCTATTATTCATGAGTCCTAATGGATGTTTCGGTTATAAGAGAAAACAAAACGTATGATAGGTGTTGAGAATAATCACCGGCCTTCTTTCGGGAGCGAAAAACCAATTTAGAATCTCAGTTTGAAAACAGTTCAAGTTCAAGTTCAACTTTTAGTTGGTCGCTAATTATCTGCTGCATGTCATTTGGAGAGAAAACACTCAAATGGAGGGAATGGACTGAAGGCTTTGTTTGGGTCATTAGGTGAAGGTCTCCAAATGAGCAGCGCAACAAAGCATCTGCAAGGTAAGTGAGGGGCGGGATTGTGTTTGAATACACACGTTTTTTCATTTCCACAAGATCCCGTCTCAATCCCGGATCTCGCGTGGCTTTTTTTACTCCCATCCGTGGCGGCGTGGTGGTTCTTTTAACATCACAGACGCACACGGCCAAGCAAACACACGGTGGCATCCACGCGTTCAGATGACAGAGGCGCCAGTCGAGCAGATGTCTGCTGAGGGTTTATCTCTCAGCTGTTTGGGGAAATGACAAATTGCCACCTGTTCAAACCAGGAAAAACCAACAGTTTAGGCCAGGATTGTGCCGGCAGGTCGTGTGTGTCAGTTTGTTCAAAATGTGCTAGGGATTATGTGTGCAATGCAAAAGTCTTCGCCATCCCCACCGGTAAAATATCTCGAAAACTGGAGAGAAATGCCATGCTCAACTAGGCCTTTGTCAAATACAAAACAGTGCCCTCATGAAATGAATGAATCATATGCTGTCGAATTAAATAAATGGGGCGATTGCTCTGCCACTCTTTTATAATGAGGGTACAAAATCCACGGTGTGCAAAGAGAGCAGCCGCAAACGTGTGAGACAAAGCAAGAACGAGGCTGAGATCACGGTGGCAAGAAATGTCGCAAGTGCATCTGAGGGCAGGAAACGGTTCGCCCACACACGTGGGTTCAAAGCGTGCCGCGCCGCGTTCTTTTCAAGTCCCTTCAACCACAGAGGCACATCTACGTCGCAGACGGGGGAAAGGAGCAGTTGGTCGGGATTTTTTTTTTTTCCCGGTTGAGCCGTTAATGAGCAGGGCCCCCGCCGCCGCGTGAGCTGACTGCACGTATCACAAAGGGGGGAAGTGGCGTACAGCGGTGAGATGGGACGTGGCGTGATGCCGTGATGGCGTACAGGAAAGGGGGGAAAGGAAAAAAGGGCCGTTTAGCGTTTGAAATGTAGAGCGGGTGAAGCAATAAAGAACTTGCACCATTAGAGCTGTAAACGTGGGGCTGGCGGCTCTCGGGTAGGAAATAGACCGTTTAGCTCTGTTGTCGTGCACGGCACCAAATGGGTGTTGAATATTCACTTCTCTGGTTAATTGCATCGGGAGATTGAACCACTTGAATTGGAGATTCTTAATTCATGTCCCGTTCACAACCAAATAGGTTTCATATTATAATAAAAAAAAAAAAAATGAAAATAATTGAAATGCATATGGACGAGGGAATGCGGGTTTCTGCAATTCACAAAACTTTGCAATATGATGAGAGCAAGTACAGAGGAGAAAGAAAATTGATTATGCAAAAAGACCGGTTAGCCTTTGAGGCGGAGACCGTTTCAAACGCCTGTGGCTGAATGCCTGAAGTGCCCCCCGCCGCCCCGAGGCCCGCCGCTACCCAAATGATACACCGTAGGGAGTCACGATTCGCACTTTAAACGCTCTCGGGCTGTCATGACTGTGTACCAGCCTGAGGGCCTCAGCAAACAGCGAGTTGCGGTTTTCTCTACCCACCAAACCTCTTGCGGGTCCACCAGTGCGGCTCTTTGAAAGTGGTGAACTTGACGTCCGGGTGCAGCCTCAGTCTGTCGTACAGGTCCGTCGTGCCGCACTTTGGCTGGCCGATGATGTAGAAGTACGGAAGGCACCGCATGCGGTACGGCTTCCCCTCGCGGTGGATCAAGTGTTCTCGGAAAGTGTTCCTCAGGTGCTGAAACACCGTTCGGAAGCGCCTGGAGTAGCGCGCGTACAGGTTTGTCCTGTAAGGGTCCGCGGTGATATTCCCAGTGTATTCCTCGTACCAGCATGGGTTCTTGACACCGGGCAGGAATTTGCGAGGGACGGCAGAAAACATCTGTGGAAAGCAAAGAAAGCAGGTTGGAATTAGGTCTCCGTACTTTCCAACCACCTTTGGACAAAGCTTAGAGATCAATGCTAAGGCTGCACCGTGGCAGGCAAATGCTTTTCCAGTTATTTCACGGGCTCATTAAAAGGAAGAGGTTCGCTTCAACAGTCTAATTTATACAGGCCGCTGTTTTGGCTGGTGTAGGCAAACACCATCTGCGCGGGATCCCGCCGCACATGTGAGACAATCCGTAGAGGGGCAGAGAGTTGGCATGGATGCACAGAGACATACAGTCCTCCAGAAGAAGGCGACTGACTAGTAAACAAAGAAAATGAATTGGCTCGTGCAGCTCACCCAAAGCAGATTCATCCTCAACTGTAGAAGGATCCGTCCGCGCACGTGTTATCGATTACCTCGAGGCTACACTCTCCTAGTTCAATAAGAAATTGATTATGTTGGAAATCAGCCCTTTATAATGAGGATTAACAACGAATTGACCCAGGCTTTGAGGTGAGACACTTTGAGAAAGCCATTGGACCAACGTGCTGCAAGTACTCCAAAAAAAGCACTAGAGACGTGTGCAATTATCTGGTGTGACATGAAGTGTTATAAAACGCTTTCAGAGCAGTTTTATCTCTTATAAAATAAATTAGAAACTGGACCCAGTGGAGAATTGCAAAAGTGTATCTGTATCTAACCCTGTGCAGAAGGCCTGTGGGCATGCATGCTGATATGACTCACCTCTTTACAGACAGATGTGAGATTGTCAATTAAAAAGACAGATCAATATTGCCCTCAGACTTGTTTTTTGTTATGGTTTCAAAATGGAGAGATAATATCGACACTATGAAACTCTGAGGTGTTCATTACGGCCATCAATCTGAAAGCAAAGTCAATTTATTTGCTAGAATGCGCGTCCTCTAACTTCTCTGCAGCATAGCAGACTGCGTACTCACATGTGGTTCAGTGTCAACCAGTGCTTTGAACTCCGGGAGCTGTCGACCGCTGCGAAACTCCACCTTGGACGCGATGGACTTCACCACCAGTTTCATATGTGCGTTGTCCCTGACCGACGAGAGGTTGAAGGCGAAAGGTCCCAGACTGACCAGGCTGCTGAAGTGGTACGGCGAAGGGGTGAGCAGGAGGCCCTTCTTGTCTCCCGTCAGGATGTACGACGCCATGATGAGGAACGTGACGGCCAGGCCGAACAGGAAGCTGTAGAGCCGGACCTTGCGGAAGCCGGCCAGCGCGCTCCATCGCCGCGGCAGCTCCCGCTTCACCTCCAGGACGGCGAACAGGTTCACGGGCGCGTCGTCCACCTGCAGGAGCAACGGCCTCCTGCGGTAGTCGTCCACCGCGGAGCCCAGCAGGCTGTATTTGCAGTCCATCTGCGTCATGGTCCCGACGGCCTGCGGAGGGGACGCGGGGGGACGGGGCCCAGGTCTCAAGGCTCAGCTACTGCGGCGCGTAAGGGAGCAGGATCCAGAGGGACGGGAGGCTTCGGGATGGTGGAGGGGCCGACCGTCCATGATGGGTCGTGGAGAACAGCCCACCTCATCCGCTGACCCCCGCCTGTAGCAAGAGGGGAGAAGAGCGTCGGCTGCATTCACGCACTTGCTTCATGCCTCAAAACCTCAAAACAAAAAACAGACTAGTAGTGCACTAATAGTCTCTTTCCACCCACACGTAGATAACCGATAGCTGATAAAGACGTCAGATATGATGACTTGGAATGTGCTCCATTCGGGGAGCAACCATGCCCAGGCACTGATTGTTTACATTTTTTGTGAGGTATGAAAGGTACATTTCACACCACAAGAGCCATGTCATCACATCCCCTCAGTTTCAGAAAACCCCAGTGAAAATACGGCCGCCTTTAAAAAGAAAGCAGTCAAACGATTAAATAGCTGAAGGGAGTTTCTTTAACCTCGGTGCGTTTGCAGCACTAGCGATACAACCTCGGGTTGGAAGAAAATAAAAATAAAGTAGTGGGAATGATGACAGCAATGTGTTTTATAAATTACAAATTACACTAGAAAATGCATTGCCTGCAGAAAATGCGTTGGAATGCTGAAACAGCTTTCAGCATTCCAACGAATGCGGAAAATGAATTTTCCGCAGAAAGTGGAATACAGAAGTGAAAAAAGCTGAAATGAATTTAAGAAAAATGCTGAAAATACAGACATGATACTATTGTAATCTACTAACACAGATTCCTGGGCATGACAACTAGAGCGAAAACGGTTTATTAAATGAACTCTTCAAATGAGTCAATAAAAAGAGGTTATATACTGTTCACTTAATATCCCTATCAAACAAAACCAACAAAGACAATATACCATGTTGAGGCAGCATTCCAACAAATTTCCCCTCCTCACCTCACCTTTTGATCAAATAGCAAATAGCAAAACCTCACAGTCCACCCCCTTACCCCCCTCCCATTGCAACGGAGTCAAAATGTGGAGGCAGTGATAAGGACGTCGGGACGAGGGATGCATTCAGTCCAGGAACTTCAAGGTGTGTCGGACTCTACTGGGGAGAGACACGATATATAGGAGCGACTCGGCCTGCGCCGGAGGAGGAATTGTGTTATCAGAAAATGGTATTCCTCACCGGGAAGCCGCATGGATCAACAGTCGCCCCGCAGATGAAAGCAGGAGCCAATGTCTAAAGGTTGAAAGAATTTGGGACCTGTGATGATAATGCCCCTGCAGCAGCGACGTGTAGTTTTGTCTTATTTCAAAGGACGCACAGGATGGACGTGAATATTCCAGAAACCCTGAAAAATGCATGAATCATTTTCACACCTGCATCCGACTCGCCGCACATCACACAAGACAAAGTGAGTCATGGCTGCTCCTCTGTGGCTTCCGATAATGTCTCCCTTGCCCATTCGTCCGCACCCTTTTTGCCCAACTCTGTACTAATGGGGCTCGCAGCGGAGCTGCTGATAAGAGGGCGGCTGGAGAGCGCCCGCCAAGCTGCTCAAGCAATGTCATTTACTCCCCTCGGAGTCACCCGACAGCAACGGTCTCTCCGGGAGACAGGTGGGGAAATAACAAGCCCCACTCGGGGGGGAAAAAAAAAAGGCTGACTTCCAGCCCTGGAGAGGTTGTCTGAGTCGTCACAGAAAGAGAGGGCTGGATGCCAGAAGCAGGAACCACAGTCGGATACTGACATGTTCTTTAAGCCGGGAAACAAACCTGTTTTTAGTGCAGGGTTTTATATATAATGCCTTGATTAATTAATACATTGAATTTCAACTAATGCATTTTATGCCATTTCAAACCTGCTGGTCAACTGAACAGGAAGTGAGCGCATCCAATGAGTGACCAAAGGGTAGACCATGTATGTTCAAACTATAACTCTAACTATTTCTCCCTCCACTCCCTCCAAGAGACGTGTAACGGTTTGGCCATCAAGATTATAATAAAATATCGTTCATTAAAGAAACGTCAGATGATGAAGGAGGTATTACTGAAGTATTAGGCCTTAAGGAATGATTTTTTACAAAAATGTAAAACCTCATGAGGTACAAATCACAAACGCTTCTATAAGCAAGCTATTTTAGAATCTGTATCTGCAATATAAATCCGAGCCGCTATATCAGAAAGTCCTAAGTGTCGTCTGAGTGCATAGATCGAACTCATTGACTCGAATCCCCGATGATTGCGATTAACTCCAGAGACTCCGGTGGTAACGGCCTGCACGCTGTGCCGCCGCCTCCCTCGCAGTGTGCTACAGATGCAATTTGCCACGGCCTTAATAAGCCGTCGCAGGGATACCTCTCCGTACTCTCTGTCCATTTCGGAGATGTGGTCCATTTGTTTTGCACTCTGCCATCTGCTCCGCTCTGAGCCTGCATACGTCTCCGGCTCTGGGAAGAAAAAACAGGAACGACGGGCCTCACGCACCGGCTGCTAATTGCCGTTCTCTTGTGTACCTTTTTTTCTTCTCCGCTATTTATTTCTTTGTGTTTGTTGCTGTCAGATTGATTATTTGTCTGGGAAGAAAATCAGCCGAGATGGGCAGAGTGTTGTCTATTGCACCTGGAAGAAAATAGCGTAAATCAAAACCTATTGTTAACCCCTATTAATCCTTCTGTTGAAGCAAACTAAAGCCTGGTTATATTACAGTTCTTGTCGGGCTGTGGGCGTAACAATTTGCTTTCTCTGGCATTGATTGTGGAGACAGAACTGATACAAACATACTAGACTTCACTTGCAGCTCAGGAATACTACTTTTCCCATTCTGCCTGTGAACTTGGGAAGTTTATACACTCCATTAAATCGTTCGCTTTCCCGCTTAGCAAAGACTCATACAATATATACACATGGCCGCAATCACGATTTATTGTACGATATACGGTACCGAGGTCGGCTATTTTATCCTTATTGACTCATTTTACGTTGTATGGACATAACCATGGTCATTTTAGCTGGCCGCGATATTGCCCGTTTTATTAGCGTGCTTGTTTGCTCCCATTAGAAAAGTCACCGATCATTTTAACGAGCGTGATGACCGTGTAAGCCGCAGCCCTTTTTCTATATTTACGATATTGTTTATTCCAATTATTCCTGGGACAATATATATATATATCGCCTTTACATTATCATTGAGAAATATGTGTCTACTCAGACGTGCAGAGTCTGTCTATGACGCTAGAGGAATACAGATTAATTCAAGTGAAATGTGCACAGCATATAAACAAAAATCTGCTCCTCGCTCGCCTTCCCAGCCAAAGCCAGCGAGCTCTGCAATGAAGCCACAGCCGAGGAGGAAAATAAACCTGAGGCCAAACTGACGTGGACGGAGAACCTGGTGATGAAAAGACTTTGAGACCTTGAGAGCAGAATAGCACATGTCCTTTGTCCTTTGTGTCAAGCCGCCCGGGACGCACTCCCTCGACCATCCGTCGTGACATCGAAGACGCTGTTTGTCAGTCAGGAACAAGCTGATATTAAAAAATAAAAACGGAAGAATAGAGTAGTGAACTATCGACTCGCCACTTTACCGTTGTGGCCTCTTCTACACAGCTAATGACTGTAAAAGCTGATACTATCTGAAGGACTAATGCGAGGACTCATCCTCTCCATCATGACCCCTTAACATTTTTACCCACAGACAGGAAGCGAGAGAGTTTGATAGGAACAGTGCGAGGGAAGGAACAAAAGAGGCCGTCGTCATCGCTGTGTCAGCTGGAGGAAGATGGTTTTTCCCACCAGGCCACTCTCAATATTTAAAGTTCAGCATGAGGCCACCGCAAGGGTGGTACGGCCGTGAGGCTGAGCCCGACATGTGACACTGAAGAAAGCTTGTGATTGGCCGAAGTGGACCTGGCGATAAATAGCCACTGATTACACAGACACTGCCTCCTCCAGTGTCAAGGCTATTTTAATTTGCAGGGACGGGGTCTTTAAAGGGCAAGAACTCTCTCCATAATCTGTGCATAGGTGTCTTGTGTATGCGTTATTGTTTTTAACAAGTTTGAAATTGTCAGATTAGGTTGTTTTAAACTGACACAGTGATGTAATCGTCGGCCGTCGTTTGTCACCCGCAGCTCTTCATCTAGCGGCCTGATGTTGCTGCTTCTTCTTCCACTATTTTGAAAATGATTCGCTCATGAAACAATTTATAATAAGACCATTGTCTTGTTTTGTATTTTTACTATGCGACAAACACGGCGGCTTTGTGTTTCGGGAGTTGGGGACTTTAACGCAAAGCAGCTGCAGTAACACATGTTGGGTTTGCATTAGAAGTAACTTAGTAAATAAAGCGGGTAGTTATTACAGATGGGTTGTTATTAGTGAGATAATATGAAATACATGCATCTATATTATACGTGTGTATATATAGCAATCTGAATCCAGCAAGGGATCGGCAGACAAAAAGTAAATGCTGTATATAAATGTAAATAATATTATTATAGGATTTAGATTTTGTCCAACAAAAACAGTGTTTATGTCTCCAACACAAGGAAACCGTATGTTTCCTAGTGCAAAAAAAATGTAGTAACTAACAATTAAGTAATTAACAATTTCTATAATTTCTTTAAGTAACTAACAATTTGGATCGTCAAAAGAAATAAGAAGCCACTCTTGGAAAAGAAAAAGTAATAAATGCGTTACTGTGGACTCCCCCATCAAATGAATGATTTCAATTGGAAAAAGGCACCCGTGGTGCGAGCAAATGAAGCAAGAACCAAAGCGAGCTGCTCTGGCGTGAAATTGCTCAATGATCAATGATAGCCGGGGAGTACAAGGGAAACATCAGGAGATGGGATTGCATTTACCACGGCGCCCTCTGATGATACAGTGAGCAGGAGCCCCTGTCAAGAATGCCACTACCTTCTCCCCCCACCACTGTGTCCTCAGCCCCGTCTCATCATGTAAATCACGACCAGGTAACACGAGCACGAAAAAGAGAAGCCCGGCATTCGGTGGCTCTGAGCGGAAGCCCTTCGAAAGTCATCCATCACATTCCGTCAGCTCACACACGCCGTCGACCAACAATCAGAAGATGGTCTCCAGGGAGTCGGCGTTGTGGAAATCAAAAACCCGCAGGCCGAAGCA